CGTGTCCCCCTCGCCCTGCACCACCTCCCTCCCTTCAAACCGCTTCATTGCAAGCCACCCTTTTGGGTGGAAACCCCTCTCTTCTGAGCAAACAAGACCAGGCAATGAATACAAAATTGTTATGCTTGAAGAGAAAAATCACTTCAGCTGTTTTGCTAGGGGTTTTTTTGAATGTGCCAGTGAGCCTGCTGGAGGTTAAGGGAGTTCAGCCCCTCTGTGGGGTGGCAGCTTTCCAGTCCTCGTCTCACTGCCCTCCGGCTCACGGGGCTGAGCCCAGGCGGTGTGAAACACAACGGGGTGTTGTCAGGGCATCCCCGAAGGAGCTCACACACTTCATAACTCCAGCCTTAAATTATACACAACATCAAGTTGGAGGCCGAGGAAATAATAGGAAAACAAGCATCATTAAAGTGTTCAAGCAGCAGAACATTTTGCAATTAACTTTTGCATGCACCCATGCACGGGCAGGCATAGGCATGCAGGCAAGACCTGTCCCCTCGTCTCCTGCCACCCGCTCCTCCCCAGCAAGGGCCATCTCTCTCGTGCCTTCAGCACCGTGACACGGTCGGTGCCCCACTGGGACTTCCCACTGATGTGTGGGGTATGGGAGGCTGCGGTGAGGCTGGGCAGACTGGGTTTGGACCATGCCAGCTCAGAGTGCCTGCTCAAACCCCTGCGTCTTCCTCAGATGAAGTCTAGGACGTTCAGGTCTCCTCATCCCCTGCCTCCCTAGATCCCAGGCACCATCCCAAAACGTGACGCAGCGGAGGGGAGCTCCTATGCCAAAGCAGGCAGCGCCCATCTGCCCCCTTCCAGACCAATGGAAAGGTATTTGAGGATTTGGGCACACACAGCCCCAATCTCACCAGCAAATGTCTCTGAACACCTGAAGCATCTCCTTGACACAGCCTGTTTGTGCTGAACAGCTCCAAAAAGGTGTCAGAGAATTAATCCTCAGGTCACTCTAGATGATGGCTGTGTTGGCTGGACGAGTCCTTCCCTCCAGACCCAAAGGGATGTGCTGCTCTTTGAGTGAAGTCCAGAAATGGGAAGAGGCACGGAGACAAGCAGGGGAAGGGTCTTCACCTGGGCCAGAGCCGCCGTGGCTGAGTCCCGAGGAGGATCTGGGCATTCACATTCCAGCAGCTCAGGCCCATCCTAATGAGCATCTGCGCAGAGATGTGTGTACGTGCACAGAGCAGCCGGATGAGCTGAACTCCTTCTGCCTTCCCGCTGCAACGGAGGCTGAAATAGGTAGGATTCTTTTGCCCTCTCCCATTCCCCAGCCACCCACCTCCTCTCCAGCCACCCCTGGCTTTCAGTGGGCACATTTGGGGTGTTCAGGTTTATAAATGAAGTGGGCATCAACCTCTTTGCGAGTGACTCACCAGGGAAATGCTGGGGGTTGGCTCGCCAAAGCCACAGGGCACAAAGCGTCCCGTGGCTCCTTCACCCACCCCACTCCCACGCCTGTGCCTCCTCCCGGCTTACAGGATGCTCCAGCTCACCGATTAGCCTTGAGAGCCGGCACACACCGACTCCCAGCTCGTGGGACAAGGTGTGTGACCTCCACATAAATCCTGCACGGTGTCACGGGTCAGGGGACGGCTCACAAGAGCACCGGGGAGCATGCACGTATCACAGCTGGGTCACTTCACTGTCCTGCAATGCAGTGTCTCAGGCGCAAAATGCAACTGGCAGAGGTACGAGCGGCTGCACTACCTGTGAGCGTTGCAGCCCCAGTCCCACATCTGTCCTCCCTTCTCCACATTTTCTGTTCTCTCCTCCTGCTTCTGCTCCCTTGCAACAGCAGCAGAGGTGAGAAAAGAGGAGCACAGCAACTGCCATTTCCCCGACCTGTTCCTTCCAGCTGTATTTTTGCATTCCCACACCAAAGGCAGAAGGTGCTGTAATTCCACCAACACAATAAAACAAACCAGGAAGAAGAACGTTTCAGAGCATTTCATTTGTAACCACAGTGCATTTTGCATTATTGTATGTAAGGCATAGACAGGTGATAACATACATCTTCCAGCCATTTCAAACCCCTGAATAACAGGGAGCCACAGGGAATACTTTATATAGGTCCTGCCTCCCGGCTGGCTTTGGTGGAGAGCCATAACCAAACTACAGAGGGCCCACAGTCAGGCAAACGGGTGGATGTGGCTGTTCAAGCAGAGATGCAAATGGGATTGAGTTGGTGTTTTCAGATGCTCAGACCTGCTTTTACCCACCCACAGAGTCCCACGGAGCCTTCTTGGCATGAAAATTCACCCTGCAGCCTGGACTGGGAGCCCAGAGGACTGCGTGTGGGGATGTAACCTTTTCCTTAGGCAGCTGGATGCCCTGGGTCCTGCTCTCCCATCACTGGTTTGTCAGGGAAGAGCTGCTGGTAAGTGCTGGGGAATAAAATGTGGTTTTTCACTGGGAGAGGTTCTGGAGAGGTAACACACGAATGTGTTTTGGTAGGGTTGCTTGCCTCTGCTGGGATAGACAGTGGTTGTTGTGATAGGATGGGTCATGAGCATCCAGATACAAGCAGCGCTTAGCATTCAAGCATGGGTCACTCATCATTTTGGGGCTCTTGGCACCACGATCTTGTTTCTGAAATAGGTAGGAGTCACAGAGCAATAATGCCAAGATGGGAAATTTCACAGTCTCTGCAAACTGAAGCAGGGAAGTGAAATCAGGGGCCTGATTTCCCACTGCAGATAGGAGAGCAAGGCATGCCAGCACTCAGCAAGACAGGCAGACACCTCTGTCGGCAGAGCTAGGTCATGGTGGAATAGGTGCAAGGACCAACCACACCAACATTTTTATAAAATATAAACCCCAAAACTCATTAAGGTGCAAACACAAGCAACTTTTGTCATCAACTCATCAGATCCTCAGGGAGAAAGCATTACAGAAAATTTGAGCAAGACCTGGTAGTTTGATAGTGGCTAATAAATGGTGGTGTGGATGCAAATGAGGTTGGGAGGCTTCTAGGGAAAAACTGAACAAATGCAAAAAAAAAGCATTTAACTGTGCCGGTAAAATGAAACACCCAGCCCAGGGCGTGCAAGCCCAGAGCCGACTTCACCGCTCAAGCTTTTGGGAAGGGGATGCTGGATCAGCCAAATCTCAGCAGCAAGGACAGGTTTTTATAGCTGCATGTTCTCCATGTCAAAGACACCCTCTTCACACATGGTAGTGAGCTGCCCTGGGCAATCTGGGTGCTGTTACAGTACTGAATAACAAGGGATTTAATGCTCAACACATTACATCCCAATCCAGCAAAGCAATTAGGCATGTGCTTTTTTATCCCTGCCTTCTGCTAAGCACAGGCTTAAGTGCCTTGCTGGAGCAGGGCAGGAGCTTACATTAGCACAGTTTGTCCTGAAAAACTCCGATCCCCCAGGATCACTTTTCGCTGCTACTTGCTCTCACATGTCATGCTGAGTAGTAACAGCACCAGGGGACAAATGAAACTGAGGAAGACGTGTCTCATCCTGCTGAAGGGCAGTGGGGAAAGATCGGTTCATCGTCAGAGGGACCATAGCAAAAGCCATGCGGTGCCAGAGCAGCAGGACAGCTGTCTCTCAAAGGGACATTTGCTTTCATGCCTGATGCCCCTGTTCTGGGAGACGGTTCCTTGCAGGATGAATGGATGCAGGATGAAAATTTGAGGCTAATGCTGTTTTGATTAGCATCCCCTCATGACATGAGCCAGCACTACAAAACACTGGAAATCCCCTTAGACCATACCGCTCCGTCTGACTGCAGCGGCAGAGAGACAGACGGACAGGAGGAGGGAAGAGAAACCAGCAGAAATGTCCCAACATTGCCATCCCAGTCCTGTCACAGCTGCCGTTTTCTCTGTGGGAGGCTGAGCAAGACCTGCAGGGTATGTCTCATCATAATTTGTTTGCAAAGCAGAAAGCAAACAAGCCTGCTTCCAAAGGTGCAGGTTATCTGCCTCATTAGCGCCCAGCAGCAGTGAGTTTTGCGGCTTACATTGCAGTCTGGTTTGTACTGTTTTGCTTAAGCATGTTTGGGAGCACGGGAGAAAAAAGACTACTGCGTTCACTGAACTGTGGCTGCAGGGGTTGCGTATAGCAGGAGAGGAGAAAAGCAAAGTCCACGCGTGCTGCTTTGCTCCTGGGATTGCTCTCAGGGTAGGGCTCAGCCCAACTCTGCTTTCTGCCACTACAGCACTGGTTTTGAAGGGAGGCATGTGGGACTGTAGAGGTGAAAGTGCAGCTCAGAGGGGAAACCGAGCTCCAAAAAACATGAGCCAGACTGCGCAGTCCTTCACGAGTGCAAAATTCAATAGGAGTTTTGAGTTAGAAATTACCACCAACTCCTGCCCAGTTTTTGCATCTCGGCCCTTTCCCTGGGTCCTGTATCTTGTGGGTTTTGCTCTCTTTGGAAAGGCAACGTATCAGCCCAGGGTATCAGGCTGTGCAGCACGTTTCGTCCTCAGTAGACTTTATACATAAGAAACCAGGTAATACACATTGCACGGCGAAGGAAAACAGAGGCTTGTTCAGAGTGCAAAGAAAAGTGTGCTCAGAACCTGAGGGATTTTGGCTTGCACGTGCTGCCTATGCCAGCAGCCTGCAACTCCTCTGCTAATGTCTGCAGCATCTTTGTACACTCACAGACTATATATGAAAAGGTCCTTTTCTCCCCCACCCTTTTCAGTTTTGCACTGGTATTCAAGCTTTACAAATCAGAGCAGCTTAACGAAAAAAAAAAAAGACAGACAAAGAATTAAAATAAGGAATATTTCAGAGTAGGTATTTGTTTACATGCTGCTTCCGAGGTGAGTGCTGTAGGTGGGATTCTGCATACTGCACCAGGGTAAGTTGTATCTTCATTTTAGCAGCAGCCTAGGGCCTGAGCGAGGCTGTTCATTCTCCATCTCTGTCTGCAGATGTGATCCAGTGCAGAGCCACAACTTTTTTCCAAAATCCCCAGGCAGGCACCGGACCTTTCAGGCGTTTTCCAGCACAGCTTCAGTTGAAAGGTTTCACCAGTTTCATAGCAGCATAGTTCTAGAGGGATGGAAAAACAAGGAGAGAAAAAAAGCTGATTTGAAGCAGGTACAGCAGGGTGGCATATGGAGGTTAAAGGATTTGGGGGGGCATAGCACAGAACTGCAGATGGGGCTGCATTCAGGACAGGCATGATGGCCAAGCTCCAAGCCCCGGTCTGCAGAGGCAGGAAAGCAAAAAGTGCATTCCCACTGGCAAGGACAGTAGAAGCCCAAGACACATGAGAAAGCAAGTCTTGCCTTCTTCCAGTAGAGGCTACTGGTCACAAGCACCAAGCAGTGAGCACCAGGAGTCACTCCTGGACTTTGATTGCTCCTTCCACCAGCTTTTATGATAAATTTCCACCTCTTCATACCCTCGTAAGAAATTTGGCACCTCCCCACCAGCACCAGCCCCGTGCCCACAGGCTTTTCTTGCAGGTGAGGAGACACGTCCAGCTCTTTGCTGAGCTGCTGCAGCCTCCCCCTCCCCTCTGGCTCCCGGTGCCCCTTCCCCTCCCTCTCTCGTCGTGCTGCTCCCCCACAAACCCGGAGGCTGCACTGACTACCCATGCCCTGACCTCGCATCCTTATGGCTCCTTCTCCCCACGATCCCCCCCAAAACCGGTGACCTCCTCTGCTCTGCCTGTTGGGTTGGACCCTTTGGAAAGGGGCCCCGGTCCCCGAGCATCCACCAAGGTGGGCCATGATGTTTTCTGGAGAGCTCTGCTTTCCACAGGCCAAAACCTGTGCCCAGGATCACACCAGCCATCACCTGGTCTGAACAGCACCAGGACAGGACTCGAGCCCTGCCCCATCCTGATTTAGTCTCTTAGTGCAAACCCAGCCTGCAGGTCCATGGACTACCTCCAAAAAAATCTGCCAAAGGCAATCAAGAAAGGCAAACCTATTGCTGATTTTTTTTTTCTCTGCCTTTTCCACATCCCTTAACACCTCAGCCATCTGTCTCAGCGTCAGCATTTGGTGTGGGTTTTGTTCCCAGGAGCAGACACCCCAGGGAAGACCTTCCTGTGCCTGTTTTCTGGGATCTCTACTGTCCCTGTTATTGCACAGTGAACTATGGGGCTGCCATGGAAAATGAGGCCTCACAGTATTTTAGCTTATTATATGTGCAATTCCCTCTTTGAAAGAAGATGACAGCACTGTGAAAAAGAATAAGCTGTGTAAACGCTGCTTATCAAGACCACAATGAAAATACAGACGGAGATGCATGCTTAGGTCATTTGGAGAGAGCTATATTTAATGTAGCTCTGATTCAAACCCCCACGACCACATACTAGCCAGTTTGGAAGTCCCTCCCAAGCATATTGAATTTAATTGGTACAGGATGTTCTATCGCTCTGTCACTTGAAAAAAACAACTTTGGAACAAAGCATAGTGCTAGTTACCAGTAAGATCTTTGGAGGAACGGTGGAAAAAAAGAAAAAAAACCAAAACACAACAAAAGTAAAGTCTGACCAAAGGCATCTTGATAAATTACAACGTGTAGCAAATTATAAGGCAGTTTGCCAACTGAGGATTTCTAATAATGCCATAAATCAAGCAAGCAAAGTTAGGGCAGTTTACCAGAAGTCATTAGAAAAGCCTCCAGTGACATATAACCTTCGAATTAATTACCAATCCATTTGTCTTTCAGAGTCTATCCTCCAAAATACTCCTTTTTTTTTATGATTTGACTGGTTGCATTCTGGAGGGTAGCAAGTTTTCTGTCCAGCTATGAATTTGTATTAACAAAGTGTTGAAAGCCAAGCAGGATTATCAATCAGCACAGAACGCGAGCTGTAATTAGAATTAATGGCAATGGAAGCAACGCTGGGCTTGCAGAACACAAACAGAGCTTTAAAAGGTAGTAAACATTTTCATGGTGCTGCAAAGCAGAGCTGACTCCAGCTGGAAGCAGCGTTACATTTTTCTATGGTGGTAGCCACTAAAATCTTTACAATAATCACTGCTTCAGGGAGATAACTTCACCGCCGTATTCCCTATGCGTTATGGATGCAGAAACCCAGGCTGAGCTTTTATAACCTTTTCTTCTGACCTTGAGTCTAGCCCAAGACTTTCATTCAACCGTTCCCACAGCAGAAGGCAGAGCTCTTATCAGCTATGGCAATGTCAGATGACAAGTCCATCAAAGTCACTGGACCTTTCCAAAAAGCCCCACAGCGTGCCATAAATGAGCACCGCTGGACAGAAGCATAGGGTGGAACCAGAGCATATCTTGTAGAAAGACATTCAGTCTCAATACATGGACGCCCTGAGCAATGACGAATTTACCACAGCCTCTGGCAAACTGTTCCAATGGTTAATTACCCTTCGTCTCAAAAATTAGCATCCTATTTCCACTGGAATAGTTCCTCTAACTTCAACATCCAGCTACTGGATCTCATTATACTTTCGTCTGTTGTTTAAGGAGTCTTCTGATGTCAAGTTAAATCTAAGGACTGTCTAAAGAAATCATATAGGAAATATCCAGGGAATGCTGTTCCCAGAGTTCTAGCTTGTACAGACCATAATGACAACCACTCTGCAAAGAAAGCTAAGGCAAACCAGCCAGTAATCTGACACTAAGACTGGGTGGAAGAGCCCAAGTAAAAAAATTAAGAACCTCAGAATATCAGATTTTTCAACATTTTTTCCCATTTTTGTAAAACTAGAAAACTTTTTTTATGGAAATTTGCAATACCATGCAGTTTTCCACCCAAACCCAAAAGGCTTTTCAGTTGGAAATGGTCTCTCACTCACTAAAACAACTTGCTTTGTAAACAGTTGCACTAATGATGATTTCTTATGGATTTGTGCCTAAATTTTCTATACTGCCATACTCCCAGCTCCCCACAAATCTTGATGAACCTCCACGTCATCCTGAAGCACTTCCAGACCCTTCCCCTCTTCTGCAGGCCTCCCCTTGATCCTCCCAGGGACCCCAGGTCCCACCAGGGCAGCCACAGCACATTCCCTGGCTGGAAAACAACTGCTGGTTGCACAAAGCTCTCCTGGGAAAGAGACTCTGAAGAGGACCCAAGAGGAGGAATGGGAAGATCTTTATTCCAGCCCATGATCCATCACACGTACTCTGTGTCCTGAGGACAGCAGGAGCACAAAGGCACCACATCTTCAAGGGTTTCTGATTCCATGAAGTAGCTCTAAAGGCTATTTTGCAGAATATTCTGCAATATAGCCTCTAGAAAATACTTCCCAGGGGTGTAAAGCATTTTTCGATAGGTATTCTGAACAAGATCAAGCCATTGGCTTCTTCATTCACAGAGAAGCCTGAGCTTTTGGGAACCAATGTTTTTGGGCACTACTGTTGGGAACCACAGACAGCCCTTCGCCGTTTCGGGTGGAAGCACACAACTTTCAAATGGAACATTTGCTCCTACTCTCCAGCTACTCTGAGCACAAAGCTGGGACTGTGGTTGGAACCTTTCGGCACTGTATGGGGAATAGAAATAAATAAAAAAAAAATCCCATTTGTATACCAAGAGCCAATGAAAATGCCCCGGGTTCATTTTCGGAGGGGATTCCTGTCTGTCTGTGATGGAGGGTGACCTGCGCAGGGTTAGCTCAGCTCATGGGACCGTTAAGTTTCCCAGGGCATATTGTGGACAGAGATTTCTCAGGTAAAAGATTTCTTCCTTCGGTATCCTCAGGCAGAGTCCAAACAGGATAAGATTTGGAGCCAGGGCTCAGACTTCTCTGGCAGCATCTCGTACGTGGTACATAATGCTCCTAGGTGGAGAGCCTGTACGCAGGCAGGGCATTCAACCTGCAGGCAGGGACATTCAACCTGCAGGCAGGGACATTCAACCTGCAGGCAGGGACATTCAACCTGCAGGCAGGGACATTCAACCTGCAGGCAGGTCCCAAGGCTCCTGCTGAGCCAAGGACCAGCTGCTGAAAAGCAATGACCAGAAGGACCCTGGAGGTCCCAACAAGCAGAAAGCTGTGGAAGAGCTCTTCATGCAAGGCCATAGCTAAAAGGGCAACAGAAGCAGGAAAATAGTAACTTCACCTCTGTTTGCCCCCCCTTAGCATCCCTGTATCCCTGTTCTTTACCCTCTGCCTGCTCAGACTGATGGTCCCTGTGCCCTAACAGGATTCCCTTGAGGCTTCCCTCCCATGACACATCCCTTTGCCCAGGGTGAGAGGGGCAGAAGACACACAAAACCCCTCTACCTGCGGCATGGGACCTCAAAACTGCACGTGTAGTGGCAAGATTACATATACAGTGCTAAATGCAGCAAGGTCCTTATTTTAAATGGGACCTGATGGTGCTCCTGGCACACAAATCAGAACAGAAGTGAGGAAGGATTGTTTTTCCATGCATTTAATCAGGGATGTAATGGTGAGCCCTGCCAAAGGTCAGGATGCCAGGGGCATCCTTCATAGCAAGCCATCACCAGCGCAATTGCCAAATTTAGTGCCTGATGAAACGGGTAAGGAACTAAATCTCCAAGTCGATACAGAACCAGTGACCTCAAAAATCTAAGGGAAGCTGGCCAAATACATAAAAACAGAAAAATTCCATGAAACATGGCCTTACTTTTTCAAAATATGACTAAAAATTGACCTGACCAAAATGAAATTAAATACAAGAACATTTAGCTAGGAAAAAGGGAAAAATCCCAAGTAATAATGAGTGTAAATCAGTATTTATAGTTTGCGAATATTTTCTCCTCTCAATCTTGTTTTTATATGATACCACTGGAACAAAGGCAAAGCCAGTTGCATCTTCAGGGAAACACTGAGTTCTTGGTCGAAAAGGCTTGGTTTCTGCTCCTTGACATAAAGGGGAGTCTCCAGGAATGGCTCCAAGTACAGGGCAGGGAGGAGGCAATTCAGCACGAATCTGCACTTGCACAATTATTTCCTCCTTCATACTACTTAGCACCTCCAGAATCATTTCTCCAGCAGAAGTATCCCAGCCCTTCCCATGGATACGAGGATATAGAGATGGGGAGAGCCATGATCTAATCCCATCCCCTTTTTTCTCAACAGGAACAAACGAGCGTGCATGACTTCAAATCATCTGAAAGTGATTACGATGGTGAGGAGAAATTCCACACCTCGCTTTTTGGTTGCACGTTGCAAGCACACAAAGCCATCTGCAAAAGGCAGCCACATTCTCTCACATGAAGTTATAAATTACTCCGAGTTATTTTATGAAAAAAAAAGTCATATACAAGGAGCAGAATTTGTTAAGTGCTGGAAAGAGAGAGGCGGGTCATTTTTCTTATCAGTCTGAGGGGAGGGGAAATGGCATCCAAGAGCTGGTATGAATTATTCCAGTGCTGTAGAAACAGAGGAGGATACAAAACCCCATCCTAAGCCAAACTGGAAGGCCAGGACTCCATTATTTATTTATTTTGTTTTGTCAGTGGAACTGACAGTAAGGCAAGAAAAAGCCACTTTCTTGATTAATGAGGCGAAAACCCTCCCCTTCACTTCAGACATTACATCGGTATAACGTGCTCCAAGCCTTGATAACAAGAGACAGGGCTGCCCAAACACCTCTAAACTCCCTGCATCTTTAAACAATTACAGACCGATGCGTTTTTTGCCACTACTCAGCCCTGTAAAATGTCTGCATTTCTAATTAGGCTGCGTGTTTGTCAGGGATTTTCCCACCAACCCTGCAAGACCTCCGACATCAGCAGCTCGAACCTCTTTGAAAACAATCAATTAACATCACAATTAATGGGCACAAAGAGGCGTGAGTCTGTAGCAGAGACCAGAAACGCAGGCTCTCTTTTTGACCCACCATGGTCCACCGGGTTGTTCCTCAGGGACCAGCATGGGACTTTGCAGCCACTGGGACCATCCCTGTCCCCACAGAGGCAAGTCAGCCACAGAGACCCAGGGGAACACCTAGGACCTTGGTCAGCCCGCCCTGTCCTCTCCCACACCCGTTGTACCGGGAAGGCGTAGATGAAGATTCCCAGGAAGAGCAGCAAAACGAAGAGCACGATGGCCAGGATAACCACCCACTTGTACCGCCGCCACAGGATGTACTTCAGGGTCTTGTATGGGGAGGTGAACCATAGGAAGGAGGTCTCCGGGCGCCTGGAGCCAAACAAAGTTGAGGTCACTTCTGAGTTTCACAGTGGTTTCACCCTCCTGGACCCCCAACCCCACGAGTATGCCCTGCCGTAACAAGCTGGCTGCTCACCCTGCAAACACACATCCCTCTGGGGGGACCATATCAAATGGCCTTCTCGGTGGTCCAGACCAGCCTCCCAGCCACCCTGGGTTGTCTCAGCTCACACAATCTGAGCATCAGCAGCTCAGAAACAGAGCCTACATGGGAGGAAGCCCATTGCAGACAGCAGACCTCAAACTGGGAACCCAGATTTTCAGTTTGCCCCTTGAGAACTCTGTGCCCTGGTGGTTACTTTTCCATTCAGGATGTTCTTACTTGGGGTCCTCCAGCTTGGGGTTCATATTTGGCTCATCCCGACCCACGCCAGCTGGCCGCTCTTCATGCTCTTGTTCTGCCACAATTTCCAAGGTCATTTCCAATTTGCCCTGTGTGGGTTAAACAAAACCAAACTTATAAACAACAACAAAAAAAAAAAAGGTCAGAGGGGAGAGGTGAGAAATGAATGTATGATGCAAAATACTGTTTGGGGAAAGAAAAACTACTTTGAGCATAACCCAAGCACTACCAACAAGGACCATGAGGAACCCAGTAAGAGTGGATTTCATACAGATCCCTCACCTGCCCACTACAATGTTCTCAGCTGATACTCCAGGACATCTCAAATGTCACTGACACCCAAGTTTAGCCAACCAACTCAGGCGTCTTTTGTTGAATGACTTAATTCACTGCCTGGACTCCCTTACCTGTATTGAACAGTTGCCAAAGACCTGAACAGGAGCTCAGACACTTATATTTAAATATATCAGTCTGACAGCTGGAACCTTTTCCTGGTACTTGTCACAACACAATATCGTTAAGAATAGATGTGACACAGAGTCAAATTAGGTGGCACATTCCAAAAACCACAGCAAAAATCCCACAGAACAAATAATTTCTTCTGAGACACCTGCACGGTGCTGGACAAATCCTGGAAAACATACAGCTGACAAAAGCTGGTCCAGTTTGTAAAATTTGCAGCCCAAGACTCCATTTCTTGCCCTGACCATGGCATCCTGCATGTGCCTGGCCCAGCTACGTCCCTTCTCAATGTTTTGAGTGAGTCCCCCAAGAGAAGACGTGAAGAGGCCCCCTTACCGCCAAGATCTTCTTTTGATCCTGCTCAGCGACACAGGGCCACCATCCCTTGACAGTTTTCTGCTCAAAGAGTGACACAAAGCGACCTGAAGACAAGGTCTCATCTACTAGCTCTAAGGAGCACTTCTCAGCAGTCTTGGCAGGTTTGGGCATCCTGTTGAGATCCATCTGAATGGAGCCTGCAAGGAGGAACGTTACTGGGAAGACATCTTGGTGTAACAGGTCCTTAAAAGGTGGACTCTTTCCCTGAAGAAATATTCACTCAGGGAGCTTGGGCAGACACCCACATAGCAAAGGAGAGACAGTGTGGCCCTATTTCCAAGCGTAGCGCTGGTTTTAGCCAGTGGCTCTTCCTGGGAATTGAGCACTTGGTATCACCATAGTGCTTAGGAAGACCTGAGCCATGAAGTCCTTCTAGAAGACGCTGCAAAATATCTGCTGACTTACGCAACTATATCGTTGGATGATTTGCACTGAAGTCAACCAGGCAGGCTGAGATTTTTAATGCAGACTAAGAGATTTACATGAAACTCAAATTGTACACACCCGGAGTGCAGTCAGTATAAGAGCATCGGGTAGGAGGCTTGCAGATCTCCAAATAGGCTACTTTATTGGCCCACCCGGGTGAGTAACTGCAGCAGGATACAAGAAGGATATCCCACAAAATTGATAGCTTCCTTCTCAGACAGAGTGATCCAGTAATTAGCACATTCATCTAGCCTTCAGGAAATCTGAGCTCAATTCTCCAAGTTTTAGTTGAAAGTGCCTGCATTTAATTTACATTGCTACACCAAACTTACAGTTGGGAATGGCCAAGAATGTACACAAGGTCGGGTCCTGTGGCTCAGCTGAGGGACAGCAGCTTTTTACACTGCTGTGGATGACTCACATTCAGTATCGTGCCTGTATTTGTAGCTTTTCTGTGCCACAGATTCTTGCAACCAGTGACAATGACAGCACAGATCAGGTTTGCTGTGAAACACTTCTGAAGTCCATTAACGAAAAGTGCTTTACAAAAGCCAAAGACCACTTCTATTTGCTGGAATTTACAGAGAATTAATGTTGGCAGTCAAGAGCTCCTGAGGTACAGAGCCAGAGCTGGAAAATGCACCTTGGAGAAGTTATTTCAGCACTCAGCCTAGGTAATTAATCAAAGACAGGATTTAAAAGGATCTTGATCACATACTTCCTCAGTGAATCTTTTGATATTTGAATTTTTTTTAGTGGCAAAAAGAAAGGTCAAACAAGATCCAACCAAAAAAACCATAATGCTGGAGCCTCCAGCTTCTGCAGATGATCTGCTGTATGGCTCTGCTATCATTCCTGTCAGAAGTTTTTGGTTTTTTTTTTTCTTGACCTAAACCTAGCTTTCTGAGGATGATAAATGAGGCTAGCACTGAAAAAGACAAGTGTTGGACTGAGTTGTGTTCCTGTCTAAACATCCCAGGTAAGGCAAGGCAGGTCAGTGATCCTGCCTGGTGCTCTCAGCTCAAATACACAGTTAGCCCTGATGAGCACATTCCAGCACAGACTCAGATGAGTCACGGGGAATTGGGGCCTTCCTGGAAGGTGGTGGCTCTGTTGGACTTGATGATGCTCTCAACATTATGTCAGCCCAGGAACAGGCTGCTGCAGGCTGAGACTGGAAATCTGCCTAATACAAACCACTTATCATCAGTCCTGAGCTTATGCTGACACTGAATCCTGTTCAGTGGCTTAAACTGGTCTTGTTACACTTTCTTCGTATCCTGAAAGGATTCAATAATTTTTTCCTCCTTGTCTGCATCAGCAGGGATGGAGCTAAAAACCTCTCCCCACTTACCCAGGTAGTCATCAAAAGAGAACTTGTCATTGTCCCAGATCTGGAAGATAAGCTGTGGTGGAATCTTGTTTTCTGTCTTGTCCAAGCTCCAGAAGTGCTCCTAAAATCACACCGGAAAAGAAACCAAGGAAAAATAAAAGGCTCGTTAGTGGAAGTGGGCAGAGCCTGGCTACTCTCATCTCCCAGCAGTGGAAGTCCTGTAACATAAAGCTCTTGGTGTGTCCTGCTCCAGTTCTGCAGGGCCAGAGCCACAGGAGGACGGCACTGGCTCTGGCCAGTTCTTGGGCAAGGATGCTCAGTGGAAAACCCAAGATACTTCCAGAAGGTGAGGTGGTATCTATTTGTGTCTTAATTTAGTGACAGCATTTTAGCAAACAGGCACCGTGAGCTTGCAAATAGGATCTTTTGGAGTGACAGCATCATATTCACACGATGTAGATGAGGGTGACTCTCCAAGGTGAAGAGAGCAACAAGTGTTGAGTGCCAGTGCTGCCAAACTTCACCTTCCTCTTAATTAATGGAAAAATACAAGAAAAACACTTAAATTAGCACTTATGGTAGGCAATTCAAATACATCGCTTCCCCTTCTGCCCACCTCTCACCCCAGCTCTGCCAGCAGCCAGACCCCTGCACAAGTCTGGATCCACCATGCTCTGATCTGCTGCCAGGTCTATCATAAGCAGTTTGTCAATTCGAGACCAGCAAACACCTCTACCACCTGTAGGTAACCTGTGACTCCCAAGTTTACTTACTAAACATGAATTATGTAAAGAAAGAGACTGGTGCTTTCATAGCAGCTCACTGTGTGGTGGGTTCCTCAGTTCTCAGATGACTTTGTTCATCTTTTCTGCACATCTCCCAGGTTTCAATTCTCAGGATAGGTAAATGCTAGAGTTGGACGTGGTATCCCAGTAAAACTGCTGCTAATATTACACTGGGCTGCTGCCAGTGTAAGTACATCGAAGTTCAAGAAAGGAGAGATTCAGAGCACCAGTGAGCAGTGATGACCAGAGCCTGGCTCCCTGCAAACCAGTCAAGCAGTGGCACTGTGACACCTGATTTCTGTCCTTATAACGTGAGATCTGTCACTGTCTATATGCCCCTCTCATTTCTATTAGATGGGCAATTTTTTGTCTATTCCCTGCCACTAGAGCTGCTATGACAACCTGTGGAAAGGTTTTGCAGCAGTCCCAGAAGCCTATTTGTAAAGCACCTGGAATAAAAATTACGCCGTGAGCATCCCTTGCGATTATCATCATTTACCGAGCCCTTGTGCAGTGCAGGAGCTATCATCCATCAGTTCTGCAACCTGGCCACAGGAATAAGGAATAGACACTGCCTGGGAGACAGCATCCATGTGGGAGCTCAGCAGTAGGATGAGGCAGCAATTTCTGCTATCTGCAGAGGAGATGATTTACAAAACACTCGCCCATGAGAAGTCTGCAACTGCAGCGGCCCGGTTACTACAGCGGATAGGTCAACAGCAAGGCAGATGGTCTGCCTTCTGGATAGTCAGACCAACACTCCCCAAAAAGCCAGTAAGGGGGAACACTCAAATTAGACTTCTGTAACAAGGAGGGTTTGAATCCCATTACTGTGACAATGAGCTTGCGGTCACATCATTATAATATATGGTGGATATGTGCCCATGCCACAAAATTTGCTATTTATGTGGTTGCAACCAGTAATATTTCCCAACAGGGATCTAATACCACTTTTGGGATGCCACAAGATGCCTGAGAGTTAGGACTAAGAAGTGTTAGAACAGAAGGAGAGAGACAGAGACGCACAAAAAGCCGAGGTCTTGTTATTTCTGGCTCCAGCCAAGGCTTGCAAAGAGGAGGCAGAGTCACGACCGGTGTCTACTGACAGCACAGGCTCAGAGGTGTGTCCTGTGGGCAATGCCTCCTGCCGCACTCTTGCAACATGGCAGTATCATAAACGGAACAGATTTAATTAAAACCAGGAAACTTCAGCATTATTCATGACACATACGTAGCACCATAAATTCACTGTGGTGGCTACAAGACTCTGATTCATTATATCGTGCAATATTAAAAAAAAGGAGGAAAAAAAAGAATGTGTCACACTCCATAAGAACATAAATATTCAAGCAGGGAGACTGTGGGCACTTAAATCCCATTGAAACTGGTTTCACTTTAAGAGATCACCCTGGACGGTTATATTTCAATTTAGCTCCGTTCCCCGCCTTGCTTTGGAAAAACATGCCAGCATTTTTGCAATGGAGCATTTTATTTATGCATTTTAAATATTTTATAATCTAGAAAAATAAAATAAAGTCAATGGAAACTTCCATCTCTGCCCCTCTGCTCATTGCAATGTATTAAAATGTATGTTTATCCAAGGCGGGGGGGATGTTTTCCCAGCTAATAAGTCATTTTAAATTAAAACTGCTAAAAAGGGAAAGAGCTTATGGGGATTCTTCCCTTTCCCATATATTGGTTGGGTCCTGCACTGCAGAAGGGTTGTTAGTCATCCAGAGAAGAAAGCCTCCGGGAACCACGTATCCTTGCCTAAAGAAGAAGGCGGCCAGATGACCTCCCCATGGGTTGGAAAGGTTCATCCGGGGTCTGCGAGATGGAGAAAGACCCATCTCCCATGGTGTGCACCACAGACAGACACCACAGGCTCCTTCTAATTGCCCCATGCTGGGGCAATTCAGGCATCCCCATCTATGCTCAGCTTGGAAGAGGATGAAACATGTCCTACAGGTGCCTCTTCCTCTCCGGGGATAACTAACGTCCCTGGCTCAGAAGCAGATTTCACCACATCTGCACTCATCAGACGTGTTCATGCTCCGGGAGCATTGCTGTGCTGCTGCCTGGGTTGAAGCACCTCTCCAAGCACGTGTCGGACCTTCTCTTTGCACCGTCCCATCCACCTGAAGTTGAACGTGAGCAAAACTTCGCACCTGAGCAGCCCCTCCGAAAGGGAGTGTGGGGATGGCAGCTCTGCTCTCTGGCAAAGGTACTGCCTGCTGGAAGACCCAGTCCCATGGGTGCCCTGATGGGGAAAGAGGAGGAACCGGGAAAAGGAGCAGGCTGTTGTGAGACCCAAATTACTGCCCCGGACTCTGAGCTGCTGCAGCAATCCCCCTTCTCTTGGTGGGTTCCTTCCCCATCTGCGGTGCTGGCCGAGCTGTCCTGGGACAGGAGGAGAGCCCCTTGGACCCGGTGCTGCAGTGCCTTACGGTCATCTCTCACACAATAAAACATTACCTGGATAAGTGTCCCCCAGGACTGACCATGCAATTGCTGGCAAACATACAGGACTTTGGGGTTCCACCTGCCCTCCTCCCCATTGCAATGCCCAAGGACTTGCCCATGCCCAAAGCCAGCAAAACCCATACCCTGGCCAAGTGGATGCTGGCTGCATCCTCCTGCCTCCCCAGCACCACTTCTACCCCTGAGAGCAATGCCCTGGCTTTCCAGGGACTCCCTGCCTGATGAAGGATGACTCGGGCAGGATTCGACCCTTTCCGGGTGGCAATGCGGAGCGCGTACGACGCTAGCACGATCTGTACAGCTTTGGCCTTTCTTGTGGAAAAACACTGTAAATGTGGTTTGGCTGGTGGCGAAGCTTTCCTCCTCAGAGCCCCGTGAAGCTGGGGACACGGCGGAGCAGAGCTGGAAGGGCAGGCTGGGGAAGGAGGAATTTGATGCTGAGCGAAGTTTATGGGTCCATTTCAAGTCAGTGTGAAATTTGCCTCCGTGATTAAATCTAGCTACGAAAGTTCACTATAAAAACAACCCGCGGCAAGAAATTTATTTCCTAGCCTTTTGCAAGACATGGGAAGGAAGGGGGCTTGAATTATTGTTTGGGGGTTTGTTTTGCAGTGGGGGGGGGAGAGGGGAGGCTGGTGAATATTTTACGGTCATGAATAATGCAGCAGGGGAGGCAGGAAAAAAAAATAAGCTCATATCACTAGGAAAGTGTTGACAGGGCTGCATTTCTTCTGGGTTGCTTATGTGCTAAGGAATACAAAGTAAGGAGCAACCCCGCTTTTTCGGGGAGGCAGTGAAGCCCCAGCATGTTCGCGCCCAAGCAAGCCTGACCCATTTCAGCACGTACATGTGGGAGAGCATCAGGTCCCTCATCCCACAGCAACGGGGGAGCCCCGGCCACGCAGGAGACCCCCCTCAGAGGTCAGGCAAGAAAAGCCTCCTTTCCTGCAGGTGCCAGGACGAGCTGTCCTGCAGGGCCATCCTTCAAGGTGTTGAGAAACTGCTTCTCTGAACCTCATCCCATTGGGACACTTCATGTATTCGTAACAAGCAGACAGTTGAGAGCGCTCATTATTGCACTTTTACTGGACTGACTCGCCTCTTGGATCTCCCTGCTGTTGCCAACTCCGACAATTGCATCGCAGGTCTCGTGGCACTTGGTTTTCTGCATCCTCCCCTGATCAGGATGGCAGCTGAGCAAAATCCCAAGCGTACAGCATCTGCTGCACATTCGGGCACAGCCTTGCCAATACCTGGAGGAACACTCCAGGCGTCACCACACCATAAGTGTGAAAGAGTCATATTTGCCTTGGGGCACATACTCTCATTTCGGTCCCTGGAATCACTCACTGCAATGCTATTTTCTCAGCCTCCCATGCTTTCCTTCTGGCAGAGTTTATCAGGCTTTTCCAGGGACATGGGGCTATCCCGCTGCCATTTAGGGAGCTCCAAGACTTGGGGGCCCAGTCCTAGCCAGTTTGTGAACAACACTGTTGGACCTTCAGTTCTCAACACAGCCATGCCTTGCTCATCCCTCTCCATACATCCATTGGAAAGGAAAATTCCCAACAGTGACTCTTGTCTGAATATCAGAGAGGCTGCCAGGGCATCCCAGGTCATGCCTGCTGCCCCTGTCCTATTACAGAAGACTGTTGTGTCGTCGTATCTGCTTGTTGCAGTCCCATTAAAATACATAATATATGACTGCCTTGTCTAACTCTGCCTTCCTCTGAAAAAAAAATGTACTTGGAGCCCCTTCAAAATGTTGTATTTTGGCTAAATGTGGAAGGAAAAGGAACACTTTGTGTTTTGCTTTGCTTTCTGATGTCACCAAGAAAAACAGGGAAGGACACAATAAAGGACAGGAAACAGGAGAGGAAAAAGTCCAAAATTAAAAGGCAGTAGCCTTTTTTTTAGCTTTCTGGCACCAAAGAGGAATCAAAATTTCAATCTAATAAAATAGTAACTGTTTTTTTAACAAAAATCAGTGCTTCAAACTCAAAATTTCAAACCAAAACCAGACAGAGCACAGAGATTTCTTGGTACACCCTGGAGATTCAGCGACAAATGTAACAGAACAAGGGGATGAAACAGGGACACGGTTGCAGAAACCTTACATGCCTGCGTATTTTTTTTATAAAATTAAACACAGAGAGGCTGCACACTTACTGCAGGGTAAATTCTCGCCCTGTCTGACAACTACACGGAGCCCAGGCTGCCCATGAGCTCTCAGGTGATTTAGAGCATCGCGTTACGAGCCACCACTGCACAGCGTGAGCCCCCCCACGCAAAAATCAATTGCAACAGGGACGTCCCCGCGTGCCCCACCGCTGGCACCGGCTCCTCGTTCCCAGCTGGTGCGAATCTGCTGGGCGCGGAAAAATGCACCGGCTGATCCGCCCCAGGTGAGGGTCTGGACTGTTGCAGGTCGGAGCTGTCAGTACCAAGAAGATGTCAGGACACTACAGTGAATTTGCAGACAAAGTAACCAGAATCGATGAAACCAGATGGAGCTGGGAAAGCCTCAGCGCCAGGGAGGGAGGAATTTATTCTCGGCTCCACTCAGCAATAGAACAAAACAAGCTGTGAGTTACAGCCCCTTCTTCCCTGCTTTCTTCTCAAATGCCTTTGCACTTTTCTCTCTAGGTGGGTTTAAGACACCAAACCTCCCTCTTTCTCATATCGCTCCTGAAGACCTCTCTCTAGTATGATTTCTGGGATGCCACCAGCTGATCAGTTGTAGAAAAAACCCTTCCAAATGTCAGGTTTGTTGTTATATTCAATGTCACAGCAAGCAAACTTGGAGACTTCAGCTTCCCCTTGCAGAAACAGGGTCTCAGTTATTCAGCGAGAGATGTGCAAGCATCACCAATATCTCACAGCCACAGGGTTATTCTGGGATTATCCTATAGGACCACCTACTTCTAGCCATGTGAGCAGCAGGCACCCACCACTGCCAGATGCCAAAAGACCTCTAACTCAAAGCCAGTGTGGTTTTGTGCCCAGGTAGGTTGCAATTAATCTGCTTAAAACTTGGATGGGTCCCTTTAGTTGAAAGCACAAAGTGGAAGAAACAAAATGAATGTAAGAGCTCCTTGAAAAAGAGCCTCCCCGCAACTGCCCCAACCTTCCCACTGAATAAATCAGACAGTTGCTCGCAGTTTCTTCTACAGTAGTGGGATGGGTTCTCTTCCAATGGTTCTGTCTGCCTTTGCAAAACAAAGTATTTTGTGTTCTGGCATCAATACTTCATTTTCTTGTTGACACCTAACACCGAAGTCTAGTAACAGAACAAGTATGAAGACAACAGCTATGTTCCTTGGTCTGGTTTCTGCCAATGACATGGCATGACATGGATCTGAAATTGCCAACAATGCTCCCATACTCATTATGTTCATCTCCTGGAGTTTCTTTTACGCAACATTTTTCAGATGGCATATGAACAACCCAGCCAGGTTTTGGAAGCTTCAGCCTAGTGGTTTACTTCCAGGTCCACTCAAGCACCAATAGTTTTTAACTTGTATATTGAGATGCACTTGAAATTCTACCCTAAATGTTCATTTATGCAGATGACATTTGCTCAGACATTCAGTGTCAAGCTTTTTCTGCCCTAGAGGACATCTAGAATTCAGATTTGGCAGCCATATTCAGCTACCGCTGTAATTGGCACTTGAAGCTGAACATTTCAAAATCAATTTCATGCATTTTCCACCTCCACAGCGCCTGCGAGACGTGGGAGCTGAGTGCCTCTCTGACTGGGCGCCCAGTGAAACGTGATCCACATCTAGTCTATCTCGGCATTGCTCTCGATAGACTCTGGCTGTGCCATGACCATCTGATAAAGTTGTCTGCAAGAGTCGAGACCTGCCAGGATGAGACCTGGGGATCTAAAGTTTAAACCTTGCAGTCATCTGCTGTTCTCTCTGCTGCTCGGCAGCAGAGCATTGTACTCATCTGGGACCTGGACCTGCCTGTTCCTCCCCTACTTAAGTCAATACGCAATTTCATGCAAACCTGACAGAGGGGCTGAATCTACCTTTCTACCCCAGCTCCCCCTGTGAAGAAGTAACAGCGCTCCAACATGCAATGTGTATTGACCCTTTCACCAAAACAACTGCATGATTTGCAACCTAAGAAATTGTCTTCTTGCAGGACTCGGCAAGCTGCAAGCGTGCTGTGGCCATGCAGACAATGTGGCTTGACTTGTCCGTGGCTGCTAGGTAAAGATGGCACAAAAAGAAGCAAGAACAGAAGAAGGAAATTCTGGATAAATGCTCAGAGAGGATGTAAAGAAACATGCATTTACATATTTTCAGAAGAGCCATCCCAAAGATGGACTTCCACTTTTGTGGGGCTTTTTTTGAAATTCAGAATGGGGTAAATTCCTTTCTCAGAAGGAGATGCAAAATCTTTATAACATTGCTGCAGCAAGAGAAGATATGGATGCAAAAACATTCTGAAATGGTTAAAATGTTTAGAAAAGCAGGAATAAGAGCTTATGCTTCCAATCTGTAAGTTGAATTGATGCTCACAGGATTTACAGGCTCCTGCTTTCCCTGGAGGTGCCCCGTGGAAAGACTGAAGCCTTGAAACCCCAAGCAATCCCAGCACTTGGAAGCTTTGGAGATGAAGTTCCCAAAACTTCCAGTGCCGTGGCAAAGATTAAACCATCCTGGCTACTGCTGGCCATCCCAAGGCTTCAGGGTCCAGTTCCACCACGTGGCACCTGATTTTTCCCTGGGTTTGCAGGCTCCCAGCTTGCCCCAGACGTGCACACCAGAACTAAACATCACGGACACCCGGCTGCCCAGGGGCACCCTTGCTCTTTTGGGAGAATACTTGCAATCCAGTTTGGGGTGACCCATTCCTGCGGTCCGTCCTGCAATGACAAAGGGAGCTCCTGCCTGCGAGGAGGCGAGTGGAGCAAACAAAGGAGAGTAAATTGAAAGCTGCTTTTCTCCCAGCAGTGCTCTCTCCGAGGGCCAACACCAGCAAGGCTGGGTGCAGGTGGCTTTTAGCAGCTCAGAATTTGCCATCTGACCGTTTTGATTTAAATTCCACTTTCCATCGCCTGCGTTTAAAGTTCGGTGCATGGGCTTTTACAGCAGCAGTAATGAACCTGGAGTTCAAACAGCACATGGCGAGATCAAAAATTGCCAGAGCGGAATGTGTCCCACAAATACAAAGCATGGCTTTTCATTCATTATTTTTTCCTTTACAGAGAGGTTTTACAAGCTGTTTATTTTCTGATACAGTGTTGGCAGACATGTGGTCGGAGGAGAATCAATATCAGCACAGTGGGATGTATTTTCTTAAACGGTTTATAGGGGGGTCTTTGCTTTTTCAAAGGGGGATAATTGAATGTAGTACACACTGTACTTTTGATTTGTTTAACATGAAGCGTGAAATGGGTACAGCTATGATTCTGTCAATCAGTTTAACTATCGAGCGATTCATTTTGAAGCCAGGCCTCCTCGCGGGGATAGTCTGGCTCAAGGGATGGTGAATTCACTCAGCATCTTCCCCAACGAAGCGCCAGTTCCAACCCAGGCTCTGCTGGGACCTTGCCAGCCCCACAAAAGAAGCTGGGATGGGGGTCCCAGGTGAGCTTTGTGGATGCAGATGGTCCCAGTGCAGCGAGGTGTCTTTGTATTCGAACAAACACCGACGTTGAGTTCACAGCGGCAAAGCAGAGAGCAGGGAAAAAGACTCGGGGTTGGGTGGCTGAAGGGGTTTGAGCTTTCAGGGAGGTGTCACAAAACAAGACCGAGTCTCAAAAGCAGACACACAGATCCAACAATACTCCTCTTAATCTCCAGGTGATGAGCAGGAAATTTAAGAGAATATGACTCCCTCCCCTAAAGCATTCCTTGAGAGCCAGTCCAATTTTCACCAGTGTTTTTCCATGTAGGCAGCCGAACTCCATCCCTGTTTCCTTCCCTCTGTGCAACTCCCAGTCCACATCTGATCATCACATTGCACTAACTTATCTAAGGAACACTAAAAGCAACAGCCAGCTACAGATGTAGGAATGAGGGGGCCAAAATCACATCCACTTTTAGCTCCCCAACTGAGTACACAGCTCTCATTAGACTAAAGGCATCTTCACCCTGAATCCCAAACCAAAGCTTTTCTTCCCATCTCTGCACCAGTGGTACATCCCAACCCATGTTCCCCTACATGTCCCTCCTGCTTATCCCTTCAGGCACTTGGAGGCAGCTCCTTCCTTTCACCCCTCTTTAGGCCTTCTGTGAAGTTACTGTACAGCATGATGCCCACTATGCTGTGCTGGAGACCAGAGGTGCATACCCAACCATCCCCGTGGAAATACCATCTCCATCTTTGGAATAACCCTGTTGTTGAATAGGCATCTTGGAAGTCCCATGGAAACTGGAGAGCACTTTGACGCTGCTGCCCCAATATTCAGCTGCCTCCAGTCCAGAGGAGTCTTTCCTGGGGGGTCAGTCTCTCCAGACTCTTTATACAAAGCCACCTCTAATTCTGACCCCACAAATGTTGTATTCAAAATGTGGATTTTTTTAAACCAATTTCCCCACCTGTCCACAATTTTGTGTTTCAAATAACACAAAGGTAAGGCTGAGCTTTGCATAACTCCATTTGTGCTGCAATTGTACAGGTCTTAGATCATGCAGCACCTTTCACCCCAGAGTTACTATGAGAAGGTAGAAACGTCTCTCCAGGAACACTCACCTTTTTTGCGATGTAACACATTTGCTCAGCAGGGAGATAGTCAAAGGGGAAGACGAATCTCCAGTTGAAGTTGCCCTCTCCTCCCATAGACCTGTAGTGCACATCTGTCTTCTGCTTGTTCTCCTCGTGGCCAACCAGCCAGCTGCAAAATGCAAACACATTGCATGAAAAACTAGAAACACACCAAGGATTTTGGAGTTTGCTCAACATCCCAGAGGCCATGAGCAGGCAATAAAGTGTCTCTCATCCCTGTGGCTGCTATCTGTAGGGGTAACCTGGAGCCCATAGGAGACTTGAGAGGGAATGCAACAGTCCCTGCAGTGTTGGGAGATGAACCGGTGCTGGTGGTAGCAGCCTGAGCAGCTCTGCAATCTCTTCTCCTCCCTCCCCTGTTTTTTATGGATGTTTTAAAGACTCCACAACACCTTAAGCTCTGTCTTGAAGTTTCACTTACCCATCCATAAGCACACATCAGCTTCTAACCTGCTTTGGTGAGAGCTCCTCTCCCCTTTGCAGCCACCCCAACAAACTGACTTTGTAGTTAGCCCCTAAACCAGTCCTGTTGATGAGGCAACCACGCTAAAGGACCAAAGGACCATTTTTTTCCCTCTGTTCTCTGTCAACTTCTGAGAGATATTATGTGAAAGTCCTAAATGGCCAAGAAGTTCTTCCCCGGGAAAATCCCAGAGTGGCCAGACCTTGATGTGGCCAGGGTGGTTCCCAGCCGCTCCTGCTAGAGGCAGCTCCTCGCAGCACAGTTTCCCTCCTGGTCTAAAAGAGTTTGCGGTGGTCACTCCACAACCAGTCCAGGGGCAAAGGGAAAACTTTCCATAACAACTACTTTTTTCCAGCTGTGAGTTTTGAAACTGTGGGGTTTTCATTCTGCCCTCTTTCCCTGTCCCAGATTTTTCAGTCTTCAGCAATCAACAAAACAAAACAAAACAAAACAATAAAACATGTCCATTTGTGTATTTGGAGCCCTTCTGGAGGAAAGCCAGAAGATTCAGAGGGAATCTCTAATGAAAACAATTATCTTGCTTGATTGTTTTCCACTTAAATTGAAAATAAGGCTTTTTTGCCCAGCTATACAAATGATTCCCTCTTCTCCAGTGCCTGAGAGGAGCACATAATCCACCCCAAATGTGTTGTGGGAGACAGGGAAGAGAGGTCTACTCAAGGTCATCCTACGGTACACATCACATGCACATGTGCTACACGCATAGCGAGGGCTTGGTGGCAGTGGGAATTGTGTGATGAGGTTACACTAATAATACTTAAACTGTGGCTGGATTATTTGATTTGATCTGATAGGATGCAAATGGCAAGCCTGTGTATTTATCCACATCCCTCAAAGCTTGGCAGGGCCCCTCGGAGGATGCAGTGTGAGCGCCCTCTCCTTGCAGGCAAACAAAAGGACAAATAAATGGCTTGATTTGGATGCCTCTTTAGCACACTTTTTGGTTTTTTCTTGCAGAATTTGCAGCATCCTCCTCACTGCAGGAAGGAGATGCCAGAAATCAAAAGCATTCAAGTCACGGTGCCCCAGAATTAAAAACATAATGTAGGAATGGCCATGGGGACCAACCAAAGGTCTATCTTGCCCAGTATCCTGCCTCTGACCAGGGCCAACAGCAGACATCCAGGTAAGAGTACAGGATTGGGGCAAACACATCCTGGTACCTTCCCAACACATCTCTCCAGACTCCAATAATTTGCAGGTCAGAGATTTTTCTGAGCTATAGAGAACGTTTTTGTACTTAACAGGACTGGGTGTATTTTTAGCCCATTAATTCACCCAGTATTTTTTAAATCCATGCAATATCCAAAGGCAAAGTTAGGTTCTTAAATCTAAGAGGCAACTTTGTTCTCAAAACGAGCACACCTCCCTCTTTGCTCAGCACAAGTGTAAGATTTTGGAGGACCCAGGCCACCCTTTTATTTAGGAACCCAAAAGGGCATGCAGGTGAGTTTTAAAGATGCCACATAACAGTACATAAATCTTAGTAGTGGTGGTTGGTTGGAAGGGGACTCCGGAAACTTCTAGTCCAATTGGGTCAAAGCAATACTGGTTTTACATTGAAATGTCTTAAAAAACTTGCAAGATGATGAGTGAAAACCTCCCACCTCCCGTGTGACCTGGTTCAGTGTTGGTCCATCCTCTTGGTAAAGTAAAACTTTTAATTTGGAAATTTGACTATGAAAACAATACAAAAATATCCTCCATCTATGACAGTGACAGGGAGGGCTGTTAACTCAAAAAACCATCTTCATTTCCTAATGAATATGATTTACCCACGCTACCACCCTTTTGTATGCCTACAGCACAAGTCTTTAGGAAGGGAAGGTCTCTCTGAACTCAGCCTTGCACAACCTAAACTTGGTTGAGACCTCTTCATGCTGTTATAAGACTATCAATAAATAATTGATTAAATTAAATAAAATAAATGGCAACTGCCTCAGGCATAACAGAAAAGCTCCTCTTTCATTTACCCACCTAACTGACCGACAATAATTTACATATTATGTAGAAGATAATGTCCAAGAGACTGAGATTACAGCCCTGGCCTTGCCTAATGGGTAAAATGGAGAATGAACCGGCAATAGCCTCCTCAGAGAAGCACTGTGAGATGTTCTGAAGGAAAGCCACAGGTAGAAGCTCCTTATCCATTGAGTTCACCCTAAAGTAGGCTCCAGCCCTGCTCAGGAGGCAGCGGTGGATGGAAGGAAAGGTCCCCACCAAAGCAACACCACGCCATGGTGGTGAAGGTCACTTTGCCCACCGGGTCCCCTGTCTGTAGGACAGATGCTTAAGCACAAGAAGGACCATTGCCTCCCCTCCCAATAGGATTATTCAGGCCTTATCCAGAGATGCTAATGATGCAGCCACTTAGGGGGGGAAGACGAGGAAGTTGAGCAAGATTTTTAACTCATTTGCAGCATTGTGAGATTTGCTTGGTCATTGGGGATGCTAAAAGCCAGGCAAGGGCTATCAGCAAGCGCTGGATGCTCTCACTTTCCCGGTAACACCCTGCAAGCACTACTATTTCAGAGCCCCAAAGTGCACAGAGCAGCTTAGCTGGAGCTGATAACAATGCACTTGATGTGAATACCAGGTAAGCAGCACGCATTCTGGATTTACAGGAGGAAAATTGGGATTGTAAAAAAGGGATTTACAGTCTGTTTCAAAATCCTACCTCTTCCTGTCCATAAATCCAAAGAACGCACAAAATAAGTAAGTCCCTTGGCTGGGATTGCACCATTTTACACAAGATAAAACATAAATGGAGTCAGGCAGAGAAGGGAATGTGCCAGAGGAGTTACTGCTGGTTGCCACATTTTTTTGTGTTTCAAGGAAAAAAGGGAGTTCCAGAAAAAGCAGCAATGCAAACAAGCCAACCTATGTATGTGGAACAAGCCCATGGCTGTCCCGGGAGAGGAGCTGGGAAGGAGCCGGCAGTGGAAATGCAGATTATGTGCCCCTCTCTCCAATGGCTAGGCTGCTTCCCCACATCTTATCTCTCTAAATGTAAATATTGTCATGGTAGCATCCAAGAGATGCAAAGAAAAACTTGACGTCGTGAAGCAGTTATGAGCCCAGCAGAGACGTGTCTGCCAAGAAGGTGGATCCATAACTGGAGAGGTGTGAATGGTCCCTTCATCCCAGTGCGGCTTCGTGTCTGCCACAGTAATGTTCTTGCAAAGGCCACGTTAACTCCTTCACTGCTGCTCTTGCGCCTTCGGGCTATGGTACCCAGCGGACACAGAAGCAGGGTGGCTTACCCTTTGACGTAGATGTCACTCATCTTCTCCCCTGTGATGCTGAGGTCATCGAGGATGACGTCCTTGGTGTTCCAGATGATGCAGCGCAAGAAGAACCTGGACAGTCCCGGGAACAAAAGCAACATGAGAGGGTGGAAATCTTGGTCCAGAGCCCACCTAGACAGCCTGCTTGTGCTACTCAGCTATTTAGCTGAAGGAGCTGAGACATGACTCATCTTTCTCTGAAGATGAGCCCACGTAGACATTTCTCAGCTGGGTCGGTGAATCCCTCCCCATCTGACATCTCCAAGCCCTCTCCTTAACCCTCACAAACAGAAAGTGCTGGAACCAGCACCGCACTGAGTAAGAAATGAAAAACAAGTTACCTCTTGGCTTTGCGTGGCGTGATGTTGAAAGGGGGGCCAGGCTGACCCAGAGATTTTGGAAACAGGTCCACCCACATCTGCAGCTTTCCCTGTATGGAAGGAAAGACATATGAAGCCTGGTGAGCCTCCTAACTGGGTTACCTTCACGTCCTCAGTAAGACCTAGTAGTGGAGAGAGAAAATATCAAGTGCTCCAGTGCTCCTTCTTTGAAAACTAAGGTTTCCTGAATGGAAAGGTGTCATTAAGCATTATATTAGAATTATTTTAGTGATAGCTGGGTATATGTTAATGGCTTGCAATATATAAGTGGTTGATGTGGATAAGCTGAAGGTGCACTCTCCATGGCTGACTGACTTTACATAGGGACAGACTAAAGACTAGGTCCGTGGGAGGTTCCATGGGAGAAGCAAGCAGCTCACCTGTCTTCCATGGTGTCACCAGCTGGACAGCTGGTTTATGGGTTTCTGACCATGGCAGTGGAGGATGGGATGAGGAGAAGGGAATCTAATTCCACGTTCACAAAATACTTCTAGGGAGAGAGCAGCAGAAATGCAGCTGAAATCTCAGGGGGGGTGTTTTTAGGTGGTCTCTTTTACTGTAAAACACCAATGGGTGCCAATAAAATATTTTATTGTGCAGTCTCGAGGGTTGAAAGAAAAAAAAAAAAGCCATCCTTTGACAATCAGCCCATCACAGAGGGGTTTGTGGTTTGCTTGCTTTTTGGCAAAAAAATCTTCCATTTCAGCAGAAAACTTTAAAAGCCCAACCTGGCTTTTAGCTCACTACAAACAGCCTGACAGAGCCAGCCTGTTCTGTGGCTTTGGAGCAGGTCAGAGCCATGCTTTAGGGAACTGCCCTGAATGCAGCAACTACTGAGTCACACAGGTTAATCCCCTGGACCCAGCATCACCCTCATGGATACTCTTGGTTAGAAGCACCAGTGCAGGGCAGACCCTGATCGCTCTGCCCGTATGCAACCCTATGTCACAGAGGAATTCTTCCTACTCTCCATGGCTGGTCCAACAAGACCACGACACCTGTACCTGTAAGTACAGCACAGACCCACTTGCCAACAAATAGCAGCCACCTCCTGCCTCTAATCATCATTTTCATTGGGTGAATTAACACGAAAAGATGTTAGAGTAGTTGCCAGTGCATTTACTTCTGCCGACAACCCTCCTCTCCCACCGCTGGAGTGGTGGTCTGGTTAAAAATGAACCACAGAAGGGAAAAGGTTGAAGCAGTGCAGATCAGTGGCTGTGCACATTTACAGCAGCTGCAGAGCCGGTCTCTTGAAACTGCCTTTGCAGTGCAACTGGAACATGTATGACAGATGATAATTAATCATTTTGTTCTTCAGGAAGCAGCATTTTTTGATCCAAATGCATAAAGTACACATATGTGTTAATCAAGGAAAAGGGGTTAGGCCAAGTACAGATACCTGGGTTTTGATTGGTTTTGGATGGAAGCCCGTTTAGTTTTCATTTGGCTTAAACACATCCAGTCTGCAACAGTACTAACACTTTACACCTCCAAGGGTGGGTTCGTGCTGCAGAAATCATGCTGCTGCATTGCCAAAGGAGCCTGCGGTATCATTACCATCGTAGAAGAATTCTGCATTAAGATTTTCAGATCAGAAATGGCTTTCCCACCAAAAAAAAAAAAAAAAAAAAAAAAAAAAAAAAAAAAGAAAAACAACAAAAATAAAAATAAAAAATTGTGACCAAATGCTGATGAAAATGAACACAGGAGACTGGAATCGATCTCCCAAGCACCCTGAGCAAGTCAGCCACGGAGCTGAGCTCCAGCCTGTGTTTGATAGCCAGTGCTCTGCTCTGTCCCACAAGCTGAATCCCCTCCCTGGGAACGGCCCATCTCCCGGGGCAGGTACCCCCAGCACAGCTCCACAGCGAGCCAGCCACCTGGTTAACGTTGGATGGAGAGGAGATGATGCTCTCGGTCTTGCCTTGGACACGTCACACCACCCACCTGCTCGATTTCTGGCTGGAGAGGGCTGTACAGACGTCTGGTCTCCACGTGCTCCGGCACCAGCCCTTGCTTCCTCAGGGCGTACAGGGCAAGACGCTCCTCCGCTGGACCCAGGTGGGGGTTGAGGGGTTTGCCGTCCTCTGCCACAGAGCAGACAAAAAGCGGCGTCACACCGTGCCAGGGCTGTGCGGGGCCGGATTCTGACCGCCCGGCGGGAGCAAGCACGAGCCCACCAGCCTCGCTGCAGCCAGGAGCGAGCAGGAGGAGCACAGCCCTGGTTTGCAAATCCACTGTCATCACAAACCCTCCTGGGCACAGGGCAACCCGTTCCCAGTGGGACATGTGGGCAAATCCACCCGGTGGGACCTGCGGGCACTCTCGTGCAAGTCCCCCCCCCCCAGATCACAGCAAGTGAAACACTGCAAGGACCAAGTTGAAGCAATGAAAAGGGAGAGTCCAGTCTTTGACCCTGCTCGAGGGTCCAGGCCCCCTAAACTCAGAGCAGTTGGGGCTGCAGGGTCCCCAGCAGCCCTCCAGCCCATGCTGCTGCTCTGCTGCCATTCCCACCCCCAGCAGAGGTTTATCTAACGTGTGATCAAAGCTCTTCAGGGAGAGGAGATGAAAGGGTCTGCTCCAGTGCAGTTTGCAAGCACTCGTGTGATGGATATTGTTTAAATCCCATCATTTAAAACCATCCAGGATCTTCAGCTGGGCAGAGAGGAGTAGAGCGGGACTGAGCTCGCAACGGGGTCCTGCTTCTTCTCCGCTGGGTTCAGGGTGAAAGACAGAAATGAGAGGAAAAGGAGGGCCATGCAGACACCACCAGCACAGCTCAGTGGCTTGTCCTAGTTGCTGCTCTGGTCCTCACTGCTCCCACTGGGGTATTTGTGGTCTTTCATCCAAGCAGGCTAATGCACGACAGCCACAGCAAACACCTAGCCATCCGTGAGTAGACCTGAAACCATCTCCACCTTCTCAACCCGCTCCACACGAGACCCTCATTCCTTCACAAACAGGTCAGACAAGACCTATCAGTAATGGACATTTTTGCCTTCTCTGTCCCAGCATTCAGGGTCCCTGTTACATCCATCCAGGGATAGAAGATGGCCAACTTGGCCTTGGCTGAGCCTGCTCCTGCCTCCCCATCCCACATGCCATGCTGGGGCTGGTGGAGGACATCACCCCCGAGACAGTTCCCTTTCAGCCACAGCATTTCAAGGCCATGTACCTTCAAGGACCTTTGAAATGAAATGTGCTCCATAAATATTATTACAGCTCTGCAACTTTCAGGTGATATATCCCAGCTCCTTTCTTGGCAATATCTTGAAGTGGTTAACTTCAGACATATGGGCTATTTCCCAAGCAGTGGAAACCTGGCGTGCGTGTGCGTGTGCGTGTGCGTGTGTGTGTGTGTGTGTATGCACAGGAAAAAGAAAAAGCCCCTCTCAGAAAACAACAAATGTGGGGGTTATGGAATAATGGTCCGGGTGCAGTGCTTGTAAAACCCATGCTCTCGTGTTTAATAGCTTCACTTTATATCGCCAGGTTCAGATCTGACATTGCTCTGCGAACACAGCTGGTTTCCAGATCTCCTTGAGGTCAAGCATCAGACTTTGTTCTGTTTTTTGAACTGATTGCCATTAAAGCAGAGGAAGGTGAAAGGCAGGGGCTGGGAGAGGGGGGAAGACCCCGCTCGGTTTAACACCTTTCCAGCCCTTGCTGAAAACCTTTCACATAACAAGAGGCTGCAAAGGAGCTGTTGCTTCCCCACTCCTCCTCCTCCTCCTAACCGTGAATTTGTGCCTTGATTCCCAAGAGCAGGGAGAGGGATCAGTCCTGGGTTGTGCCTTGCCTCATGCCTCCGCAGGCCAAATCCTCCTTGATGGCTCTGCAATACTGTAGTGGCCTTAGTAAAGTCAAACTGCAGCTCCTGGACCACGTACAGCAGGGTTTCACATCCTCCCTGGGCCAAAACCCCCTTTCCATGCTTTAAAGCAGAGTTTTCTCTGAAAGGCATACTTCTGCCCCAAGGATGCCAGTTAGACAGGCACAAGTTGATGCCCAGGATATTACAGGTGTCAGTATTAGGGGGGGGGTGGTGGTGGGGTGCAAACAAGAAAATGCCTCCCCAGCACTCGGTGGATATTTTCTCCTTGCTGTCAGAGGCTGATTTTGCACTTCCAGCTGGAGCACACCTCGCCCCCCCAGGCATGAGCCACCGTGCAATGTGCTGGGCACTGTGCGTATGATATTGTCTCCCTCTAGTGACTCCAGACCCAAAACGCAGAGATGCAAAAGGCACAACCGCTCCTCCAACCAGCCCAAGCAGCAGCTGGAAGATCAGGCTGGAGCCTCTCCGGCTGCGATGGACTTTGCTGCTCCCAGCCTGCCTGTATTTGGTTTGCTGCAAAGCAGCAAAGGACAGTCACTCAAGGCCAGAGTTAACGTGGCTGAATTGCAGGTCTGGGTTCGACCCCAAGGTTTGGTGCAGATCCAGCTGCAACCTGCAGGCTTTGGGGCAGAGCCAAGCTTGGAAAAAGTGCAGAGCCAACCTGGAGAGCAAGGTGGGGAGGATGGGGACATGCTCATCACCCAGTCCTGGCCTCCATGATAACCCCCCACCATGATATGTTCATGACCTCCAACTCCATCCCTTGCTCTGGATAAAGGAAAGCTATTTGCTACCCTGAAGCACCCCCATTGCCGTACCCAGTTCAGAGAGGATGTACTCTTGCTCCCTGAAGATGACCCTGTCGGACTTGTAGGTGGGAGCCTTGTAGTTGTGCTGCAGGGAGAAGAGGTGAAGCAGCTGGGAAGGACGGAGTTGGTCTCGCCACTGGTTGGGTCCAGAGCTGAAACCAAACAGAAGGGAAAACAGCGGCTCAACACATGATAAAACATCTTCCAGCCTCAACAAGGGGCAGCAGCAGCATTACACTAAAGAGGACTGGTCTGAGGAAGGTGCAGCTCGCTCTGACTCAGTGTTCACTGGGGAATGGAGCTGCATGTCCCACAGCCCATTTAGCCCCAGCTTGCAGCGCTGGGGTGCCCTGATAGCCCCCCCAGACCCATCATGTCACCTTTCAGCTGGCCCTGTGCATGGGGAGGGTCCTCACCACGGTGCCCAAGAGGTATCAGGGCCGTAACAGGATCTCCCCAAGGACATTTATGTTATTTGAGGCATTTCATGCTTCTGGAGGAGAGCCAGGGCTCAGGGAAGTTCCTTAAATGTGGGGTTTCTCTGGTGTGAATCTTCTCAAGGCATAACTCTGTGGTGAAGTACAGCACCGGTCAGGTCCCCGTGGGACAGCAGATCCCTGGGCTGAGACATCGCCCTGGTCCCCATGGCCAGCTCGGCACCGCACAGCCCTGGCAGATAGAGAGACCCGCTGCCTGAGCCCACAGAGGTACCTACATGCAGTAGGTTTGGGGGAGGCCACAGCGCGCCCCGTATTTTGACAGGAACCGGTTCTCCAGGTCTATGACGGTCTCCCCAATCTTCTCATCCTTCGACAGGAGGTCGTAGTCGTAGAGCGTGATCTTCAAGTCCTTCTCCAGGGGCAGCGTGCAGCTCAGCTCGAACATCCTGCACAACAGGAGCCAAGAAATACCCATGAGATGGAGGTTCACGCTGCCGAGAGCCCCACGGGAAACGGACCCACGCAGCACCCCAACCCACCAGTCCCGGGAAGGGCAGTACACCTGCTGCGCATCTTTGTCACGTTGGTCCAGCACTATGGGTGCTGTGTTGTACTGGCTTAGCATGTGGAAATGCAACTAAGCAAGCATGCCTTGGGATTATTTTTGCCTGGTTGAATTATCCTCGAGCAAACTTTGCCCCCGCTTAGTTTCTCCATCTGCTAATTAGACATGACGGTGGTCACTGCAATATCCAGGGAAAAAGAGCAGCAGGTGAGAGTCAGGAATCATCATTGCTATGGAATTTGAAAGGGGAGAAATGACAGCTTTGGAAAACCATCTGCTCTGTGAGCCCAAAGAGCAAATGTCCAAAACAGGAGTCAAGCCTGCCTGGGCCAAGCTTGTGGTCAGAGACTGACCCTCAAAGCCTCCTTGTCCCCTCCTTCCAGTTCTAAACACCTTTATTCTGTGCTGTCTCCTCTGCCATCATTACACCACAGTCCACATACTGACATAAAATAAAGCAAGAGCAAACCTTCCTCTCCCTCCTCAAATAAAGGACGGCAAGAGCCAAAGCACCAAGACCCTGCCAAAACACAACACCCCGATCCAGACCGAGCTGGCGCTCGTGGATGTTGGCGATGTGGAAGGTGGTACGGTTGGGTGAAAAGGACGGTCCCGGTCTGACCCAGCACTACCAGGAACCCCTCCACCTGCTGCTGAAAGGCAGGCAATGCCGGGGAGAGACCCGGTGCCCACTCCCACCGTCAGCACCCACCCCACAGCAGCTTTTAAGGAGGGGAAGTGAGTGATTATGCCACCAATTAAGAGTGCAGGAGGAACTGGGGTCAGCAGAAAGTAATTAGCTAAAGCTGGACGGCAGCCAGCCGCCCAGGGAAAAGCTCGTGAAACGGGAGGTTTAATAGCCGCCAGCAGCCAGGACCTCGGTTTTACATCTTGCTTTAAAGACCGGGTGGGAGGTGCAGCACGCTGTCTAGACGGCCTCTGGCCGCGAGCCAGGCTTCGCAAAGCGGGACTTGCTCAGCCTAGCAGAGCTCACCGGGGTCTGGCTGTGGGCTCTGTGACGGGGCAGGAGGTCCTAGCCCACCGGAGACCAGGGCTCCCTCATGCTAGGTGGGGAGCGACCGCTTTGCATTCGCCGTCGGAAAGGCAGAGCTGCCGTCTCCATTTGGCAGAAGAGGAGTAAAGGGCTTGTCTAATGCACGCTGCGGTCTCCGAGGTCTCACCAGTATCACCCTCGCCATCCCTCTCCCTTTTCCTCCATCCTTGCAGATGGGGTATCTCCCTCTCCATCTTGCTTTGTTGGGAAGGTGTCACGGCATTGACAGCCTGACCTGGCAAGAGCCGCCTGAGAAAGCCAGCTGGATGTCGTATGGAGTAGAGCTTGACCTCTGTTTGTGCTGAAGCATAACCCCCTACGTCTCATCCCAGCTTTTCTGGGAGACCAAAGTCCTATCGACACGTGGAGGCTGAGCACCAGGTTTTCCTTTGCCTCCCACCGCTTCGCCTGGTCCCTATGGTATTTCCAGCTCTGACGAATACCCTTTTCTGGAAACAACATCATCTTTTGCCTTTTATCACAAGTTTGCGGCCCTACTGCGAGGCAAACAACTCAACCTGTCCATATCGCGTTTATAGATAATTCTTTTTCAGAGCATCTGATTTTGAGGTGCCCCATGCCACAGCCTAACCAAACAGGTCTCCATTCATCATGTCTTTTCTTCAGACATTTAACCAAAGTGCCTACATGAGAAGCAGAGTTTCGCCAGACTCTCTCTGCCCTCAGTGGGATGAGGCAGATGCCTCCACAAGGGAATTTGAGGTCTGAACAACCCTCTTGTTGTCTCTGGTGATGACAGAGCAGACCCAGTCCATGCTCCTCAGCTCTAAAGTCCCAGGGACAAGATGAACACGAGCCATGGTGGGTAGGACAGTGGCTGAGCCACGGCCAGACTCACTTCAGACGTGAGCCAAGAGCACGCCAAGGGAACCACAGGATGGTTTGGGTTGGAAGGGATCTCTAACAGTCGCCCAGGCCAACCTCCCTGCAATGAGCAGGGACATCTTCAACTAGATCTGGTTGCTCAGAGCCCCGTCCAACCTGACCTGGAATGTAGGTTGGAATGGGAAGCTCTGGCTGGCCCGGTGCTCTTCCCTCAATATGACATTAAAAAACCCCACAGAGTCCAGACTGAACCAAAACTTACTTTCCAAAGACAGGCTCCAGAGTACAGGGAAGGTAATTTTCTTGGTCATTAATGGATTTCTTTCCCACGGAAATCTTCACATAGGGATCACACTAAAGACGAGCATGAAAATAAATGCAAGAAAGAGTCATAGCACAGCAAGAGTGATGGCAAAGGAATAACTCTGCCTCTCTTTGTCCCAGCAAGCAGGATCTTCCACTAATCTTGACTAATGCCTATTTTCAATTATAGGGCAGTCTGACTGTTAACTACAAATCTGTGACCATCAGCAAGAGCTACCTGCACTGCAATTCCTTTTTGAGGATGACCGAAGGACCAGTTACCAGTGTGGGACAAGAGTCCAAGACCTTCTGAGGCCAATGGGATGGAAAAGCAATAAAAGAGCATGAAAAAAATGACTTATGGCTTCTTCGATGGACTGGGCTTGCTCTGAAGTCCACAGGATGTTCCCGTTCTCATCTGAGTCACGTATTTTGGGGTTCCATCGAGGTCATCATTTTTTAAGTTTGAGGTCTACTCAAAAAAGGATTTACATATGCAGGGGACTAAAATGTCAAAGGAAAAACATTTTGTTTCAAAAAATATGGCTTAAAACCTTTCATTTCCAAGATGGTGCAACAACTTTAAAAAAAAAATAAAATGGAAGCATATTTTAACATAAAGCCTCATTGTGCATCTAAAAATTGTATCAGATATTTTTACATTTTTAGCAAGTTTTTAAGCTTCTTTCTCACAACTAAAACTATTCTGGGAAACCAGCATAAATTTGAAAAGTGGTTAAATTAACTGGAGTCAGCATTTTTACCAGGGGAAGAAGGAAAAAAAAGAAAAAAAACAACTTCACCTAAAAGATTTCACCCAGCTTGAGTCCAGTACCTGAGGTCTCACCATCTTAGCTCGCATGAAAAAAAAAAAAAAATCAAAAAAAAAAAAAAGGAAAAGATATTGGCTAGTTATGCACCCTAGAAAAAACACCCAGGCCAAGTTCCTCATCACTTTTCCTTGATCTGCAGATTTTTTTAAGAAGCGAAGGATCGAAAAGCAGTGCTCAGGGAAGGTCTGCAGTGTGAGCAGGGACTGGGCATCCAGGGCTCTCCTTTTGTCTCCCCTTGACTGGGACGAGCTTCAGGAGACACCACAGCATAGAAGGAAAGACTGTGGGTCAAACTTGGATTGGTTTTGGTTTTCAGCGTCAAAAAAGCATTTTTTCTTCTCCATCTTTTTTTTTCTATAGGAGTCTCTTATGGGGGGTTTCTAAGAAATTGAAAACCTTCATTCCAAGTCCATTTTCAAAAACAGGGCAGATTAAAAACCGGTTTTGTTTTGTTCATGTCAAAATATTTCCCATACTTTTTCCCTGCTTTGCAATGGAACAAAGAGAGTTAAGAAGGACTTTTTCCCTGAGTTTTTTTGCAAAGTGAAACAAAATGAACATTTTCTTTTTGAACCAACACAATTTTCTTTTTGCACTGAATTTTTCTTCGAGGCTGGCAAAGCTTTGCAAAAAGCAGTCATGTGAAAGACATAATTTTGTTTCCTTTGGCACTGAGGTATAAAAAAAAAAACCCAACTCATTTAGCTATTTTAACTAGCCCTACTGAAAAATCCCTCAGGATGGAAGAAGAGTTGGCTCCTGGGATTCCCAGATGTTGCAATGGAGGCAGAAAGAAGGGGTAAATTTCTCCTTTTTGCTGTCACTGTTGTTTCTAAATTTTAAGCCTGATCTGTAAATTTTCATCAATTACGACTGACCTGTTGGAAGAGCCCAACCCATGAGCCAACACTGAGGTCCACCAGAGCTTGCCCCAGCAGGAGGATACCTTTCCATTGGTGTCCTTGGGCTGGAGGTCGAAGGCTCGGATGACATAGACCCTGACAAGACACTCCTGGGGTCCTCTGGCCGGCAGCTGGTGGAACTGCCGAGGTGGCACTGGGACTCGCGGGTCATCGGGGAGAGGGTAAATTTTGAACGAACCCTGTGAAGGACAGACATGGTCAGCTGCGCTTGCACACCCACATGTGCGGATGGGTCTTGTGTGAGCAGGCTTGCAACGACAGTCTGGATGCTTGCATAGCATCATAGCATAGTTTGGGTTGGGGGGGACCTTTAAAGGTCACCTAGTCCAACCCGCTGCCGCGGGCAGGGACATCTTCAGCTTGAGCAGGTTGCTCAGAGCCCCATCCAACCTGACCTGGAAGGTTTCCAGGGATGGGGCACCTACAACTACTACAATGCTGGGGACAGAGCCCAGATCCTGACCCTCTTCTGTCTACTAGACCAGACCATGTCCTGCCAGGCTCCTCATGGTCGAGGGAGTTAGGAGCGGGGTGGTGAGCCCCTGTATCATTCACCCCTTTGCTTGAACATCGATGCAAACTCTGCTACACCCCTGCACAGAGCACCTCTCGCCTGTTCATCCTTTCTCTCTTCTGCTTCACTGTTGTTTGAGCCTTCAAGCTATTAAAGTGGTGTGAAGGGGCCTTGCTCCCAATGCCAACTAGCCCCCCCCAAAAGGTTTAGGCTGAGACTTTCAGGGACAGTTTGAGGGTTCCTGAACAAGGCAGCTGGTTCCTGAGAGAGGGATGGGAGGAGGAGAGAGAAAATGCAAAAATTTACAATTATTTTATTCACGAGAGCTGATTTCCTCCCAGTGAAGTGGCAGAATCAGTCTCTGGGTATTGTTTGGGGGAGGAGAGTGCTGGGTAAGAGTGGGATTTAAAAAAAAAAAAAAAAACAACTAGAAAATTTTAATCCCTCTTCTCTTGCAAATAGGCTAAAGGTTAAAAAAAGCAAAGGATGCACCGCTTCTCTGCACTGGGCAGACACCTCTAAAGGGAGAGCTCTGAGCACCAGTGTGGTGAGACCACCAGTGCTCACCCATGCTCCCACTGCTGCCCCAGAGGAAGAAGATGCTCCATCGCTTAAATCCAGCATCAGTTTCAGATGGGTTTTTGCTCCAGGGTGACGGCACAGCCTAGACTGTGTTTGAAGCACGCAAGGCACTCGCTGCTGGGAATACAGCAGCCAGACCTGCACAGGCAGGTTGTTCAGACTGGGACCAGTGGTCTACTTTTATAGCTTATTTCTCACTGAAGTCCTACCCAAAAATAGTCATTTGGCGTCACCCCGCTCAGCAGCAAGACCTTCCACCCAGCAGCGTGTGTTCCTGGGTACAGGTAGAAAGAGAGACCATCACACCTTGAACTCCCCCACAACCGAGGGGTCATCATTCGAGTCCTGTGACCGGCCACGATACAGCTTGAAGGTGTGGCAGAAGTCAGAGAGATGCTCAAAGTCCTCCACATTCTCCAGCTCCGTCTCGTAGACCTGGGGAGGGAGAGATGGGGGGCAAGGCGGGGGCAGAGGGGGACCAGCTGCATGTCTCTGCCGATCTGGGACAAGACTTGACCCAAGCTCCTCAGTCTGGGGGAAATACCACCCACTGGGACAGAGTCCTGGGACCTGTCACCCTTGTTGCCCCCCCAGGACAGTGATGAAGAACAGACCTTGAGCAACCCTACAATAAATAACAGCACATCACAGAAGACCCAGACTAAGCCAAGGTGTTGCAGAAGGTTTTTCACCAGCCAAAGAGACCTTCCTGCTGGGAACATTTTCCTTAAGACCAGGCCAGGTCTGCCCCATTTTATTCTATTTGGGCTCCTGTGTTAATTTTAGCAGTTCTTGTAACAGAGTACCTAAATCTCCCTCTTCCCTAAGCAATCTCTAGCATTCCTTGTTGTTCCCAAACACTTTTCAGGGTGGCAGTTCCCCACCTCCTCTGCCACTTTTCTAAGTGACGATTTTGTGAAGGCTGCAAAGTGGAAAGTTACCAGAAAGGATTTTCTAAAGAAAACTGAGTTTTCAAAACAGTTATTTTTTAGAACAAAAGTACTTGTTCTCACAGTAAAATTATCTTTTTTTTACTTCTTTTGTCCCAGAAGAAAAAAAAAGCCTAAACCCTCAAAAAAAATCAAAGCCTCTGGAAAAACATCATGGGAAGTGCAGGTCCAATGAGCCAGAACCAGCCGAGGCCACTTACCTTCAGGGTGTCAAAGCCCTTCTCTAAATAGCAGCCACATTTTTCCCTCTCTCCTGTGGAAGCATAGAATTTGCTCCACCAGTCAATGAATTCTTCCTCCTGCGGCAAGGGATACCAAAGTTACACATCTCCACGAGCAAACCCCCGTGATCAACTAATCTCCCATAACTGCTAGAGGTGAACTTATAGAATCATAGAATCGTTTAGGTTGGAAAAGACCTTTAAGATCATCGAGTCCAACTGTCAATCCAACACCACCATGCCCACTAAACCATGTCCTGAAACTCCTGTCCTGTGCACCAACCCCACGGCACAGCTGGGGCTTGGTGGGTCTCTGTCCTGCAGAGGCTGTGAAGCTATCGTGACCCCAACCTGCAGCTCCTCACTCCCTGGTTTCAAGGTGCTTTTGGGATGCTTCCAGCCCAAATCCAGCTGTTGCAGCCACAGCAACGCCATGGACGTGGACCTGTCAGCAGAGAGGATGATTCTCCATGGGAGGAGGAGGCAGAGCTCACAAGAAGAAACTTTTTAGACCGGGGCAGATTTGGGCCATTTGGGTGGTGGTCTTCCCAGGACCTCAGCGCAGGACCACACAGGGGATGAGACTAATTAACTCTCATGCTAACATGGTCCTGACAGCCTGAAATTCGGGGAGGATGTGAGGGCTGCTCTTAAACTCGACCCCTGCTTTAGGCTTTGCCTGGAAGGTTTGGGGGTTTCTGGGATGGGGATTGCCTTTCTGGTTTGTGTCCCAGCACCATCCACCTCCCCATCCAAAGCACATTGGCAAACAAATAAATGCATAAAATGCATATAGTTCCACTAAAACCAAATGGCCCTCAGGTGCTGCACCTCTCTCAGGAAGAGTGTAACTCTCTTCTCATTGATATTATACAAAGAAACGGGCAAATCTCACACAGCCTCAGCCTCACAACATCACAGCCCACAGCCACAACACCATTAAGGAGCATTTGCCTCATCTGCTATGCAAACTGCATTTCAGCTCCAAGGATGCTGTTCCAAGAAGAAAGCCGGCTGCCGGCTTCAGCAAATGTATATATTTTATAAGAGCACCATTTTTGAAATTTATACAAGCAAAGATGAAGGGGCTTTGACTGTGATTCATGAAACATTCCTGAAAAATAATGATGTCTTATTTTAGAAGTCCACAAAATTCCATCACACTGACCTAATGGAGGAATCATAATAGAGGTTTATTGGATTTATATTTTAAGCCAACGGTGCAGGCTTTAAATTGATGTCTTGAATAGACATTGTTTTTAATAGAAATATTACATAAATTAACTCTGAGGCCTCTGCTGCCTCCCTTTTTTTGAAAAAATAAAAAAATAAAAAAATTTGCCTTTCATCGCTTCCCCTGTTTTATTGTTTAAAAAGCTACACTCTGACCATCATGGCTTTATTACGACATTCCACAGGTACTGAGTTACAAAGAAAGCACTTAAACTAATCTGACGACTTACCCATGGTATCTTCTGCAGCCCCAAAACAAAGAATTTGGTTAGATATTTTTGCTGATTTCTACTGATGTTCCAAAAAAAGGGGGGAAGAAAAAAAAAGGAGGCAAGGGGAGCAGCTGGAATGTTAATAGCAAAGGAGATTAATCCATTTGCCTGCAAATGGGAAAGCCAGGGAAAGCAATGGCTTCACTGCACAAGTGATTGAATTCAGGGATTTCATTTAGCAACCAGGTGATAGCCAAAATCATCTCTGGTGTTTTATCTTGGACATGGTACAGGAGGGTCCTCAGAGTCGGGGTCTGTGCCCTGAGCCTTGGCGCAGATGGCTGAGGGACGTCAAGCATCCTGCACGCCCTCTCCCACTTTTGCATGGACCCCACGGGGCTGCAATGGGGCGCACCCCCACGGGTGAGCATCACTGGTGGATAAATTTCACATCAAGTGACAGACGGCTAAAATTTTGGCTTAGGGAGAAGCTCACTCAGATGGGGTGAGCCACTGTCATGGTTATCAGAAGATCTGCTGTCTCCCCATCCCCATTCATTCCCTCTTCCCTCACGACCACAGCTCCCATGGAGCAGGGACCACCATAATGTGGGCTGGCACCTGCATCCCAAATGCCGTGAGACTGGAGTCAGGATTGCAAACACTTTCCCATTCCGCACCGACATAAAGTCAAGACCTTTCAAGCCCCAGGGTGCCCAGCTTTGGCATTTTCTGCTAAAATCGGAAGGTCAACATTTGACACAGGAGCGGCGGAGGAGGGTCCAGGACCATTTCACCAGGCAAGAGCCTGAATGGGAGCATTTCATCAGTTTTCCAGCAGCTCCGTGAGCATCCAGGAAAGGGGCAGCAGGAGAACCCCTTCCAGGGGCACATCCCAGAAGAGAGGAATGCCTTATGGCCAAAAGTATGGCGTGTCCAAAAATAAAGAAATTCAGATTTTTTTTAAAAATGCCTTTAAAACCAGAATTTCACCATCAGGCTGCAACTTCCCACTTGAAACATTTCTGGGATTATGGCTTGGACACAGCAAAAGCACTCAGACACATGCTTAACTTCAATCGAGTGTGCAAATCCCTCTGAAGTCAATGAGGCTCTTCAGACGCAGCCTTAAGGGCATTCTGGATCAGGCCTTCGGTTCAGCAGAGCCAGCAGCTGCCGTTTACTTACCACCTTCAGATAATAGGGAAGGAGGTTTAAGCTGTGCCTGATCTCCACGTAGGACTTTCACCCAGGGCTGTGCACATTGCTGTTGAGGGTACTGAAATCCTCCCCTCCCCTGGACCCCGAAATGCAGACCTGTGTCATCCCGGCAGCTCTCGGGGTGCTTTCAAGCTCATTTTGTTTCACCCAGGGGGGAATGCACCAGTTTTAACCTCAGTTTTGCCAGGGATGCTGAGCTAGAGCGATTTTCTCCCCACCGCCCAGGGTTTCCTGCAACTGCGAGATTGTCCCATCGGGTGTGTTCCCAGATGGGGACAGCAGGAGTCTGGGCTTGTCCAGCATAACCCAATTTTCACAAAATATGTTGAAATGGCCATTTTGGTCTGGAGCAAAAGGAGGCAGGGAAACCTGAGAAGTTGCCATGCAACGGACATGCTGGCTTCTGGTGAAATTTAGTCCTTATCATCGGCACCTTACAGGTTGGGGAAACTGAGGCACAGAGAGGTTAACGTCCAGACAGCAAAGCCAGGAGAGCAAAGCAGGCATGAGACAACCGAAGTCTTAATACTCATGCTTGCTCTCCTAGTGATTACACGCTCTTCCCTGTGGGAATATAGATAATTATAGCAATAATAAATACTGCCTCTAAAGAAGCTAAGCCACTGCCTCAGTCTCAAATGTACTCGCACCTCACATCTGGGAGGCAGATTTCCTGCTATGAGAAAGCTCTGCAGCTGGGATGAGAAGATCCCTCTAGAAACAGCCTGGACATTTATAGAGGCAGCTCCCCAGCTGTTTGTTACCACGCTTACCCTGCATCTCAGCCTTGGAGCGGGTGGTATTAGCATCCTCATCTGCTCCAGTGCAAAGGCAGCCTGGTCAGCTCAGCTCATTACCCGACTAAACTAACCCAGCCCAGCCCTGTCCTCCTGCGGGCACAGAAAACTCCAGCGGAGAGAACCATGGCAAACAGCTGGGGAACACAAAAATGTCTTTAAACACCGCAGCTGCACTCCTCGGGGTTTTCTGACCACATCCTAAATCCCTCTGCTGCTGTCTAGCATCGCTCCAGAGGTCGGCATGCCCAGGCAGGAAACCAAACGGCTCGCTGCTGCAGGAGGCATCCTCGGGGTGGTTCTGCAAGGAGACGGCAGCGACAAAGCCCACCAGCCACCCACCACCCAAGCAAGGTGCCACCTACCCCACGCCGGGGAGGCACGTCAGCCTCTGCTGCCCACGGGGAACTCTGTCACCTACAAATGCAGACCAGGAGCAGTTGCAGAAGTGCCTGGGAGGCAGGAAAAAATCAGATTTTTCCTGCTAGGAGGCCATGCCCTGCCCAAGACGCTGGGGTGGAGGTGTCACCAGCTGGGCTTGGGACCTCGCACCCACCAGACGTTGGGAGCCAGAGGAAACCTTTTTCGTGTTAACAAACCCCCCAGGTCCTTGAACTCCAACCTCTTCCCCAAGAGGGACTTGTCTTTCGTTATCCTTGGGTTAACCTGGTCCTTTCTCCTGGTTCCTTCAACCTATCTCAGGGACTTGCCGCAGCTCTGAGCAGCACCGTGCAGAAAGCAAGGCTGGAGGCAGGAGGAGAAAACCACATGCATCCACGCAGAGAGGCTGCAAGAGGACACGGCTTATCCTTCCATTAACTCTTCAAGGTGTGAACTGTCAGATGTTCATAAAGAGAAATTATCCATTTAGGACTGTTTCACTGGGGTTGGTTTTGGTTGGTTTTTTTTGGTTTTTTTTTCCCACAAAAATGTTAATTTTGCTCAGAAGTGGACAAAACTGTTTGTTTGCAGTGGGGGTTTTTTTTCACCCTGTTCAATCAGCCTACAATTAGCCATGTTCACCTGAAGGCAGCCACCCACGCACCTTCTTGCCACCATTTTTCCTCTGTCCTGCGGCTTATATTTGGGGATGCTTTCCCCTGCAACCCTGGCTGGTGGAAAGCCAGCTTGACGTGCATCCAGATAGGTCTGGAAGGGCTTTCACCCATCGCCCGTGGCAGTGCTGTGGGCTGTCCCCTGAGCGTGTGTGAAACACTGGGAGAAAAAAAGACGGCAGGAACGTGCCGGGGGGGCAACACTGGGCTGCAGAGTGGGTTGGCGACCGTTTTCAGCAAGAGATATCCAACACCAAGAGCTCTTCCAACTAACAGTAACAGGATAAGCCGTAAAATATGTGCTCTGATTTGGAACTAGCAAACACAGCAAATAACCAATTATTCCAAATAGTTTACAGATTTTGACTTTTTGTTTTTGGCTTGGGTTAGCTTTGCTAACTTGTCATTTGATGGGTTATTTGTATTTCTTACAACCAAAGCATGGCAAGCCAAAATAATGGTAAGAATAACTGCGTCGAAAGCACCTTAGAGTGCTTCTCAGGGGAGAACGGAGGCTCCTCGTTGCAGTTTCATAGCTCAGAGGTGTCTGAGGGCTCCTTGTGAGCTCCTCTTCTCTGGGAGATGCTCATGAACTGCCTGACTCCTGCTACTGCTCCAGCAAGATAAGGCTGGTGGAGAGGAGATCTTGCCAGACCCTTTCACAGCTGGGAATGCAGGAGCTGCTGGGGCATTAACCATGGGGGGGTCCTCTGCAAAGGGACAGCTCTCCTGCAAACCTGGGTCCCTCCACTCCCACCACCTGCCACCCACGTCGGTGCTTTCACACTAACCTCACATTTTCACTCATCAGGACCCGAAAGCTCATTTGTACTTCTCAGGAGAAGGAGCCTGCCTGCCCCTTCCATCCTGAGTCCTGAGCAGTGTGGAGGAGACACGGACAAGGACACCGTGCCAAAGAGGATTAGGGCCCTCAAAGCCCCTTGGTGGCAAACAGGTGCTTTGCAAAATGCAACTTTTCCTCGCCAAATATACCATCCTTATTCTTTGCTTGCACAAGCAGCTTTCTGGTAATTCCCAGCTGTATCTGTTGCCATTTTAAAGTGACTCTTTAGAAGCATTTCTGTATTTTCCTCTGGCCCTTAACAATGAATCAATAACACTCTTATTTATCACTAATACTGCCCTGGCACACAGGGACCCCGCTCGGGATTCGGCTCCCATTGTGCTGTGCTCTGCAGAAAGAGAGAAGGATGGGAAACTGCCCCAAACAGTTTCCATTTAAAGATTGCTTTTAAGACAGATATCAGAAACAGGCCAAAAGCATAGAGTTTTACAGTCCCTTGTTCGTAAAGGGATCCTGGTGTGACCAGCTCTGGTGGTGGCATCTACACTACATCTACTTGAGCTTTAGCCATGATTCAGCTGACTAAATACAGGCTTTGATCTTAGCAAGAGGTGTATTGCACCTTCTGCTGATGATGTCTACGGGCTCTCCTCTGTCCTGCAGTCCCCTGCGCTTTCCCAAACTGACACCCCAAGGGTCACCGGGATCTCATTCTGAACACTCTCAGGTTGGCTCTGGCGGGCATCGTGGCAGAGACACGGAGGGCGATGGCACCTCCATCCTCCGAGAGCTTCGAGGGGACACTGGCCAAGCCCAGGTGAGGCTCTGGGGATGGTTTGACAGTTTGAAAAGGGGATTTACAGGACAACAAGGAGGGGATCTTGTGGATAATTGCAGAGTGCTCCTCCCAAGCAGGGAGGGGGAAAGGCCTCCTGAAAGAGCTTATTTTGACATTTTAAGAAGTCATGAGTCTCTCTTTCACCCTTTGAACGTGACTGAATCACTTGAACTCCAGAAGAATGAGCCGGGACTTCAGCGTGGTGGGAAGGGGTCAGATCTCGAGCAGAGGTGCATCTGCGAGACATAGGTGTTGCAAAATCATCTTGTTTTGCTTATGCCAAAGATTCTCAGGAGGGACAAGAGAGGGACGAAGGGCCAGCTCCTGACTTTGCCTAAGAGGACTTTGGCAACAGCAGCACCAGAGGAGTGTGAAGAGAGGCCAGATTAGAAAGGGTTTACGAACTAGGTTATAAACAATTGCAGATTAAGTGCTTGGATCCGTGCAGGCTCCAGGCAGAGCCTGAAGCATCAGCTCTGGCAGCCCTGACCTGGCGTCCCCACCACACTATCACTTCTCCCCAGCCTTCACCCCCCAGGAAGGCGTTGGGGATTGCTGCCACGGGGAGCAGAGGTGATGCCCTTCGCCCTCCTTGGTGGCTCGCTGGGTCCCCCCCAGCAATGCCTACCCCATTTTTCCAGAGCCGTTTTTGGGTCTGAGGTTTTTTCAAGGTTTTCTCAGCACACTGAGGCCACGCTGCTGGGGAGGCAGAAAACCCACACGCTCGAGATGAAGGGGGAAAAAAAAAAAAAAAACACTTCTTGTGGACTGCACTGATGAGATGGACAGACTGATCTACAGGCTCAGCTCTCCATGAGGGGCAAGCCCACAATCTCCCACCACGCTCCCCCTCCTCCAGGTCATTAACGCCACGGTCGGAGGCAGAACCCAGCGAAGTTCAGGAGCTCCCTCACACACTCCAACACTGGGCTGGATTTTTTTGGCCGTAAAAGCTTTTTTCCTAATATTTAACCAGCTGCAGCCCCTATGCCTCATTCCACAGCTCCTGCTTTCGTGCGAAGCTCCCCAGCTATAAAGGAGAAGGAGACGGGAAGGAAGACGTGCATGGGCCGTCTCGGTGACCTGCTTTCCAAAACAGGATGGTTTCCCCCAGGAGGCGTCAGCAACTCTCCATGACGTGAGGTTTATTATATTTAATCACATTCTTGTAGGGTCCTGGTGAAGGCCAGGAGAATGGGTTTATTACTGCCTAATATTCTGTTGCTTTTATTTTAAATTAATGGTTTGCAGCTTTTTTCTTTTTCTTCTTTTTTTTTTTTTTGCAAAATTTTATTTGAACTAAAACAAAAACATATTCACGTAAATTAAAGATGCTGATGAACAGAGAGAGGGGGGAGGCTATTTATGGAGCTTTTGTTTCCATACTCCGCATCCCAGCACAGCTACCCATCTGTCTGCTCTGTGCAACAAAGGAAGCCGCATCAGTGAACAATATTATGTGGGTACAGAGGATAAACAGGGTACTGGAGAGATGCACGTAGGGCCAACAGAGCACATATCTATATATTACAGAGAGACAGGCTGGACGTTAAACATGCCTCCAACCCTATGCCAAGACCTACAAAGGTTTCCATCGGGGCTTCTGCTGCCATGAAGCTGCAACCCACCTCTTACTCACATGCTCTGCTTGCTCGATTTTTACTCTATTTTCAGCAAGTGAAAGCCCAATTTATCTTTCCTTCCATCCTGCATGGTCAGACCTCAAAGGGATGCTATTCCTCTCAAAGACACAGTATAAATAACACCTTCGAGCTGACCTTCTTCCAAAGGTCTGGGCTGACTCATCCGTGTTTTACACCCCAGGGCTGAAGCGCACGGGCAGCGCTCCGGCTTCGGCCATGGGAAGGAGTCACTGTCTATTGCAGCGAGGAAGGGGAAAGCAACGCAACAGAGTCTGGCCTGAAACACGTGGGAGGAATGTGCACGGTTTTTGGCAGGAACAGCCCGTGTCCTGTAACTCATGGGCTGGTATCAAGAGGGACCTAAGAGGGGTGAAGAGCCCCAGGGTCATGACCCTGCTAGGGATGAATTTGGGGCATGGAGAAGAACTGCTCCTCTGGAGTGTCAGCCCTGAGAAAGCAAAGCAACTTCACTGCCCTTCTTACAAAACCCAGGAACATCCCAAACATCTGAATTTCTTATGAAAAGGGAGCAGGAGACACTTCGCAAGGAGGGATCTGTCACTGCTCAGCTGCTGCCTAGCATCTCCCTCATCCCCACACTTTGAGGGCACCAGGCTGTATACCTGCAAGAACCAGGACTGTGCAAAGTCCTGCTGATGAGATGAAACCTTCCTTGGGGTGAAACCCTTCTCCTCATGGAAGGCCAACACCTTCTTAGTTCAACTTATGCCAACATGATGCCTAGGACTTGTCACGGTCCCTGAGCTAGAACATGGAGGAGCACAGAAGTCCCACCAAGTCCTCAACCACGCCACTGCAGCCACCCAGGACACACCATCTCCACTGAGCTACCAGGCTCTGCTGGCACGCACAGAGAAGCCAGAGGCTGTTGGGAAGACATCTGACCTTGAGCACATATGTAATTCTGCTGGCTCCGCAAGGACAAGAGGGAGGAAGCTTCCTCATCCCTTCTCCCAAAACCGAGCTCATTTTTTTTTTGGCATGAAGGAAAACAATTGCCGAAATGCACACACACCTGTAGCAAGGTGAAATTGCCATTTTTCTGGGACAGCGAGGGGATCTTTCACAAAAGGAAATGCCTCAATTTTTGCAGTTTTTAAATATATATATATATGCACACATATCATCCACAAAAAACATTAATCAAGCAAGTAAGTTAGAAATTAAGCAATACATACATGAGGCTGGACCCAAGAAGCTGGTATGTTAATTAATGCTGAGCTGGTCAGACCCTCTGCAAGCTACAAATTAAAATGATTGGTTATCAATGGGGTTAGAGGAACAATGTTTAACATATATCAGCAAAAGCACAATTTAGGAGAAATAAAATTAATTAACCCGTACAGTGCCACCTTCCCCCTCCCCTGGGTTACAAGGCTGAGGTCTCCCCGGACAAGGCATCCTTGGCACAAGAGCAGGGTTTGGGTTTTCACTGATGTTTATCAAATGGGACTGTGTTTGAATGGTTGCAGAGAACAAATGGGGTACTAAAGGGAAACTGCCGCAAAAACCCACGTTACAGAAAAGCTGTTAATATTTCTCAGCGCAGGACAGCATCTCCTCCTGCAGACACTGAGGGCTTGCAAACACAGTGAGCCAAGTTCATCGCGGGAGCCAGGGAAGGATCTGACCCAGGCTGTTTTTAACAGAAAGGGATTAGGAGAGCTCAGGACCAAGATCTGGTACAAACAAAACACCGAGCACAAGCACAGCTTGTCCTTGGTAAACCAAAAGCTGCCATCACCTCCCCCTGCCCTGGGCAGCAAGCAGCAGCTCTGCTTCTGTCTTGCAAGGTGTGTTTCCTTCAAGATGGAGAAGGGGGAAAATTAGATGTTCTCACGAGAAAATAGCTGGTTTTGAGCATCAGGCCAAGCCCGATGGCACTCCCGCTGCTCACCAGCCCGGGCTGGTCCCCGAATGCACTGCTTTTGACCCCATTGAACCAGACCTGCATCAGACCTTGGGTCAAGGTGAAAACACTGAATTTACAGCTGCTTCATGGGGGAAAGATTCCCCTGGTCTCAGTTCCCACTAGGACACCCATGCAACTCTAGGAGAAGAGTGAGAGACAGCTCCTCTGTGACTGTTTTATCAACAAGTAGAAGGAAGAAATATCTGCTCATCCCCTGGGGCTGCAGGTGGACCTCGCGGTTGTCCTTCCTGAGCTGCTTCCCATGGGGATGAGGACGCAGGAAAGAGCATGGAGAACATGGGGAGGCTGTGGGCCCTTGCAAAGCCCTACTCTGTGTGCATCTCCTAGAGAAGCAAACTAGAAGGTCTTAGCCTAGGAGACCTTGCTACAGAAAAATTGCCTTCCTATGCGTTTTAGAAGCTTCTTTTCTTCACATTCAGTAACCATGATGTTTCCAGTTCATGTGCACATAGACTTGTTCTAAACAGACCTCAGGCTGAACTTCTCACCCCACTTGGATGAGACGGACAACACACTCAACAACCTCAGAGCAGAGGGGTTTTGTGTCTGTTTGTTTTCTCTATTTCAGATGAGGACAACAAAGTGATCCTTTGTTCCAGTCATCCATCAGAGGAGGGACCACAGCCAGGCTTGGCAAGGAGGGAGAAGGGCTTTGGAGCCACACAATGAAACACACCCATGCGCACACGCACGGGCAGGAACAATCCCGGCTCCTGCTTCCAAGGTCACCACTGGAAGAGCACGCGGTACGGAGACTGCAGCCCTGGGCAGGGGGTCCTGGCCCGGGATCCATCCCCTTTCCCAGGGAGAAGGAGTAAGATGGCCTCTGCAGACTGGGACTCCTCCTTCACCCTCCAAACCTGGCCCCAGCAGGGAGCCAAGCGGGGTGGAGGGACCCTGATGGCTGCGGGGTGTCAGACCACCCAAGCACAAGTCCCCCCGACCCATGCCTGCCACCAGGAGAGGGTGGTCATGGGAGGAACAGCATTCAGGGCCAAAATTTAGAGGTTAGGGAGGGAGATGGTGGGAATTTTGGCTTGGCTTTCCATGAACAAGCCCTCTCCTCCTCCGCTCCCCAAACAAAGGGTGAAAGTGAAAGACAAACAAACAAACAGAGAAGAATTAATCTGGGGTCACACTGAATAATTCAATTCATTGCAGGGTGTTTTGTTTGTGAAATGTTTCTTTCAGTAAAGAAATGTCAAAGCCTTCCACTTTGAAACCGCTGCAGCAGAGTGTTTTGCCTTTGCCACATCCCTCTCCCCCTTCTTCCCCTTTTACCTCCCGTTTAAACGGTTCCCCAAGTTTGATCCGAGTTTGTAAATGCTTTCAATAGGCTTTAAACTGCCCCAGGGAACAAAGTATTTATTGCAGAGCCGGGTCCCTCCAGCTGCAAACCTCTGTCTCACTCCTTCCTCTGGGACCTCTGTGCCAATCCACCACCGCTGGGCAGCAGCCCCCCGAGCAGCAAACACTGTGTACACCTGTATAAAGGTCTGTGTGTGTCCCCATCCATAACTTTTGTCCCCAAAAGGCTGATCTGAGCAGGTTTGGTAACATCGTGATGAAGGAAGAGCTGAGCTGCTCCATATGTACCAGCCTCAGGAGCACCGCAGGAAACCCAGCTCATTACTCCTGTTGCCCGCAACTATTTTTGGGGAAGAAGGCCCTGCCTTCAGGTCTGGGGACATTGCTAGGGAAATATTATTCTGACCTTTGCTGGACATTTAAAAAATAAAAATTACATCATGCAATACGTGGTGTCATTTATTTTGGTTAAAGGGAAGTCAAACATGAGCAAGAGCTCACTTCACTTTGCAGCCTAAGGCTGAGGCACCTCATTTCGGAGAGGCCACAGGTGCCCCCCTTTACCCACCCCTCCCTCGCTTATTGCCACAGCCCTCCTCTTCCTCACAGGCATCCTCAGAAGCCAGAAGGTTGCTCACCTCTGTCCTCTGCACCCACTGCCCATAAATGCCTTCCTGGATGTTTTGCTAATTGTTGGACTGAGCCTGAGTCCCCTAATGACGAGGTCTGCACACAGGAATGGGGAGACGGGCTGGGTTTCCTTACAGACAGATTTACTTCTGCACATCCCAGCCAAAAGCTGCCTGGGGGAGCAAGTAACAAGAAGGAAAAGATACTCGGTATCACCTGCAGGCAACCCTCAGGAAGGGCTTTTGAACAGGCAGCCCATGGGGCAAGCCTCGGGGAGCTCACAGGAGATCAGACGTTACCAACTTTTCCACCCCAACACCAACTGGGACCATGGCTTCCTCCCCACTGGGACTCAGACCGGGATGCTCCGTGCCCGTATCTCCAGCAGCACAAAGAGAGGGACAGATGCTGCAGGAAGATGCATCTTTCCCCCATCTGCAGCCCCAAACCCAGTAACTGCTCTCCTCGCTCGGCAGCATGTCCAGGGTGGTGGCAGGTCCTCACCTCCACCGAGAAGCAAACAGTGGTAGAGAAACACTGAGGATCCGGCTGCCAACAACCTTCTGTTCCCTGATGGGGGCCCTATTTTCTGGTTGTCCCCTTCCAAAAATGCCTCTTTTGCCTCCAGGTTGGTAGGAAACCTCATTTCCTCCTGCCAGATGTGAGCCTGGCCACCAAGGGCCACCGACGGCCACCTCCGGGACGCAGAGCTCTAGCTCTTAGCAGAGTTGTGTCCCTGCTGCTGGGGGCACACAAGGTCCCCGTGATGGATCCGAACCTACTGTGGACACAACAGTGGTTCTAATTTTCAAAGCAAGTAGTGGATGGAGAGCCAGCTGTACCAAGGATGAGGCATTGATCTACGTACCCCTCCATGGTGTGTGGCTCTCCATCAGGTCAAGGAGCACCCCAAAGTCTCAGGGAAGAACTTCAGAGCCAGGGAAACAACGTTTTTCCATGAATTTGGATAGAAAGCACACAAATTTCCAAAGAAGGATGAGTGGTAGGGTGTAATTCAAAAGACAGATGGACAGTTCTGGATCTGGCATGCCATCAGAAGCGCCTACAGCTTCTGCAGGAGCACTCAGCTATTGCATGGACTTTAAAAACTGGTAAGGGGCAGAACGTGTGTTTGGACAAGAGCATCCAGAGCAAAGCTTTGGAAAGGATGGGAGCTGGAGGAGGGTCCGGGACTGCTACTTTCCTTCCTCCCATTACAACCTGCTCATGGGCGACCCACCAGCCCAGCCCTGAGTCTGAAACGGGCGCCCTTGGTCCTCGGCGCAGCCCTCCCTCGCCCCTCTCCTGCCTGGAGCTGTTTGTGCCGCAGTGGGAGGAGATTTGGGGAGCAGGGCCAGATCCTGCGGCGCCTGCGGTGACGGGGTGCGGCTCACGAAGCAACGGTTTCCCTGCGATGCACCACCACATCTGAGGAGGGGATTAATTCTTGTTTGCAATTTAAACAGCTCCGCCGTGCCAGGGCACTGCGTACACACAATAACAGAGCCTCCAGCCTCACTCCAAATTAGGCTAATGAGGAGCAGGTTTCGGGAGAGGCTCGGAGGAGAAGCTGGCTACCCTTCTCCTCCCACCTCTCCTGTCACCTTCTACCACCTTTGATGGCTCTGCGGACACGATCAACACCCAGCACGGTGCTGAGCTGCGCTTGCAAGAGGTCCCTGCACCCCACAATCCTGCTCTGCCTCCCAAACTACCCCAAAATACCCTGCCCGACTGCCTTCGCCTCTGGGTCAGCATCTCCAAGAGGTCCCCCGGCGATGGACGGGGCCAAAGCACCACCTCAGCGGTGATGGGGGTTTGCATATTTGGTTCCTTAAATGCAGATGCACACATGTCCACACAGCACCTATGGTCTCTGGCTTGCACACCCCATGCCACCAACAAGCATGTTCACGGTTAATGCTCATCAAAAGATGGAAAAAAAAAAAAGAGCTTTGAAGGACAATTTTTCATTTTCTTTTCCAAACTAACTGCAATAAAAAAGGTGGAAGCCAAAAGAAATTTGAAATTCTGCCATTTTTGGAGCGCAAATGTAAGAAGAGTGTGAGCCCTGGGTTTCTCTTTCTTGCCTTGCCCTCACCTCCAGGTGCAAAAAAAACGGGGAAAAACAGCGAAACGGTGAATGGGTCTCGGGGGAAACACTGACAGTGAATGAACTGCTGCAAAATTAACACAAAAAACATTCTTGATTTTTCCTTGCTCGAAAATAAAGAGAAGAAACTACCTAAAGAAAAGAAAAAAACCTATAAAATTCTCTTTTCATTAAAAAGCCGTGGCAATCTGATCAGGGCATTTCAAGTGACAGTGGGCACGGCAGAGCACCTCCTGCAGGCAGGGAGTCCCCCCCGAGCCTGTGCCACGGGTTTGGGGCACCCCAGGGTGCTGCTCCCATCTTGCCCATATAGCAAAGGCAGAGGTGATGGAGCAAACTGGGAGTCCCACCAACCCCGTAGAGCACGAGCATCCGGCGCAACCTTGGCCAGGCACCTTCAGCACCAGATCACAGAGGACCCCAGCTCCACGCCAGCCCCAAGCCGGGGTCCCGCGGTGGCCGCAGTCCCCTCTCTGCACTCAGCAAAGCCTTCGCCTGCGGCTCTCGTAAAGGATATTTATGGGAGGAAACTTTCCTCCCCTCCCCTCCCTCAAAAAAGCAGCCACCGGGTTAATAAACCACTGGCAAAACAAAGCAAGGGAATTTCCATTAAGTAGAGTAAAAGGTAATTAGCGGCTGGGCTGAAAGTGCCCGCCTCGTCCTGCGTCACGGCAGCCAGGGCCGGCGCTAAGCGCAAGCCCCAGCCGTCCTGGCTCCCAGCGAGAAAGCAAATTTGGGTCAAAACCCTGGGTTCCCAGAGGGAATTGCATTTCCCTTTCGTTACCTCCACCAAAGTCACGGGAGACGGAGCAGGAGCGACTGCGGGTCTGGACCCCACTGAAGGCAAAGGCACAGAAAAATCAGGGGTGGGAAATGGCGCTGGCAGATGAAGGTCAGAGGAAAGGAAACGTTTCATAAAATCAGTTGCATTTAACAAATGGTTTTGCCATCAGAATAAGGCAGCGGAGGACCAGTGTGGAGAGGGTCATTCTGATGCTCTCAAAGAGCAGTATTGCACGTCAGAAGTGCTGCAGGTTGTTATTTTGCTACACATCACCACTTTTACTGAAAACTGACCAAAAAAGAAAGAAAGGGGTAGAGTTTAAACTGTAGATTTCAGAATATGGGGGAAAAAGAAATTAGTCAAACCAAACTGAAAGTTGGGTAGATTTTTCTATTAAAAAATAAGAAATTATGCCTTCACAGCTTGACGGAGTTGCAGAAGCAAAACCAGTCCACCCATCGCTGCCCCATCTGTGGCCGTGGGTCAGGAGGGGGCCAGAAAAACCCTCTGTTGGGGGTCTTAGCCCATGGCTAAAGCAAACTCCACATGGCCTCTGCCACCAAGCAGCACCATTCCATCCTTCACACAATCTCTGTCTGTGCCCGCCACCGTGGGAGCAGCAAACCCACCCTGGGGTGCTTTGACCCTTTTCTGGGGATCCACCCCACCCACAGCTCTCTCTGCAGAGGGTCTTGCAACACTGGGGGAGGCACCGAGTGCCACCAGCTTCCTTGGCGCAGCAAAGGGACATCGCTTGCCCAGCATCATGCAGCTAATCAGAGGTAAAGGCATGACCTGCACCCCAATCCTCCTACACACGTTATTCCCTGACGCCCTCAATTTTCTCCCAAGTGCTTTCTGCGCTAGGCTAGAAAAAGGGGTTTTTTTTATTTGCAGAAGTGAAGGTTCCTGTTCCAAGACTCCTTTTGGTGTGTTTTTTTACAGACATGCTCCAGTTACTTTACTGATACAAGATGAAGCACAATTGTAAATTATTAAGACAAATCTGCAAATGGCAGGGGAATGGAAAGCCAATTAGGTTGCCAGTAGTATTTTCTGTCTGGAGTTGCTTTTTCCTTTCAATGACACTTGTTCACTTGGGCCAATGTTTTCAAACTCCACTGTCCAGTTCCTAATCAATGCTGAAGCATCTGAGGACAAGATGCCAGCATGCCAGGGAGCTGAGCATATGAACGTGGTGGGGAACCCAAAAAGCCAACTCGTTTGACATTCCTCGCTGCAAGGACTGTGGGGTGACCTTGCCTGAGAGCACCAACCTGGATCTCATCAGCGCTTGGGATAGGTAGGCATGAGCAGGGCCAGCTGCAGTCAAGACCGCAACAGGCTGGAGTCCCACACCCACAGCTTTTGCCGAGCACTGGCCAAAATCTTGATTTTTTCCTTAGCCCAAAGCCTGAAAGCCTTGAACTGGGCAGAGGCTGCAGCATGCAACGCGCGCTCCTGCTTAAGCAATGCCTGCTCAGCCGTAGGGAGGACTTGAAAGGCACAAACCTAAAGCAGACAACCTAGCACGAGGGATGCAGCAAGGAGAGACGTGCAGCTCCAGCTCCAGCTCTGAATCTCCAGGGACAGCCTGATGCTGGGACCCCAGTCTGAGCCCACCGTGGGACCCAACTGCAGATATCTGATGGCACAGATCAGTGGATCTAACGTCCTCTTGAACAGAAACACTGAGGTGTCACCAAGAAGATGAATAAAGAGCAGAAGCATCGACACACAAATTATACATCTTGCTTTTATGGGCAGTGAAAGGCGAGGCAAGAGGCATACCTGAGAGGCAGATCTCTTACAGAAAGCTCAGGCTTTTCTAGCCTGAGGTACCATGCAGCACCCACAACCTTTAAAACAGGGAGGAAGGAAATGCCAGCGCTTGTTAAATACACCAAAGGGACTAGGAGACCATGAAAAGCTCCACCAAATGCCTCTGACAACACTTTCAGCTGCTCCTGAGCCATCAGGCACGCCTACAGATTTGTGCATCACACACGCACACGTCAGCACTGGCAGGTCTCTGCCTCAAAGAGGACACATCTGCTAGCGAAGAAACCCCAGGGCTATAGAAATGTGAAGCACCAGCAGGGCCAGTGTCACCAGTGTGGCCAGACACCTTCCAGCTGTGCGTTAGGAAGGAGGAACAGCAACCCCAGTGGCATGCCCAGCCTGAGCCATCTACAAGGGGCAGCTGAGACCCATCAAACTCATGGCACAGAGAAGCCTGCTTTCTGCAACAGCAGCAACACGTCCCTCCTTCCCTGCTATAGCATGTCCAGTTCCCACCACCATGGGGTAGTCTGCAATCACCCGTGACCCTCTGCAGAGTAAGTGGAGCTGCTAAAAGCAGCGAGTGGGTTTGGAAGCAGCAGTGCATCCTGCAAACAAAGAGCAAAACTGGGGAAAGGAGACCTGCCCGTGTGGTTGTGGTAAGGACGGCTGAGCCTCAGGGAACCTTTGCTTCCAGTGTGGCCCTGGGGAAACTGTCCCATCTGCCAGCATCAGTTTACCCTCTCCAGTGCTGGGGTAAGTCCCCTCAAGGCTGTCAGCTCTTTGGGGCAGCGATGGCCGTTTCCAAGAGAGTATCCCACACAGCAGAGCCCTAAGGGGGTGACTGCAAACCTTCTTCAGCCTCAAACCAAACCATACATTTGAGGAAGAGACGCTGAAGGGAAGAGCCTGGCATGGAGAGAATCTATTGTCTCTCCTCCAGAAAAGCAAATCTGTTGCCTCATCTTAAACGCAAGGGACAAGGATGAGTTTGTCATGGCATGGTGGAGGAGAGGGGCTGAAAACAGAGGTGGAAGCTGCAGAAGGAAGGTTACAACCAGACATGACCTCACATCTGCATCACTCTCTACCCCAGCCCTGTACCCACACAAGTTCCCCCATATCATGCAAAGTAAGAAACCAGTGTCTTCCCACCGCTGCAATTTTTTCCATACCTGGACAGGAATAAGAGGCTCTTTGTCATCGATGTCAATTAGGACATCATCCCTGGGTGTGAGGCTCACATCATCTGCAATCAGAGCAAGCACAAGCATGACCAGGACATCCAGCAGTTAGAAGCTCCAAAGTTGACCCACGTTGGGATCAACGTCCAGGAGCGATCTCAACCTTGCCCAGAGCCTTCACACCAGCCAAAGCTCGTGCTCATGCAGGTTGAACAGCTTGGCCAAGGGACATCCCATCTCACCAACCAACCCCAGAGCTAAATTCCTGCTTGGCATCTCCTGGGCTTTTTGTATCGGACATTACAGCTGGGGTGAGCTAAAAGCAACACATAGAGTGACCCATAGCTCCTCCTGGAGAAGGGCTCAGGTGTGCAGCCAGCATGGTCCTCATGGCAGCACGTACCCGAGTGCTCCTGGGGACCATCCATCTCCTCTCGGTAGGGGTCACAGTAGAAGTCCTCCAGTGAGCGGATGGTGCACTGGCCCACCACGGGCCTTCGGCCAAACGGCCTGTTGTCAATGATTTTGACGATGATGGGGGGGCTGTACAGGCTCTCCTTGGGTAAACGCTGTGGGGACAGGGGAGGGAACATGTAACTATGCAGAGTGGGGAGGGCAGCAGCTCTGCACCTCCCCAAAGGGAATCGAGGTGGAGGAGGACAGAATTAGCTTCACCATAGGATGCTTTTTTTTAATGGGACCTCTGGAGGTCCTTCCCAACCAGCTTTTCTATGACCCCATCACTGCAGGATGGGGACCAGGTCCTCACCACTTCCATGAAGAGCACACAGACGTCAAAGTTGGGGTTCTTCTTCACATTCTTGATGACGCAGGACTGCACGAGCTGGCCTCCGCACTCCACCAGCAGGCTGGGCGAGGTGACACTGGCCAGTTGGTAGCTCTTGAGGTTCCTCAGCCCCCAGGCCAGGATCTGAAGGGTGAGGGGAACAAACAGCAAAGACTGAGCCAAAGGTCTGCCTCCGGGTCTCTCACTGAGCTTCTCAGCAATGGAGGTAAACCTGAAAGTTGGCCCACCATGAAGGAGAGATGAATCAACCATGTAGGACGGCCGGTGCTGGGAGAAGCCAGGTCATACAGTAAGTGTTTCTCTGTGCGCACCAATACACCAGATCCACAACTGCTTATCTATTAATGGAGCATCTCTGTTCTGGGCAAATATCACCCTGGTGTGATGCAGACTGTCCTTCTAAAAAGCAAGTGTGGTCCAGGGCTCTGATCTGCCCTAGAACTTGACTGCTTGGTGAGACTCATTTTCCCAGCAAGACATTTTTGACAGATAACTCATGAGCAGAACCAGCTCCCAGCACTGGTGGGACTCTGTAACCACAGAGTCTGGCTTGGATCCCATTTCTGGGTCTCATCCCCCCCCCTGTTAAGGACACACATTTGGGGTGTTATTCTGTGAGGGGGATAGCTGCGTCGCACGCTCCCCATCACTCACCTCGATGGCCGTGCGCTGCAGGACCGGTTTGATTCCTTGAGGGACCATGTAAATGTTGGGCTCCCGCTGGGGCGGGGGGTACGGCAGGTCAGCGTCCGCGGACTGCAAGGGAGCAGAGATGCAAAGGGCACATCAGGTCGTGCCATGATGGGACACCAACCCCATCATCTCCCCCTCCCCACACTGCGTCCCCCAGAGTCTCCTTCTCTGCAAAACTCATCTCCCCCCAGAAGTCCAGGACAGCTAGACAGGGGGACATGAGGGCTGGGGGGATGAATGTACTTGCAAGCTGTTTCTCTCCCATTGATCTGACCCTGGAAAAGATCAAACATCTACTGCTGAGAGCGATCCCTGAGACTTTCCAAGGGAACTAAGAGGGATCTGCCCTCCATCAAGGTTCAGCCTCCTTTAGGGGAGGAGGGGATGAAACCACATCTATCCCACGCCAGGACCACAGTGAGACAGTTATGCAGAGGGATGAGGAGAGGGGACGAAGCAGCAGCAGGGGGTTAATTAGTGAAATACAGCTCCTTGAGTTGGACAGAGTGAGATGCTGTGACCAACTCCTGAAAAGTAGCAATTCAGAGCGGGCAGCACAGTGGGACGGAGGGTTGGCATTGCCTCCCGATGCAGGAAAGGGCTGTCGTTCATACAACAGCTCAGCTATAAACCGTAACTGGCAGCCGCCAAGCTGCCGGCCACAGGACAAGGCTCAGATAAAGCTGTCTATGCACGGTGTACACAGAAGGAGATTTCCTTCGGGATAAGACCAAATCTGGACAGCAGGTGAGGGATTCAAAATTTGCCTTCACAGAGGAGGAAAGCAGGGAGCCAGACTTCCCCGGCCATTTGCAGAGGACGGGCTCTGAGCCCTCCCAGATTTTGGGTTCTCCTTGACCTGCATCTTTGAGTTCAGAGTCACTGAAAAACCAGGAATGAAAGCAAAACCTCTAAAAATGCAACCCTCAACCAAGGGCAGTTGGAACCAATTTAGGAGACCGGCATTCTTTTCAGGCTGGAGTATTATTGCATTAAATTAAGTGTGTATATGTATTTCAATTATAGGATTGGTTCAGGTTTATATATGTATGTATATAAATGCTCTACAAAGGGATTTTTCATGGTGGCATGTTAGATATACTAGACGCTAAGCTTTAATTTTCATTGGCAGTTGCTGGTGGCTGCTGAATCAAGCTGCTTGTTAGCTGAAGACTTTCGGTAACTCCATTTCGGGGCAGATGTCTGAGTTCCCACATGGGGCAGACGGTAAATCTGGGGCAGGCAGTCCTCCCTCCAGTGGTCCACATGCTTGCAGAAATGGTTAGTGCTAGCAGGGAAAGGGAAGGTTATCTGGGAGGTGAGTGCCTAAAGAGAAGGGAGAGGTGCAGAGCATCCCCAGCATCGCTTGGGTGCTCGGCACTTCTGGTAACCCACCTACTTACCCAGAGCCTTAATTTCAGGCTACTCAGACGTTGCACCATCAGCATGAGCTGATCCTTCCTTGGGGTAGAGGAATAGACCAAATGACCCTTGAAGAGCTATCCCCAGATTTTGTTTGTGACCTGTAGCACTTAGAGCACATCAGGTGCCTAAGCACAGACTGAACCATGAAGAGCCTCAGTCTGTCCTTGTATAGTGACCTATGTTCAATTCTAGCTTTAAATGTGCTCAAGTTGCATTTAAGTTGCATAATAGAGATGCAGAAATCACCTAGCCCATCTCCAAACCCCAAGGCAGGCTCAAACTCCACACAGCCCCTGTGAGACAGCTACACAGTCTGTTCTCAAAAAGGAAGGGGGTTTTTCCCTATCAGGGCACCTAAATCTTCACTGATGCAAATATCATGTGTTGCATTTCCTTATCATCATTGGACTAAAGATCATTCCAATCCTTCTATCCTCTGGCAAATCTGTATGGGAAAAGGGGAAAGCCTTGGGGAAAGAACTCCTGCCTGTCCCCCATCCTCTCCAGGTTCAACAGTGGCTTTGAAAGCCAACAGTGCACACTCGGCTTCTAACACTGCAATGTCTTCAGTTAACACTAGCCGTTTCTAAGTCCTTCTCAATCCCTGCTGCTCTCCTGGTTGTTTGGCAGTCGTTCCCCTGGGTCTCACCTGAATGCACAAGCATTAAGTGTTTCACCAGATGGGACAGAAATGAGCAGTGAGTCCTGGGGATGAGGCAGGAGCAGGGAGGGTTCAGGGTGGTAGTGGGGAACAAGCAATTCCCAGACACAGCTCTCAAGCCAGACACAGCAGGCTGGATGGAGGAGACAGCCATGAAAAGACCTGTGGGGTCTGCTGGCAGCTGGGATGGTTTGAACAAGGACAAGTCAGAGGGAAGCAGGGTGGAACGGAGCTCTGGAGATCATCTAGTCCAACCCTGACTTTGATACAGGGTTGGAAGCGAGATGAGCAAAAGTGAGCACAGATCAGCCCAGTCAAAACAGTGGCTGGAAACGTCTCCCAGTTTGAGTGTGCAGCTGGGCCACGTTGTTTCAAGAGGGGTGTAAATCCCAGTGCTTGGAGGGGATCTAGCCCCAAAAGGCTGCTCCCATTTGCACCAAACAGAAATGCAGTAGAAGGAAGCCTGATGCCAGCCTGGTCGTTCAGATACATCATGAGCCTGAATGAGGCACATATGAGCCAGATTCTCCATAAGGCTTGTTATTTACTGCTACGGGCACTGGAGACCTCAGGCTGGCATCACTCTTTTGGCTGCAGCCTCAGTGGGTTGGTCTGGATGGGGTTTCTGCAGGGAAGGTGGGTCAGGCCACGCCACGTCTGAAGGAGCTGGTCTCTCTGAGAGTCTCTGTTGGGACTTTGCTTGGTTTCTGGGCACAGGCAGAGAAACAGAGGAGAGTCGAGTGTTTGAGCATAAAAGGTACCCATTGGAGGAGCCCCTCGTAGAACAAGGCAGGGGTGCAGAGCTGTGGAGTGCCCCGTCCAGAAATGGCAGTAGCAAGAAATGGAGGAGAAAGAGCAGAGAGATGGTTATGTTTACATGGGCTCATCCATCTCAGCCCACACGGAGCACAAAGATGAGCCCCACACCATCAGGAAAGGCTGCTTGGGTGGAAGAAACCCATCCTGCAAAACCATGTTTATCCCATCCAACCCTTCATGGAAATGTGGCCGGGCTCTTCGCATGCCCCAGGTCCCTCCTAGCTCATCTCCCAGACTTTGGGGTTAACTGGCTCCTAGGGCCACCACAACACACAGACGTGCCCCTTGTTCAGCTCCCTGCCTTGTGTTTTCCAAGATACCAGCCTACCCTGACATTGCTTGGCTCAGCCTGTGATCTGCTCTGTAGGATGCACAAGGTCTGGGTAGCAATTTTGACGGGTTGCCCAAGCAGCAGCTCGGGATCCTGATGAGAGTATTTCCTTCAGAGCAACTGGAACAGTCCAGCACATGATCCAGTTCATGGTGAATTCCCCATGAAAAGTTGCAAACTTTTCAACTGGGATTTCAGTTGAGGTCCAGCCAAAGGTCAGCCCAGCATTTCGGCTGTTGCATGCTTTGTTTGGAAGGGTTGAGCACCAGTAGACCTCATGCACACACACATCCCACAAAGGTTAAATATTACCCGACATGCCCTGCCATCGGGAACAATTCCTGGGTTAAGCACAGAGCCCATCTACCCTGTCCTGCTGGTGATCATTTGTGCTACGAAAATCCTGATGCTATTGGCTTGACTCATCTGAGAAGAAGTGGCTGTCCCGTGTAGGCACAATTTTAACAATGTCCAAGATGAAGAGACAACTAAATCCTGGAGACTCACCTCATCCAGGCTGGAGGACAGCTCACTCTGGAGAAGAGAAGGAGAGCACAGAGTCAGAGCAATTCTCATCCATAAGCCCATCCTAGACCTTATAATTGTAGCTGATAACTGAACAGGAAAAATGATGCTTTCCAAGTTCCTGCACACCGCACGCCCTGAGGTTTGAGAAGAAATCAGTGCAAGTGACTTAAAACCATTTAAAATCCAGCATCAGCTAATGCCTGGGCTGCAGGGTAGGAAACACACTGGAGCTGTTGGGAAGCACAGCCCTTCACGATGGGAATGCTGAAATTATTGCAAGGCAGGAAGGTAATGGTGTGTTTGACACCTGAGGAATTATGTCTGGAATGGGATACATTCACCCTGTCTTACAGGTCAAAAGTGAGTTGCCCCACTCACTCCAACTCTATTTACCATCAGCGGAAAGAAACTGGCATCTCTACATGGGGATTCCTTCATCCTGAAACAAGTCCCTAAGACAGAATGGACAAATTGCCTGCAGAAGCAGGGCTGCAAACAGAGTCCACTGCAAACCTCTGCAGGAGCAGCTGATGGTGCTGGGACCCAGCAGCTCTGTTGGGGCAGGGAAGGGGACAGATTGAGGAGCATAGAGCCTAGGAGCTGCAAACAGGAGAAGGGCATTACCTCGAAGCCAGGGATGTGATGGACAGCCGGCTGTGGAGAAAAAAAAACACACATTTGCCATTTGCACTCCTGGTGCTAACTCAGCTTTATCTGGCAGAGAAACAGCAGTCCTCCCATAGCCACACGCTGCCCCCTCCATGCCCAGTGCTGGGCTCCAAAAAGCCTGAGCGAGAGGGCAGAGCTCTCCGTCCGACAACAAGGTACGAGCAGAGCCTCGAATCCCCCCAGCTGCTTTCTGCTAGGATCAAACAAGGTCCTTGGAGAGGGGATTCCTCTCCAAGGTCTTCCCCACCCAGTTCAGCAACTTCTGAGGGGGGTGAGGAGGAAGGAGAGGCTGCATGCAGGTGATCCGATGCCCCATCCTGGCAGCAGAGACGTCCCCTGACCCCCACTCAGCAGCCCCTCACTGGTGCGGCAAGGCTGGTACCCAGCCCATCCAACCCCGGCGGCTGCAGCAGCATCGTGGGCAGAGCACAGCATCCCTCCGGGAACAGAGCTGGGACCTACGGTGGAGGGAGGGAAGAGGGAGCTGTGGGACCCTCGTTCCCAGTTAGCACCTCGGGGCTGGGAGGGAAGAACGGGCCAGGGAGATTTAGCCTTCCAGTCTATCCCCTTTCCCTGGCATAGAGGCACATCTGGGCTGCAGCCAGGCGCCGCAGCCAGTGGAAAAGCCAGAGACGAGAGAGGCGAGGGGGTGGTGCGTGCAGGGGGACAGGGAGGGTTGGGAAAGCACACGAGAGCACGCTGGGCCATGATGAGGAGCCTCCCCTGCCCGGGCTGGCTCCGAAGAGCAGCCTCCTTCCCCCGTGGCTCATTACATGAACGGCCAGCACTGAGTGCAGAAGCTTGCTGCAGGAGTAACCGCCCGCTTCAGCTCTCATTAAACCCCCTCCGGAAATTAACTCTGAGCAAAGGGCAGCAAGCTGGGGCCAAATGCATCAAGCTCTTCCCGCGGTGTGAAGGTGCCGAGGCTCTGAGCTCAGCACCGCAGCCGGCCAGGCAGCCGTGCCTCCCGAACCGGTACCCAGCAGCCCAGGTTTCGGTCCGGCACCGAGCCTCTTCTCGCTGGCCTCGCTAATTGCCTCCCATCGCACGGCTGCGGTGCAGCCAGCGCTGAGCATCGCAGCTGGGTCTGCTCGGAGCAGCCGTCCTGGTGAAACTGAGGACGGGCAGGCGTAGAGCTGCTGAGCCCAGGCGGGCATCACTCAGCGTTGAGCAAAGGTTGGATCCTGCTGGGTGCTGAGAGGCTCCGAGGGAAGAAGCCAGCATTGCAGTTAGAGACAGGATCAGGTCCGGGTGGGGAGCTCACCTTCTCCCTCTGAATCAGCTCGAAGGCAGCCAGCAGCTCCCCGACATTTCTGTTCGCCTTGATGACCGGGTGCCAGGAGAGCCGCGGCGAGTGCACCAGGCTGGGCTTGCAAATGCAGCGCCCCATGAACTCATCTGCACCCTGAAAGGCAATCAATCACAGGCACAGGGAGCTTTCTTCCCACCCCACTTCCCAGAGGAGTCCATCACTATGCACCCGCATCTCGTCTGAAACCCCGACACTCAGCAAGCAGGCTCAATGTCTGAACCAGTATGGGACCGGTTCAGAAAAAAAGGTGGGTTTGATGCCCATGTAGACTCAAGCTTTCAAACTCCTCCCTGTAACTGCTAGAGCTAGAAATGCACTCTTTCTTCTACATTTTGGCTTAAACAGGAGGTGAAATTCCTACAGCATCACACGATATCCAGAGCAGGAGCTCCGAGTACAGTATTAAGTATCAGCAGCTCTTAAAAATCCCATTCACTGATCTGCAACAGGATCTTCAGTTGCTTTTGCTGCTTCCTGATGGCTTCTTTTGGAGGAGGGAGAGCAGAAGGGTTCCTGAGAGGTTCCGAGACGTTCTGGAGACATATTCTACATGCTTATTACTTATGCACTGCTTACACGTGGTCTGAAATCCCTTCTGCTCTTGTGACATGCTACAGCCTAGTTTTTCTAGGAAGGACTAAAGGTTATGTCACCAGCCCTGCAAATGCCATCACTGCAAGGCACTTTGGATACCATTGAGCAGCTGAGCAAACAACAGTGTATCATCCCCTACTTGCGTGACTGCTTTAAAACCTGTCCCAAGCTTTTCCCACAAGGAAATATGGTTAATTGGGCCATCCTGCAAAACACGATGTAGATGCAGCTTTGGTGACTAGAGCAGGGCCACCAAGGACATCACTAGCAGAGCTGTTCGCTGAATTTTTTGTCTTCTGAGTGTCCAGCTCAATGTCAGAGCCACCCAGAGATGTGACAGCATTGCACTCCAGAGGGCAGGAGCGATGTGTTTGTTCCATCTACCCCAGCACACTCCCACCGTGAAGGTCCAGCTCATGCTGACACACTTACGTAGGTGTCGTGGTCATATATTTCCACCACGATGTTGGGAGGGGAGTCAGATACGTTCTGGGGATCCCCAAAGATCTCTATCTCGTAGAAGATGAGTGTCTGGTCCCAGGTGGGGTTCAAGGTGTTCTTGATCACCACCGTCTTCTGACTTTGATGGAGGAAGGAGACAATGGCATAAGGATCTGCAAGGGATGTTAGACAAGAGGCAAAGGATGAATTAGAGCTACCGGTCTAGGAAGGAGAAAGCAATTCATAGTCATTCAAGGGCCAGTGGGCTGCGCAGGGAAGACTGTGAACAGGCTGAAAGAGCTGCAGGTCTTTCAGAAACAGCAATGACATTCCCATCATGTCCCAGGCAACTCCAACTGAGAAGAGAATAAAGCCAAGTTCTCCAACACTTATCCCTATACACCAGTTATTTGCAGCTCAGGTACGTCCCAAGCTAGGTGTGATGACTGTATGTTTAGCAACCCTGCAAGCGGGTTGTCTTCCACAGGTTTGCCCTGTCTCTCTTGAACCCACCGTATCCTCCAGTGAGGACTCAAAACTGCATGAAGAACCATCTTCTCATGGTTTTTTTCAGTATCTCCATCTGAGGCTCCCCAGTTCCTGCATTAGGAGAGAAGGAGCAGTCCACCCGTGCCCCACCCGCACTGACACTTAGGGTTCTGCAGGTTTCTATCATGCCAGCCCTAAAACATCTCTTTTTCAGGCTGAAGAGTCTCAGCCTATGGAGTTATTCCTCATAAAGGGCCAATCCAGACCCCTGCTCATTCCAGCTCTTTTTGGGACAAGACAACCACAACGGTCCACAAAACTTAGCTGTCTATCTATGCAAAGACCTTCCTTCTTATCCCACAGCAGCCTCCTTTCCTTAAAAACCTTTGATGAAGGATTTTTTTTGCCAAAAACCTTCTAGCCATCCAATGAGACCATGTTAACCAGAGCAACCTTATCCTCTGGCTTGTGATAGCTCCAGCTGGTGGAGACACCGTGACCTTCCCTGGCCACGTCTCCCAGCTCTCCGCTGCTGTAGCATTAGAAATTTCCTCGCTGCCTGACTTGATCTGTCCTGGTCCAGGTTACCCTCATGACTCCTCACCCTGTCCACCAGCAGTGAGGTAGCACAAATGGTTCACCTATTGCCCTAAGGTGAGGGGGGTTCTCCCAAAAGATGACTCTACAAGGATGAGTGTTTCCATGGTGGTAACACAGCCGTCCTCCAGCAGAGCGGAGAGCACAAACCGTTTCCACGGTGCAGTCCTTCCTGGGGAGATGCAGGAGGTACCAGCACTGCACGTGTGGGTGAGCAGTGACTTCAGGTCACCCCTTGCTGTGAAGACCAGACCACAAAGAAGGTGGCTGGGACATTACTGACTCCTTCCTGGGGTCTTTAACATCTCCAGAAGGGAGAGGAGCTGAGGATGCAGCCAGCAACCAGCCAGAGTCATCCTCTCAGCCCCTTTGCATGAGCTTTGGTAACCTCCATGTCTTGGGGAGGGTTTGGGGTTCCCAGCACTCGGGGTTATCCCGTGTGGCCACCAGACAGCTCTGAGTCTCCCTTAGGGCTGCTGCATCTCATCTTGCCAGCCCCACGCAGATGCCTCAGGTACTCCAGGGTCTCACCAGACCCCTGTACTTAGGCACTGAGCTGGGACCAAGGTGTCTCACCCCCAACTTGGGACAAAGCCAGCGGTTTCTCACAGCGAGGCAGCAACAAACAGCGAGGAGTAGCCTCCCTTAACAACCAAAGCAATTAACACAGGAAGCCTGAGATCAATTAACAACGGAAACATGAAACCTGAGCCCTCTCTAACACCTTCCCTTCCAGACAGCTTCAAAGAGCATGTGGCCCAAACCTGCTGTGGACATCCAGCCCACACCAGCGGTGGCACTGGGCACAGGGACAGGACAGACGGTGGCAGAACCAGGATCAAGGTCTGGGTGAGAGGTTTGAAACATGCCATGGGGTCACACTGTAAGACCCCATGGAGACTGAACACCTTTCATAACCTTATAGCACCTACTGGTCCTTGTCAGGGATTAGACCTCTGTGACTGCTGCATCCCACCTGACTGGTCCCAGGTGGACCCCTCAGCTCTGGTTGCCTACAAAGCCCAACCTCCATGGTGGCAGGAGGCGTCCTGGGCCTTTTTGGAAGGACGCAGGCCACCTTCTCCACCTGGCACCCAGCATGACATGCCACCACAAGACACAGATGCACCGGACAGTGTATGGGGGTCCACCAGCATGCAGCGGGGTACCACCTGGCTCACCCCAAAGCCAGTCCCACAAGACCTACCGGCAACCAGGAGCATGGCAGACCCTACAAACGCAACCGTTAGTGCTTGGCGCTGTGCAAGCCCCCATGGTCCCAGGAGGGGTCCCCCCACCCCGTGAAACAGCGTGCAAACCCCAACATCAGCACTGTCGGGAGACTGTGAGCTTGTGCTGGGAGCAAAAGGTGTCCTGCCTACCCTGGAGATGGAGGAGCATCCCCCAGACACCTGAAGGCAGGGCTGGCTGAGCAGGGCGGCATCCCCCACCCTCCCTCCCGTCTTCCAGGGATGGGGGGGGCCAGGGGGGTGTATTTTCTTTCTTGGCGTCCGGACCGCAGCAGACGTGTTTAATGAGCCGGGGCTGTTTGCGAGGTGGCCGGCTGGAGAGAGCACTATTCACGCTGGGAAGAACCTTTTCCACTTACGTGCTTTTTTCCAGTAAGAGGAAAGCAGAATGCGTTACAATAAACAAAAAAACCATGGATTTGGATTTGCTTTTTTGCTCTTTTTTTTTTTTTCCCCTCCTCTTCTTTTTAAAGGAGGCCTCCATAAAGCCCCTTTGTTTAGACCCTCATGTGCACAGAAGGTTTATTTTTATAACTGTGTAAAGCCCCCTTAATGAACTCCTTTATGCTTTGTTAAGGCAGTGGAGATCACAATTCCACATTGTGGCATGTTGTTACTCATGTTGTCCTTGGCCGGGTTTTTCCGAAGGAAGGGACTCCCCTCCCCGCTCCGCCGATCGGGGCCATGAGATCACCTCGGTCCCCACCGCTTCGAACAACAAACCCTTTGTGGAGGCGGAGGGGAGACGGGACCTCGGTGGGTGCAGACACTGGGTGATTGTTTGGGTGCTCTGCACCTCTCCGGGGCATTTCTGCCCACCCCCCTCTAAGCCCCTCTGCTTCAAAATACGGGGGGAAGCAGGAGCCCCTTGGGATTGTGGTCCTGCTGCCTGGCACGGTGATGCCCGGCTGTCCCCGCAGGCTGCTGCCCGCTGCAGGTCCCCACACCGCACCACTTTTGGGGTCTGTCCCTATATCCCATTTGAGATACGTCACCCCTGTGCCAACACTGGTGGGCAATCCCATGTCCAGCCCCTCTGCAAATCCCCGCGGCAGACGGTCGGTGACAGCCTTGGAGGGATGCTGGATGGCTCCTGCCCACGGGCATCGCTGCGGAGGGGTGCGGGTGCTCTGGGGATACCTGTCCCAGGACCTGCTCACATCTCAGATGTGGTCCCCAGCCCATAGCAATGAACCGACGGGGGACTTCTTGCATTGCCCCAGCTCCGGCTCTGACTCAGAGGTAGTCAGCAACGTCCCCCATGTCCTGCTTCCCCACCTCAAAATGACACTCCGAAGCATTAACGGGTGTGGGCAAAGGCAGCTTTGGTCACAAGCACCAAAGAGCCGCGGGGCCGCCTGGCTGGGATGGCCCAGCCCATGGGGAAGAGAATGTGGGACCCTCCAGCTGCCGGGGGGGCTGGTCCCTGCTGGGGTCAAATGCGAAGAACCATTCCTGGCACGTTCCCCCACCTCTGCAGCCATGCTTCAGCCTCTGCTGCAAACAAAATGATCCTAAAACCAAACCACCTACACCCAAGCACCCTTCAGCACCAAAAGATAACAGAGCTGCCTAACAGATAAAGTGACATGTCTTATTCCGACTTGATTTCCTACGCCAGAAAACGTGATCTCAGCACGGGATGTCCCGACCACATCAGCTCAAGTCCGGCAGTTTCAGAAGCGCCTGAAGCTGTGCTGGGGATGTGGCGAGCAGCAGGACATGGAAAGCTCCTTGCTCAAAGCCCAGGACACCCTTTTCTCCACCTGGGACCACACTTTTTTCCATGAAGGGGCATTTTTTACAGTCTGACCTGAAGGATGCCCAGTTCAGGCATTGGCTTCATCAAGGAAACCCTCCAGACGTTGCCTCCCAGCTCCCTTGCAAAGTTTCCAGGATGGAGAGCAGAGGAGCAGCAGCTCAATTTAACGTTCAGTCGTGAAAACAAATACAAACCCTTTTACAGATTTGCCACTGTTAGGTATTTTCCTTTCCAACCATATTTTCAATCAATTCTTTCATTCCTAATAAACGGGGTCTCCCTTCTTCAGCCTTGATCCCTTCCCAAACTGTAGGACAAATCCCCCCCACAAATCCCAAACCCAGGAGACCTGCCACCACCTCGCAAGGGTGGGCAAGGGGCTGGCCAGGATTCAACCAGCTGGGAGCAAGCTGGATGCTAGATGCTGAGGGCACATAAATCTGACCAGAAACTTCATGAGGATGCCAGAGACGAAGGTGTCTGTCTGCTCCGAGGTCCTAATTACATCCTTGCACCCTTTTTAATTTTCCTGAGCGCATCTCATGGAGGTTTCTGCCCTGTGCTCCATCCTCTGTCCTCCCTGCAATCCCCCAGCTCGCACGCTGTGCAGGGGGGCAGCTCGAGGCAACGTGCCACGGTAAACATCCCTGCCCTCCGCTCTGTTTATATTTGTCATGTCCCTGAGCTGTCTGCTACCCGGCCTTGCCACTGGCTTTCAGCGTCACCTCGGGTCGGGGAGAAGGAGCTATTAGCAAAGCAAACAGCTCTGACTCACAGCTGACCTGGGTAACTTGTGGTTTCTGGTTGGTTTCTCACATAAGAGTTCTTGAAACTCTGATTTTTTTGCTGATGGGAAATCAAGCTACCAGGCTGGTTGCCTAGGGAAAGCCTCATGCCGCTGCCTTTTCTTGTTTGGCTGCCAAACACCCCTCATTTCACATCAATAAATACCCCAAAATTTGCTTTACAGACCCACTACTCCCCAGCATTCATTACAGCAGTAATTACAAGCACAAACAAGTGGACGTGAGCATGTGGGCTTACCTGAAAAGCTGTCCTTGTCCATTGCAATCAGATCCCGTGCTTGGTACATGTAGCAGCGGAGGTGGTATCTGTTCCCATCTGCACGGAGGAATGAGAAACAGTTAAGAGCTGAGGCCAGGGATGGGTGCAGGGCACAGGGTGAATAGCTGGGTTTTTAACCCGCCCCAGGCTCCTGTCTGAGGGCAGCTTGGCTTAATCCTTCCCGTGGCTTCCCAAGAGAGCACGGAGCCCTGAGCATGTCGATGTTCCCAGGGGCACAAGCCGTGCCCCATCCTTGCCCACCCCCCCTTTCCATCCACCTGCACTCAAGGTGGGCGAGAGGAAGAGGATGGGAAATGATCGGCTATGGGATCCCCACAGCAGAGACCCTGCGCCGGGACTCACTGCAGGGGAATTTCACCCTCCCTTCCGACCCTCAGGCCTTACAGTCAAATATGCACGAAATGGTGGGTCTGTTGACGCCAAAACTGAGGGTGGAGATGGATTTGCCATCATCGCTCTTGTCGTCTGTCACTCCCCCCTGCAAGAGAAAGCAAAGCAAGGTCCGTCATGCCGGTACGCCCTCCACAGCCGGGGCTCCCCGTGGGACAGGGTCCTCCAGGGTATCATCCATACAGGTGTCCAAGAGGATTTGGGGTTTCCAGTGCCTCCTGGCAGCCCACAGAGGGACCCTCAGGCTCTTCTGTCCCAGGAGGGCAGAGAAGACCCCAGAGGGAACAGGACAGGACAGCAAAAGCAGCCCCAGGGCCACCGACTCACACCCCCTCCCACCACCCAGCATCTCACCAGCATGGAAAAGCCTCTCCATAAAGTTCATCGTTCTTGGAGCAGTAGTTAGTAATTAAAGCAATTTCACTAAGTCCCCTTGCGAGCAAAATTAATGGAGTATAAGCTTTGTGAACAGTGATACAGACTGTGTCAAATGCAGCCAAATGCCCCATTCACTGCCCGGGGGGAGCCTCGGCCGACCTTGACCATCGCTATTCCCTCTTCTTGTGTTCGCCTGCGAGAGCCGGCCTTTTATCACCTCCTAATTGCTGCATTCGGCTTGAAATATTTAGTAGCAGGAAAAGGAGCGTAAAGGTAAGTTCCTGGAGAGTGTAAAGCTGATCTTTAAATATTTTTCAATTATCGAATGCAAGGGAGAGACAGGAGGGGTGTTCAAAGAAAAAAGGAAAAAAGAAAAGAAAAAAAAAAAAGCGGGTCCAGGATGGAGTTTCCAGATCCCGGAGACGCCTGGTCCTAAAAAACACGTCAGGAGCTTAGGTGGTCTGCAGACCCCTCCTTGCCTTTCCAGGCAGGAATCGCAATTACCGTGACATTGTCTGCAGAGGAAGCCCTGGGGTTTGCCCTGCATTTACGGCGGTGAGGTCGCGCTGAGGGTTTGCAAGGCAACCTCCAGCGCTGCCTTCCCTTCCTCGCCCCCCCTCCCCGCAGGAGCTGAATAGCTCCTCAGTTATTTTTATGACCTTTCTGCCCAGCAGACTGCCGGTCCCTCCAATCCCCCCACCCCGACCTGCGCCCACTGCCAGCCTGGGGAAGGGCAAGTGAAGGAGACCAGGAGCAGAGATTGCTCTCTGAAGCCCTCGGCAAGGGATTGGAGACCCCCCCAGTCCATCCATCACAGGGAAGGGGGGCTCCTCACACCCCAAAACACCACAGAAAGCACGCCTTGGAGAGGGCAAACTGGCAAACGCTCTTTCTCAGGACTACGATTTACCCTTTGGGGTCTCCACGCAGGATGGAGTACCCCCACCACCTCCACCCTTCGCCCCATCCCCGCGGGGTTCCCAAGGTCCGGGTCCTGCAGCAGAAGCCCGTGCACGGTAGCAGCCACTCGCCTTGGGTGCAGGAGCACTGGGGGACAGAGGCATCCTCGTCCCGGTGGCATCCCACCGCTCTGCCCCAAGCAGGACTCCTCTGCGACCGGGCTTTCCCACCAGGACCCCCCCGCTTGGTGCAGCAGGGACCACTGGGGTCCCACTTGGACCCCCCCGGTTGGTAGTTTGGGCACAAAGTTACAGCACCGGTGCCTTCCACCCTGGCCAAACCCCAATGGCACCACGTGCCCACCCTGGCTGTCATCGCCCTGGTTTAACTCACGTCCCTGGTCTTCTCCTGCCTGGGGAGCCGGTGGTTCAATCACGCTTGGTGCAGAGCCAAAGCTGGGGCGTAAGCTCCAGCAGAAAACAGGCAAGATTTTCCAGCCTGGCATGGAAAACCCAAAGCTCTCCGTCAGCCAAAGGTTTCCCTCGGCTGATTTTTGGAGGAAGACAGGAGGAAATGGGGCTTGCAGGGTGGGAGGGCTGCTCACAGCTCCAGGGCAGAGCCACTGGGCTTTCCATCAGAAACTGGAGATGGCCTCAAGCCACAGAACTCGGCTCTGGGCTTCCCAGAAATCGGACCGAGGGCAGAGAGGTGCCTGGGGGCTACACCGTGTCCTGCGGTGTTTCTCTTTCAATGACCATTGGTGAGGAGCAAGCTGCCAAATGGCAGATCCCAAAACAGCTGGGACGTGCTGTCACAGAAAGGGAAACCCAGGAACAAGGTGATGTGATGGAGGCGATGGCCAAGCCAGCAAGCCCAAGGGAAAGGAAGGATGCCCAGCTTATATAGGGGGGGATGCACAGGTGAAATACAGGCAAAAAGAGAGGAAATGAGAGGGTAGTGCTGCAGACAGTGGTGTTACACTGCCTCCGCATTTCAGGTATGGGTGGGAGCGCTAAAAGCCTTCTGCAACGCCAACTTCTTGGTCTCAAGCTCCCCGTTAGTCAGGTGGGACTCATCACGAGCAGCAATAAGCACTTTGTGGGTGTCCCCTCCCCTGTGAGGGGGATGCCATCACAGGCAACGGAGAGAGCAGGGTGGTCATGGCGAGGGCAAAGGGGGTGGCCCGGTGGACGGGATGCTTTGCCTAGGACACTTGTGGGCTCACCGTGGGTCTACTTTCCTAAGCATAGTCCTGCCCTGAGACACCCGGGGACTGCCCCAAGTCATGGGTGGCTGCATGAAGGCTCCAAGGACTGCCGAGAAAATGGCATACCAGCAAGGAAAGAGCCACGATCCTTCTGCATTGGAGAGCCCACGGCTGGGGGCAGCAGGAGAAAGCAAGTGAACCAGTGGGAAGCAACATCCGAGGCAGCTCAACCCACCCCAACAGGCACCCCAAATCCATCAAGCTAATTGTACCCAAGGCAGCCGAAACCCAGTGCCACGTGGCAGCACCACGAGCCCTCACAGCAGCATGTGGCCCTCCTTCAGGCAGCACGACCCACGCTGCCCAGCCCCGATGCTGCTCCCGGTGGGATGGGGGACTGGGGGACATCCTCCCCTCCCCGTTGTTTGGGGTCAGGGGAAGGATGGAGCATGTGTGAGCACGTGAAATGAAAGTCTCTGAGCAAAAGCCCGAGCGAGCACATGCTTAGGGAGAGCGAGCGTGCAAAAGAAATCATGCACACGTGCGCCTGCAAGCGTGCGTGGATCTGGGGGTGTTCATGATGCAGAGGGGCAGGAGCTAGGGTGCCCCGGTCATACAGCAGATCCCCCGGCTCTTCCCACTGCAGAGAGCCAAGCCGGCTGGGAACGGACTCTCACACCCCGCGGGCTCCATCCGAACAGACTCTGAGCTCACCCTGCAAAGATGCTGAGCCCCACGCACAGCCCCGGGGCTGCAGCTGCTCAGCTCTGGGGGTCAACACCGATGGAGTGGGATTTTTGAGGAAAGCCTCCACCAAGGAGCACCCAGCTCCTACAAAACCCCCCTCAGCAGCTGGGCAACCCACCGGGGCTCTCCTTTCCAGCTGCTCTCGGGTCCGGGTCACCCTGACCGAGGTGTTGGGGTTCAGCATGTCTTAATGAGAAGGATTGGATTGCTCGGTTTGGTAAGGCCAGAGCGATGCACGCTGAGCATCCCTGGGAAGAGGGAGGCCCAGAAAGGAGCACCGTCCGCACATTCCTGCATCCAAGACACATTCCTGCTGGTCATGTTTGGTATTATCTTCCTGTTGGAAACCAACCCTTTCGAATAGCTCGGGGAATTAGCACTTGGGGTGTTGGCTTGTTCTGTCTGACTTTGCACTTTAATCCTCCCTCCGCTTTGGTTTCCCTGCACCGCCATATGGCTCCTTTGCTGGACGGCAACCCGTGCCACAACCACAAAATTGCACAAATGCCTTTCGCGGAGAAGGCGGCAGATAACAGGAACGGGACGGAGCAGACAGGAGGGGCTTCGGGAGGCTCCGGCAGCCCATGGCATGCCAGTGGCAGCCCTGGCCCCAGGCCTGGGTAAAATCTGAGCTGGGGGATGCTCCAGGCTCCCTCTCCTGACAGCATCTTTATTCTGCTTTAGCATGATCGGAGCTGGCGGCAGCAGGTCAGACTCCAGCTGCTGCCCCATCCAGGTGCCCTGCTCAGCTCAGCATCCCTGACACCTCAGCCTGCGAAAGCTGCCTCCCTCTGCCTGCGTTAAAAAAGCATTAGAAATAGATACAGCGAAAAATCGGTGCCCACCCTTCCCAGCCCTCAGCACCCACTGGTATTTTCCTGTCCTCAGCACCACTTCACCCCACCACCCTGATCCCAGCTCTGCTGCGTCATTCCGACTCCCTCCTCCCGCTTGCGGCTCCAGCAGATGGAAGGGTTGACCCTGTGCAGGTCTGGAGGGTCTGGGGTTGCTGGATAGGAGATGCTATGTAAATTTAGGTATTATTTTGGGACGGAGCATCCTGGAAAAATACGTAAGTTATTCAAGTGAGAGAGGAGAGCTGGAAAGGCATGAAGCTGCAAAACCAGAAAGTATGGCCAGATCATTTATAAAGCAATCCACAGAAAACCAAGCGACCACAGAAAATGCGGCCAGTAACCCCAAAATATGAGGGCACCAAGGCGAGCCAGAATGACCTACTGCGGAGGGGAATTCGGTGAGCGAAGCCCAAAGGGCGGGCAGCCTGGTCCTGCACCCGCCGGGCTGCCGGGAGCCAGAGCCAGAGCTGGGGAAGGATTCACCTGCCACTCTCCCAGGCTGTTCCCTCCTGAGCTCTCACCCTGTGGGGACAGCATCCCCTGAAATCTCCACACCTGAAGTAAATACTACTCCTTGTCGGACAGCATCACCCTGCCCGGGCGATGGTTTAACTCCCAGGAGCAGCACGGTCCTACAGCAATGGGACATGGTGCTCCCCCAGGACCCTGGTGTCACCCAGGACACCGCTGAGGGTTTTCTTGTGTTTTGTTGACATTCAAGCAGGGAAAATTCATGGTTCAGGCCTTTGCTTGGTGTGACGGAATTGGATGTCTGCATTGGGGTCATATAGGAGCAGCAGTGACATGTAGGGCAGAGTTTGCTGGGGAAGGGGGAGAGAGAAAAGCAAGGCAAGGCACAGCAAGAAAAGGCATGGCACGGCACTGCAAAGCATGGCATGGCAAGGCAAGGCATGGCATTGCAAAGCATGGCATGGCATGGCAAGGCAAAGCAAGGCAAGGCAGAACGACTGCTTTTTTTGCTAGAATTATTTTTCAGTTAGAAAATAAGCAAAATAATAAACTGGATTTGTTACATGATAATATAATAAAAGTTATAGATGTAACTTTGGCATAAAGAAAAAGGAGAGATTTGGGAGGCTGCTAAGAACTAGGGACTGCCACACTAACTGACACGGCTAAGAAATGCTTGGAAAATAAATACGCATGGTAGGTACCACCAGGTCTAACAGGCTTTGGGGGTGGAGGGCTGGAAGGGGCAGCCCCCGGCAGCCTGGGGCGGGGGTGGGGGGTCAGCAGCATGCCAGTGACACCGGGGAACACTTAAATCAACCGGGGACCCCCTGCCACCCTGTCAGCATCACCAGGAGCGAAGCAAGCAGCGGCTCCCAGGCAAGTTGCCACATTGCCATTTTTTGCCTCTTTCCCTTTGCTTCTGCCTCTGCCCCACAGGCATGGGGAGGGGATTTTCCTCCCCCGGGTCTCCCCCACACCCCCTGGTACCCCCAGCAGACGGGTCCGTCAGCAGCCAGGCTCACAAACCCAGTTCATTTGCAGGCTAACGAAGACGAAACGAGGGCACGGCTGAGTCCCTCGGAAAACCGCACGACCGAGCAGAGACCGAGGGCAGCCCCATCAGACAGCCCCCCCCCCACCTCCCCTCGCCCCCAGAGCCAGGGAAGGGCACGGGGGGTTCCTGCACCCGTGTGCATGGACACACACCCCATGTTACAGGGTTTTCCAGCTAAATCCTCCTCGCTTGCCTCTGCTGAGATGCAGAGGGATGAAGAGTCTGGCTGAAAAATCACATCGACAGGCCCCAGGGTGAAGGGGGAGAAGCCAGGGTCCCACCAGCAGCCCTGGGGGTGGGCGGCAGCCGGGACACCCCCCCCGAGATGGGGCTGGTGTGAGCTCAGGGCTGATGCATGCAAACACCATGGAGCCGCTTGCGTCCCAAAGGGGCCGCTGGGTTCAAACGCTGGACGGAGGGAAAAGGACAGAGCGGAGAAGGAAGGGAAAAAAAGCCAAATGGGGGAAAAAAAATAAAAAGCCCTATAATAGGGGCTTTGTGCTGCTGTGGTTGGTTCTCATTTAGTTATTGGAAAAGCCAAAGGATTATGAAATCCAGTGTATTAAGAAAGCCAGAATATTAGCTCAACAAAAAGCGGTGGGTGCAGGCGGCAGATAACGAGTGGCAGATAACGAGCTTTGCTCCAGGTCCGCTCCCTGGGAAGGGACAGGCCCAACCAGGCTCCCCCTCCCAAGCGACAGTTTTTTGGGGGGAAAGGTGGGTACCTACCAGGGCCCCCTCCAAGGCGAAGACGGCGGCGGCCCCGGTGCGCTCCAGGGGCTCCATCCTGCGCCTCCAGCGGCGGCGGCGGAAGGTGTCGGTCCGGCGATACTTCAGGTGGAAGCGCCAGCCGAAAAGCGAGGCGTACTCCCAACCCTCCCCGTCCAGCTCCTCCTGCTTGTGCTGCCAGGCAGGGACATGCCGGGGCTCGGGGGGGGTTCAGTCCCACCACCCCACAGCCCCTCTGCAGGTGACGACGGCGGGACCTTGGCACAGCCAAGGGGTAAAGCCACTTGTGCATGGGGCTCTCCAGGACCAAGGTTTTGCCCACCCAAACCCGGGTCCAGCCTCTTCAAGCTGTTGCCCGCTACAGTTGTCTCACCCCGTGCCCTCCCTGTATCTCTCCAGCTTGGGATCACAGAATCATTTAGGTTGGAAAAGACCCTTAAGACCATCGAGTCCAACCGCTAACCCAACACCGCCAGGTCCACTGCTGAGGATTCAGCCCTTCATCCAGCCCCTGGGGTGAACCCCACTTGGAGAAGGGTCGCTGGGCTGCCCGTGCTGAGCACGGAGGGGGCCGCATCCTGCCCAGCCCTGTGTAGCACCAGTGCCTCCATCTTCACGGCCTGACCCCCACTTTGCCCCCACCTCTGATCCCTCCCAGGGCCACTGTGGCTCTGCCACCACTGGGAACTTCTCCCTGGGGCATCGGTCACAAGCCCACGAAGGCTTTTTCTCCCCAGAGCTGTGTCACCTCCCTGTGACAATCGCATCCCTTTGGCTAACAGGGTGGCGGGGGCTCCCCACGCTTTCCAGCCACAATTATCTAGAAAAAAGTGCTGGAAAGGGAGGCAAGTGTCTGGGGGAACTAGCAGGGGGGAGGGAAGAGTGGCAGGGCTGCGGTGGCATTTGCAGTCCAATTGCACCACCTAGAGGGAAGCAGGACCAGGACAGGGGACAGGCTGGGGACCTCTGTAAGTCCCGCTCTCCCCACTGGTGGAGGTCCCCGTCCCACCCTGCAGCCCAACCAAGCACCCCTGGAGTGGTCTCCACCCTCTGGGAGATGTTGACCCCCCCTCACCATGGTGGAAACCACAGAGGTTGCTGCCTGCTGCGGCACGGAGACCAGGGCGACCAGGCTCCGAAGCACAGCAGGTCTCTGCAGAAGGCTAAGCATCTCCACCTTTGCATGGAGAGACAGGGACACGGCCCTGACCCACTCTCACCCTCTCCTCCCTGGCCCCCATCCTACCTTTCTCACGGCTTCCATCTGCGCGAGGTCCCTCCGGCGAAGCCGTACCCAGCGCCGTCGCCGGTTGGTGTGATACATCTTCTCGGCCGGCACCCAGGCCTTAGGCTTGCGGTCCGGCGGGATGGTGATGCCATACTCCCAGCCTCGGAGAGAAGGCAACACCTGGGTGATGGCGGGAGAAGAGCCCCCCCCCACCTTGCCTCCTGTCAGGGACCTCTCTTCACACATATCTAGATTGGAACAGCTTTGATAGCAAAGGTTTGTCCAGACACAACGTGCTTTCCCAGTTTGCTGGTCCGTGCAGATAACGACCTACTCGTGCTGCTACCCGATGGGGGTGTCCCTCTGGGGATGCCCTGGTGATGGATTCATGGTGTCCCACCAGCCCTCAGCTCAGCGTCACAGCTTGGGGACTCTCCTCTCTGTCCTTCCTTCCTCAGGCAACCCCGACCCTTGTGACCATCTCAGATGCTCTCTGGCCTGATGCCTTCTGTTTCTCTTTCTCCAGAAGCCAGGTAAGGTCTTCCAGAAGAACAGCCTGGACTATCCCCAGCAGCAAGGAAAGCGCTGCCTTTGTGGCTGCGCACCCCACAGTCCCAGCCTCAGCCAGAGCGAGGGGGAGAGGGTACCCCCACCGCCTGACCCCCTTCTCCTAAAGCCAGCGGGGCAGCTCACACAGCCACGAAGGGGATGTCATCACCCCTGGTGCTGGAAGGGACCGTGGAAGGAAACACCACGATGGGCAGAGTAAAGGGGATGAAAACAGGACAGATACCCAAAACTGCTGTCTGATACCTTTCTCATCCACAGCTCTGTTGAGGTCCGTGTCCCACTCCACGTCTTCCCATTTCCAGCCCGGAGGACACTCAATCTCATCCTTATGCAGGACCTTCTCCCCGTTCTGTGGGACGCAGGGGTGTTTTCAATCAAACGATGCCCAGCAGATGCCTACATCTCCCCTGAGTCACCGGGGGGCTTCCTGCCACCGCAGCCTGGGCTGGTGCTGAGCCCCCACCTGCCCGCTCTGCCCTTACCACGTCAGTGTAGGCATCGGTCATGTGGATCCACTGGCCTCCCGGCAGCCGGACCTGGTTCTCGAACACCTCTTCCACGAAGCTCAAATGCCCGGCGTCCACATCGTGCAGCAACCTGCACCCCGGGGAGATGGACGGCATCAGGGGCTTCCCCTCCTGCACTCCCAGCCCTGCATGGGCAGCAGCACAGCCCCATTCCTCCCTCCTCTCAGGGCCAGCCATGCCACCCCAACACCCGCTTTCCACCCCAGAGGCACCAAGCAGAGCTCCCACGAGACTTCAGCAGCTCAGCTCGGGTGAAGCCCAAAACCCAGGCTGGAAATCCAATGCAAGAAGATGGCAGAGCCGTGCTGAGCATCCCCCGGTCCCCTCCCATCCCCTCAGTGCCCCGCTGGGATCCCACCTCCGAAGCTCCTCAGCATGGGGCTTGCACAGGCACCCCGGTGACCTGGGTGCTGGGGCCATCATGTCTGTGAGCGCCTGTGCAGCACCCACCACCCCAGGGACATCACCCAGCGCCGAGATGATCCATTTTTGCATTAATGCTGTTGCCTACCAAGGAGGGGGCAGGCAGACGGGGAAGCCCCATGGCACCCCAGACCTCCATGAGGCTTTCTGGGTGACCTTGCCACCAGCTTAGCATCTGCTAAGGTTTTGGGGATGCCCAGGACAGCCCACCTAGGCTCTGCCCTTTGCAGAAAACCCTCACTCACGTCTTCTCCGGGCAGATGAACCAGTCCCCAGCCCAGGTCCAGCCCGTGGAGGGGCGGAAGCTGTCCTTGGGCAGCTTGATCTTGCCAGTGACATCTGAGTATTTGGGGTAGGTCAGGCCAGTTGTGCCCCAGTTCCCCACCAGCGCCAGCTTCGTCTGGTTCTCATACTGGGGGAGCAAAAGCAGAGAGGGTTTTGCATCAGAGGCTCAAAATCCATGAATAATCCTTTTGAAATCCCATGAATAATCCCTTCCTTCCTGGAGAGCCCCATCCTGAGGACAGACCTCCTGGGAAGAGCCTAACTCCCCCACCAGTCCGCCACCCCCATGGGCACCCCCGGATTTTTGCTCCCCCCCCACCCCGAAGTAGGTGGAAGGAGACGTGAAGTGAAAATGCGGCTTTATGGCTCATTACCAACCTTCTCCCCAGGCTTTCAGGCTGGATGCTGGTGGAAACAGCTCTTTCTCCTCACAGTTGGTAGGGGCTGATGTGACCCCCCCGCTCCCCCCACCTATGCCCCCACCCCTGGTCCAGCCCACCCCCACCCCTCCGTGGTGGAGCTGCTGCCCACACCAGAGAGGAAAATAAAAAAACCCTTTAGGGTGGTGGCTGCGAGATGCTCACGGTTTCAGCAAAGACAGAGAGCTTCCCCTCGGCGTACTGGTTGAACTCCTTCTCATCCACCGACAGCCCGAACCAGAGCTGGACCCGGATCTGGGCTGGGATCCTGGGACCCATCGCCTCCTCCTGGGGGTACTGCCAAAGGCAGAGCCCCATTAATACCCCCCCGGAGGATATTAATGGGGGATGCTCAGGATGGGAGGCTGGGGGTGGTGGGTCCGAAGCCCCCGTAGCCCTGGCCGGGGAGGCAGGGGGGGAGGTGGGACATGGAGCATCCCCGGGAAGTGGGGGGACATCGACAGCGTGCAGAGCACTTTGGTGATGACCTTGAGGAGCTTCAAAGCCCTGGTGGTCAGGGCTTCTGCGTCTCGGTGAGACACCCTTCAGGGCTAGGACATCAAACCCAGCCAACATACTTCAGCAAAAATAGAAAGAATAAACAGGGAGATGTCTCACTGCCCTTTTTTCTCTCTCTCAGTCATTTTTTTTTCCCCTTCAAGTGATGCTAGTTTTCCATCCAGAGCTAAAGTACAGAAAAAACCAATATATTTTGGTTCATCTTTTGCTGCCAGCTGGGCTTGGGGTTTTGGGGTTTATTCAGTTTATTTTATTTCATTTTATTTTTTTAGAGCTTGTTCAGCACTGATTGTCTGCTCCCAAGCTGGCACGCAGCGAAAGGCCAAAGAAATATCATTTGAGATGTGAGAAGCTCGCTAAGTGCCTGGCAAAGGAGGCCACAGCTTAAATTTCCTGGGGTGGCAGAGGGTCAGGAATTTTGAAAAACATAAAATAACATTTTAAAAAAGTAAAAAATAAAATATATTTTTTAAAAAGGCACCATCTGGGCCAAAGTGCACCCATCTTCACTTCCCTGGAACTTGCAGAAAATGTGAAGATATTCATGGGAATCTGCTGCAGATCCATGTAAGAAGGGCTGAACTCCACTAGAAGAACAACCAGGTTCTCACCATGCAGGAACCAGCTTCAACAGGGTCAAAACTGGGGCTGGAGGTCTCTGGAGCCCCAGGTGCTCATGGGTTAACATTGTATTGGGATTTCAGGTTTCCCTGCTTGATTTTCTCCCTCTTTTTTCTTTAGGAGAAAACGTTTTAAAAATAAACATCACGCGTGCGCATACATCCAAAGCCAAGGTACCTTCAGGAAGATGGTCTGCAGCTTCCCGCAGTTCTTGCCGCAGCAGCTGGAGATGCTCCTGGAGAAGAGGACCTCGTGGGCTGGCACGCGGGCATACGCAACGCGTTTGTCTCCCTGCAGCATCCAGATCACTATATCGGGCAGGCTGTTTTGGGGCTGGAAAACACAAAAGCTGTAGCGTCAGACCGGGAAGGGGTGCGCCGAACTAGCGCATCAGCCGCAGAGGGATGCGGGAGGCTGGAGAGCAGCCATGCCCCGAGTCCCGCTGCCAGCCCAAGCCCACGGAGCGAGACCAGTCAACCCAAATCCCATCTCGGCAGCTCCAGATCCCGCCTTGGTCTGGCCAGGGCAGAACAGCTTTAGTTGAGGGTTTACTGGCCGTGCTGTAAAGCTCTGCCATGAACGAGGCTAAACCTCAACAGCCGGGTGCTAAACCTGGCACCTTCCTAACTTGGTTCACGTCACGGCGGGGGGAACGCGGGTCCAACCCTTGCACAGGGGGACCGGGACTCTGCCTGAAGTCTCTGCTTCCCACCCCACCACCGGGCGAGCGCTCACAGCCATTGCACCAAAACAGCACCGTGATGGCGAGCTTGGGAAAAACGAGATTTTCCCGCCCCTCAAGGTGAAAAGCAGCTCCTGCCACCATCGTGGCAGCGTTACCTCCTCTGCCATGGCCTTCAGCCTGGAGAGCCAGTCCTCTGCCTGCTCCAGGGCTGCCGACAGGCTCGAATCCTCGTGCTTGAGCTTCAGGGCTGCCTTCACTATCTGCTCCAGGTTGGTGCTGCGAAACCGGTACATGTTCTGGTCCAGGTGGGTGCTGGCCGGCTTCCCCAAGACATCGGGCAGGGTCAGGCTGCGGGGACAGGCAGAGACGCAGCGTTAGCAGCTCACTCAGCCTCTCTTGGGGGTTTTGCTGCCTTTTTTTAAATCTTTTTTTCTCCTTTTCAGCAAGTTTCCGAAGGATTAACAAGCCACCGAAGATACGTTTGGGGAACACGGCAATGCCAAGAGCAAAGGAGCTTCAAACCGCACATGCAGCCCCCACGCATCACCCACAGCAGCCAGGATGGGGCCCTGGCTGAGCCGAGCACACCGCACACGAGCACACACACACATTTTAATATAAATTGATTCAAGCTGCTGGACAAATGTTTCAGGAGTCCGGGAGGATCTTCACTGCACTGAGCCATTTAGAGGTTTTCCTGTAAAATGCAGTGGTTTACGGTGCTGCTGTTATAAATGCTCTTCTCGCTCCCAGCTGCAGCGTCCCCCCCTCGGGCTGGGACTGGGCTCCATCAGCCCCATTTTCATTGCATGATAAATAAGAAGGACGACATCTCTTGCCCAGATATGCTCATCGAGACATGCCAGGGACAGACGTGCACCATGGTACCTGCCCAGGATGGGGTCAGTGCAGGTTGTCCCAGGTTAATAACCTGGTCTGGCCAAATCTGCAAATTAAATATCTACTTTCTGCATAAAGTCAAAGTCACAGGAGGCTTAAGGAGGGACGGACGGTAGAAATGGGGGTGGTGAAATTTAGTTCTTTCATTTCTCTTAAAGAGAATTGGGTTTACTCTTATCTCCAAAGGGAGCCGAAGTGCTGTGGGTGTTGCTAATTAGCCCAACCATTCAGTAGCATCCTGTGCAAGGAGCTAAATTAAAAGACTGTGTTGGGGCTGCAGCCCCAAGCCCTCCATGGTTAGACTGACTGCACTCCATGAACTCAGTTTTGTGTGTCCACGCTTCGTTTGTGTATTTATTACGAGGGAGCTGCTAATGAGCTAACCTCCCACTCGTTTGCCGTGGCTTCCATTGCCACTGGTGCACGGGAAGGACAGAGCTCACCCACCAAGCAAACACCACTTTGTAGCAGAAACTAGGATGTACTTCAATATCCTTGCAGGAACAGGAAAAAAAAAAAAAAAAACTGAATATACCCACTGCAGTTGAATTTCATTTCAGAAAGATAAACTATAAAACTACACAAAAAAAGGAGGAAATGTGTTAAAGAGCTGTGGAAAGGAGCAGCGGAAAGGGTTAAATCCTACAGGCAGCATGGAAACGGTTTGAAGATATCTTGTTCCTGGAGGTATGTGCCGCATGTCGAAGACCTGTAACACCTACAACGGTTAAATGAAGTTAAATTTTGCTCAAATGGGAAAATGGAAAAGATCACAGACTCCACCAAATGAAATGTAAAAATACCGTGAAGTAGTTAAAAAAAAAAAAGGCAAAAAGATGGAAGAGCCCCCACTAAAAGCATAAAACCCAAAAAACTGTCCCTATTCAGGTGGATAACCAACACGAGGAACGTGTACTGGTGAGCCAGAGCTGGAAGCAGCATTTTTCATAGCAAAAAAAGCTGGGAGCCAGGACGACATTGGGGCAGGGTCCATCCCACCTTGGCAGCCGGGAGGAGAGGACTGGGAGGAAATCAGACAAGCAGCAAATCATTTGCAATTCAGGTAGGGAACAGCTGGACGGTTGGGTGGGATCTGTAGCTTTTTGCTTAATATTATTAATATTGCTTAATATGACTAATGTGCTTTATTAATATGATTAGAGGACTGGAAGAAGGAACATGATGGCAACCTCAAAGAGTCCCGGGAGGATCTCAGGGAACCCGACATCAGCAAGTCTGAGTTGCATCCGACAAATTAGCAGAAACCACAACTAAGACGAGAAGAGCAGGGAGGTAGACAACCTGGACCCGAGAGCTCCCCTGCGGAGGGATGCTCTGCCACTCTGGACCAAGAGGATGGTCATCTCCTGGGCAAAGAGCTGGTTATAAGGCAGGTGGCAAAAGATGGGAGCATTGAGTTTGTCCGCAGTGATGGGTGCTGCGCTGGCTGTTACCACTCCAGGCACGGATTATTAGGAGAAAGCTAAAGGGCTGAACTGAGACCATCACTGGGCCAGCACATAAACGCCCGGTGCATCCTCATGTGAACATCGTGCTTCCAGCTGGGGAAAGATACGACAGAATTGGACAAAGTACGGGGAAGACCAAAAGGATGATCCAAAACATGGACCCTCTTCTGCAGCAGGGTCTCTCTGGCCACCCCCTGCCCATTTTGCCATGCTCCCAGCTCTGGCAGGGAACGGTGGAGGGGTCAATTCACAGGCAGCTCTCTTCTGAGCTCCAGCACAGAGCAATGCTCGTGCCACGGGAGACAGGGCCAGGAGCAGAAGGACAAATCCCACCCGTCAGGTCAGCACTGCTGCTCACCAGCACAAAGGAGCTGGAGGAGCCGCCTGGGTCTGGCCGCAGTTCAACATTTTGGGGACTGGGGTTTGCTACGACTCATCTTTCCCTGACTTTGTCCATTTGTATGCTACTTCCAATTCTTTTCTTTTCCAGAGTGGGGCCGTCTTCCCTCTCTTCACACGAAGGTCTGGAAAAGACATGGGCAAGGCGATGCCGGCAGCACGTCACTATTTTCCTACTGGGAACAGGAGATGGGGAGGTCTGGACCCGGAGGAGGATGGGGAAGCACTGGAGAGCGGCAGGGGGCTGTTCCCATCCCTCCAAAATCCCGACGGAAGGACCTCTGTCCTGGCTGAGCACGCAGACCAGGCTTTGGCAGCATCATGGGGGGACCCGCAGACAGGTCCAGCTGCACGGCTCAGCTCGTCCCCTCCCCGGGCAGAGAGCATGGAGAGAGTGCAAAACCCCCCCAAAAAGCCATCGGGGCTGTTCCAGCTGCCCCCACCGTGGGTACCACCCTCGCCAGCCAGCCCCAGTCCCCACGCCAAGCCCTCGCAGAGACGGAGGAGCCACATCCCGCAGGAGCCGAGCACGGAGCGGGGCCAGGAGCCAGCGGGAACCACGGGCTTGGCACATCCCGTGGCCACATTTTTCCCCTCCCGGTTAATTGAATTTGTTTTGGAGGGCGCAGCATCTCTGGAAAACCCAAAGCTGTGGCTCATCCCTCAGGTCCCGTCCCGCGTGCCCAGGAGCAGGGATGGCTCTGACCTTTCCAGCAGAGCCAGCGTGTCGGGGGGGTGAATCACATCTCCTTTAAGAAGCTCAAAAGCAAATAAATAGGGAGGTTGTAAGTATGTGCGTGTGTTTTCTTAAGCGTGTCCTCCAGGAGGTCTGCGGAGCAGGGTCAGCTCGTTCAAGGTCTCCTTGCCCAAAAGAAGGAGGTGTCTGTTCCCACACGGGTGTCACGGAAGGGTCCAGAGATGCTGCACCCCCACGCCTGCTGCACCCCAGCACCTCCATGACCTCTCCTGGGGCCTTTCAAAGAGCAGGGGGGACAGAAAGGGGGACCTAGGGCTTGGCAACAAGCTCAGCACCATCTCCCCAACCTTTGGTGACTGGCAGAAGCCCAGGTGGACAGTGTGCATGGTCCTGCAGGCTGGTGGCTCTTGTGGAAGGGGCGGAGGACAACTGGTCCCAGCAGGTTTGGTGGCCTCAGGACAAGCAAGAAGGCCAAATTCTTGCTCTCTGCTGAGGTTAAGCAACAAGAGCCACCACACGAGCTCAGTGGCCAAGGACGTCCACCCGCCACAGCCACGGGTTGTCACCAATGGGGTGTCCCAGCCCAGTACAGGGCTGTCTCCACAGCTCGGCTGCTCTCCGCCTGCCTCCCGAGGCAAGAAAACTCCGAGAGGCATGGCAGCTCTCTTAATTCCCCTTGGCAAGGGCTTGCCAGGGCTAAAAACACACCAACGATCCTACTGTTGCCCTTCCCCAGATTGATGGCATGGAGCTGCTGCAGGAAAGTTGTGTGGCCAGGCATGGGACAGGACTTGGAGATCATCTTCACAGGCATACCTGAAGGGGAACTATGGTCCAAAGACCCTGGTGAGGCCAGTCCCTGAAACACCTTCCTGAGGGCTGAGCTGTCCTTGGGATAAAACGCTGTGGTCATACCGCAGCGATGCTCCCCAGAGAGGTTCCTCATCCTCACAAAGCGCAATCCAGCCCCAAAAAACAGGCTACGTGGAGGGAAAGCCCGTGGCACCCTGCCAGTCTCCCTTGAATGAATGTTCAAGTGCTTAGAAAAGCAAAGCAGCAGCAGATACCGCTGGTGCTGCCCATGGGGACAGAGGGATGGCTGTGCCATCCAGCCCTGCAACATCCCTGTCCCCTGGTCCAGCTGACGGACACACAACACCCATATGCAGCCAAACAACCCCTTTGGGTGCTCTGCACGGGTGCCTCCTACATGGTGCACGCAAGACTTAAGCAGGAACCCCCATCGGTGGCTCCTCACTCCACGAACCCCACCGTTCCTCTGGCTGGGCTGGCCTGGCTCTGGCTCCTGCCCCAACACAATGCTGCTCATTCAGGTAAGCCACGCTGCAGCCCTTGCATGAAGGCTGGAAATTTATGACTTGCCTTAAATGTCACCTTTTCAACTCCGTGCCTTGGCTTAGCAACCTTTGAAGCAAACATTACCAAATGACCGGTGTTTTTCAGAGGGGGGAAAAAAAAAAAGGAAAAAAAAAAAAAAAAAAAAGAAGTCGTCCTTTCCAAGATAAATAAGTGCTCTCGCAATAAACGGCATGAAAAGGCTCACATTCAAAACTGGCAGAAAATACCTGCAGTCGGCGATGATGTCATCCATCAGCTGGGCACCCAGGGCGTCCAGCTCACTCGGTGACCGGTTGGCCTTGAGAGCAAGGTGGACCTTCTCCAGGTTTGCTTCCTGCACGATAGGAGGGAAGAGGAGCTGCACAGTGGGGAACCCCCAGCACCCCGCTGAACCCCATGTCCAGGACCCTCCCAGCGAGTGCCGGGAGCTACTGCCCGTGATCAAAAACTCCAGCCTGGGTCCCACCATGTCTCTGCACCTCCGTTTTTGCTCCTGTTGGAGCTCCAGGGGAAACAACAGTGAAATACGGCCAGAAATCCCATAAATAGCTCAGGAGATGAAGGAAGGTCCTTGCCTCCTGTGCCTGCATCAGTAGGCGGGTGGGCGGCACGGCAAAGCACCGCATTGACACCCCACTCCCACCCCAGGTGGGATGAGGGTGGTCCCTTTCCCTCCATCACTCCACGGGCTGAGCAGGGCACCCGGGACGCCGACAGATTTCCCCTTTGCAGCACAAGAGTCATCAAACCCCAAACCTGACCCAGCCTGGAGATGGTCTCCATCCCCTCCCTGCTCCCCCAGGCAGGATGCAGAAAGGAGGTGGACAATGCTCCTTGCCACCACGGCACTCACCAGCCTGTCTGCTGCGTGGTGGAGGAGGTTTTGGGCATCAGTCCGATAGCTGATATCTTCCCAGTAGGATGACAACACCACCACGGGTTTCACGTTGCCCCAGGGCAGGTAGTAATACTGACAGCCTGGAGGGCAGAGCACACCCGTGAGCTTGTGATACTGGGGCGACGGAGCAGAGATGAAGGGGGCCAGTGCAGCATTTGGCCTTGGGCAGAAGCCCATCTCTGGGGTTCTTCTGGAGCAAGAGGGTGGGAATTATGTTCCCCAAACCCATGTGCAACAGAGCAATGCACACCAAGGGATGTGCATCCACCTCCACGGCTGCAGCAGCTCCTGCAGAGCAGTGAGGCCAGAAACCAGTAGAACAAACCCAGTGGGGTGAGAACATCTCACGCCAGAGCGAGAGCCCCAGAGGAGCCAGGGAAAGGCCACCCCAAAGCACCGGCTCTTCCTTGAAGAGAAATGGGCACTGTTAGGGCCCAAAAACCACTTCAAGCCAGCACACAGCTGAGAGAAGTAGTCCTGGCTTCCCCCCTCCACCCCTTCACAGCATGGCTGAGGTGGACAAGGACCTCTGGAGTCCATCTGGTCCAACCCCTGTTCAAGCAGGGTCACCTGGAGCAGGTTGTCCAGGACCACATCCAGTTGGGTTTTGAATATCTCCAAGGATGGAGACTCCACACCCTCCCTGGACAACCCATCCCAGCACTTGGTCACCCCCACGTTGCTCACCATCAAACACGGCGCGGCTGTACTGCGTGGTGGAGGCCAAGGGCAGGCAGGTGTTGTCGAATTTGTTGCCGTAGTTGCCAATGCTGACCTCAAACTGGATGGCATCGTCCACGTCTTGGAGCATGGTGGCCGAGTAGAAGGCAGCGAAGAGGGAGTACTTGCGACGGCGCAGGTACTTCTGCAACAGGCAGAAGGCTGTGTCAACGAAGGAGACATCGCTCTCCTGCGCACAGACTCTTTCCCTGGCACACGCCGACCCAGCAAAGCCTCCCAGATGGGAAGTTTATTGCAGGGAAGAAAAGCATATGTTGCAGCAAGGGAATTTTGAGTGAGATATTTAGGAAAAAAAACGACAAAGGAGGCGGCTAGAACTTCCCACAAAAAAACGCAGTTTAACCCTGGAGAAACGAACAGAAGGAGCACATCTGCAACAGCGCCTGAGTTGAGGCAAATCTCCCACTCCTCCATGTTCACCCTGGCCTGCTCTCTTCCATGCAACAGACCAGAGAGAGCAAGCTGGACACCGTGGGATGGAAACGCAGCAGGAGACACCCTCCCGGAGCTCACCCACCACTCCCCCACTCACAGGACATCACCCACCCAGGACCAACACTCGCGTCCCTTCCCTAGTGCCCCGCACGCCATGCTGCCGGAGGGCTGACCCCGGAGCCCATGGGGTCGGATACCCCACAGAGACCCCGTTACCTCCACCCGCAGGATGTCATCCGCGGAAATGTCCTCCACCTTCTGTTCCACGTGCTCCACCAGTTTGGTCTCCAGCTCCACCAGTATCCTGCCGCGATACGCGACTCCCTCGCCCTTGGGGTAGACCAGGGACAGGCGTCAGGACCCCGGTCCCCCCTCCCCGCAGGCGAGCTCTGCCTTTGCTTTCAGTGGGCTTCATTGCAGAGAAGCGAGATCAGGCAAAGTATTTCTGCAAGCGCTTCGAAGGTAGAGAGAGTTTGGGCAGCAGGGCAATATCAGGAGGCATTTAGGCAGCAGGAATAGCCAGTGCAGGGCAGAAAACGCGGTGCAGGCTCCTAATAACAAAGCCAGTTGGGGTTAATAGCAGCTTTCTTTCTGCAAGGAGGGGTGGCAGTTTAGTTTAGGTTGTGCTGGAAAGAAGCCGACATCACCTTTCCTAAATTGAGCGCCTCGTAAGGGTCGGGGAAGCCGGTGAACTCCCGGGGGCTGCCGTAGAGGTTGATATAGCAGGGACCGAAGGTCGGCAGGAACCCGAGCCCATCGTCCACTGGGGACCGCAGGGGAAAAGAGCCGTTAGAGAGTCCCGAAGGCACCTCGGGGACACGTCCCGCGGGGCTTCGCTGCAGGACCATGGGGACCACACGCATGCGGCTGGAAGCCACCAAAATGCTGTAGTTTTTCACCCCCTTTGAGTCCTACGACCGCTTACCTTTTTGCAGGAGAAAGACAAGGTGGATGTGGGACTGTGCGGCAGGCACAGAGCTTCCCCATCCCAGGAAGGGTCCCCAGAGAAGAAGAGCATCGCTTTGCTGGTGTGAACCAGCGTAGGGGATTTACACCAGCCAAGGAGCTGGCCCCATACTCCCCTTAAGACAGTAAGAGAGTGCTTGGAAGAGAATCGCTCATTTTTATGAAACCTCAAGCAGAAAGAGCAGCGGAGGGGCAGAAATCGTTTGCAGGGTCCTGCTCTGAGCTCCCGAGCCAGCTGCTGCCCACACACAGCTGGTTCAGCACACAACACACGCTAGACCATGAAGACACCGCTGCCCAACACGGGCACCCCAAATCCACTGTGGGGAAGGGCAGTGGGGAGGCTGAGCTGGAGCCGTCCCTTCCTCCCACCCAGGTGCCCAGGCTCGAGCACGATGCAGCCCTAACGGGAGCTGAACCGGCAAAACAATTACCAAGCAGCGATTGCAAACTGAGAGGCTAAGGGGACGTACGGTCTGAGGCTTTCAGAGGCTTCGCGAGAGCAGGAAATTCATCTGAGGCACAAAGAAATGGAGAGAGGTTAGGAAAGGCTGGCAGAGGAGCGTGGAAGAAGGATGGAGGGTTATGGGAAACGAGGGTGGATGCTCTCATGGGCTTTTGGTGCCAACTAAAGAGACAGAGAGAGAAAGGGGGAGGTTGTTACAGAGATTGGATATTAGGAAAAATTTTGTCACTGAAAGGGTTGCCCAGCACTGGAACAGGCTGCCCGGGGAAGTGGTGGAGTCACCATCCCTGGGGGTATTTAAAAGACGTGTAGGTGTGGTGCTTCGGGACAAGGCTTAGCGGTACACTTGGCAGTGTTAGATTTATGGTTGGACTCGGTGATCTTAAAGTTCTTTTCCAACCTAAATGATTCTGTGATTCTATAGCCCTATCACCTTCCCGGAGCCTGTGGGATTGGTATGAAAGAGGATTTCAGCATCCCTAAAGGATGCTGCTTGTGTTGCAAAAGCTGGATGAAGCCATGGGGCAGGGGGGGACTCATGGTTCCCCAGCACCTCCTCACAATCAAGTAGGTCTCAGGGGTGGGGTGGGGTGTCCTGGTCCCAGGCAGACCCCTCATAGCCTCCTCCTCCCTCCCCGGCCTCTCTCTCTCTCTTTCCAGCCCAGGCCAGGAGCTAAACTTTAACTGGGGAAGAGGTGGGGGCTGGACACACAAGCACCACAGTGGAGACCAGTGCTGCACCCCAACTCCACGCCTGCATGCACGGCCGGGCAGCACTGGGAGGGGACGTGGGCTGCGGGACACGTGGCTGCAGCTTTGCATCAAGCTCAAGCCCCGGTGGCTGCTACCAGTCCCGTCCCTACGGTGTGGGGATGCTCGTGATGAGGTGGGGGTTTGCAGGGAACCCGAGAGCCTCAGAGATGCACGAAGCAAAGGGAGCAGAGCGAGGGGAGTCCCAGTGGGGTTGCAGATGCCACCAAAGCTCATTAGCAGCAGGAGATGCTCACGCAGGTTAGGGCAACCTCTGCTCCTGGCCCTGCCGTGGCTCTCGGCAGCCTCACAACCGTGTCCCAGCTCCCTGCCCTCCCGTTCAGCACCGGTGACACAGTCGGTGTCAGCCAGCTGACCCCTGCCAGCCCCTCCGTGGTGGTCCTTTGGTTCAGAAAGCCCCTGGGACTTGAAAGAGCACCCTCAGCACAAGCTGGACCTGAACCCCCATCCCACCCTGTGACAGCCCCCAAAATGCCACCTAAGGAGGAGCCACCAGTGGGGGCACGCACGGGTGGGACGTGGCATCTTCCAGCACCGGTGACACCACTGCCCATCACCAACCGCACGGGGGAACACAGCCACCTCTGCTCGGCAAGGAAAAGAGGAAGCAAAACCTCTGGCACACCACAGTCATGCAGCTTCCCATCCCAACACCCCCAGGAGGACCTGGAGATCTTCAAAACCACAAACCGGGGGGGCCAGGTCCAACCCAAAAACAGACCACAGGATGGAGCAACCCCCAGCACCCCGTCCCACGTCTCCCCCAGCACCAGCGACTTGACAGGAACCATCCCGGCTGTGACATCCCCCAAGCCAACGCCAACCTCCAGCCACGAGCATGCAGTGCTCCTCCATGGCCATGCACCCCAAATCCTGTCCTGCTGCTCCCCCCACCTCTTCCCCTCCAGCTCCCCGCCGGGGGCCGAGATCTTCGACATGCAGAGGTAGGTGGTGCCGACAATATCATTGTGCGTCAGACGGTCCCTGCAACACAACCCGTGATGCCGTCGCACTGTGGACCTGGGGGGGGGTTGCCCATGGGGTCTCCCCCTGCCCACCCCGCTCCTCCAGCTCAGCCTTCCCCACAGGCAGCCCCCCCAGCAAGCCCCCTCCCCGCTCACCAGTCAGTCACCCGGATCCTCATCTTCTCACACATGGAAGGGAACTGGGAAAAGAGGGAGGGAGAGTTGTGGTGAGCGGCGGTGGGATCGGGCGGGCGGGGGGGGGCCGTGGCAGGCACCCGTGCTCACCATCACCGGCAGCGTCAGGCGCTGGTTCCACTGCGGGTTGGCGTTCTTCTCCAGGATCCTCGAGTAGAGCTGGAGGTGTGAGACGGGGAATGAAAAGTCAGCGTTGCCCCAGCACTTGCAGCTCACTCACAGCTGCGCTTCAGCAAAGCAGGGCTGCCGCACGCCACGTCCACGGAGCTGGAAAGATTCAGGTCCCCCAAAATACAGGTTCCATTTGATGGGTGGCCTGGCGGGGCTCTGCATCGCGTGGGCAAACCCCGTCTGGGCAGGAGGCAGAGGATGCTATGGGCTGCTCGGGGATCTCACCCCCCCCAGGACCACCAGAAACTTATTCCCTTCCCACTGTGGTTGCTCAGAATCATGTCCCAAGCCTCTGTTCCCCCACCCCCGGCACTGTCCCCAGGGGAACATTTATGGGCAGAGGAGACTTTCAGCCCTTTAGTGCTGCTGCGGATCAAAAGACAAGTGGCAGTTTGTGGGCATATCACTTGGCAAAGGCACTAGAGGGCACCTGGCAGCAAAGGGAGTGGGACAGGGCTCTGCAAAGCCACCAAAGCCACCTCCACATCCTGGCTGGTCATGGCGGGGGGGACATTTGGTGGTGTAGGGACAGCCAGCCTCTCGCTTCAGGCAGTGCCAAGAACAGCACAACCTTCCGCTGCTGCACTATCCCCCTTCCCCCAGGAGCTCAGCCTCTCCATTCCCATTTTTAATGCAACAGCACCACGAAGAGCCCAACAAAGAAATTACTCCGGTGCAGCCCAGCACGCTGTGTCCGGCAGCACCGCTCAGCTCCAAGCGTGCATGGGGACAGGGCTGGGGACATCAGCTGGGCTGCAGGACATTGCAATGCAGAGAGAAAGAAGATGGGGTGCGACAAGGACTGATGGGACCTTTGCAAAAGCTCCAGCAAAGCAAAGGAGCAAATTTTCCCCATGCTGGGACCAAACTTTCCCCATGCACAGCTGTCATCCCAGCCCCAGGGACCTGGACGGGCTCCCCGCTCCGGCCACTCACCGTCTTGCCCGCAAAGCTGACTTCCACGAAGGGATCAACAAGGTTCTTCTTGTTGCTCTCGAAGCCAAAAATCTGCCTGACGTTGTCCATGACGGCATCATCCACTGGGAGGGGAAAGAGATGCTGAAAGTTCATGAAAGCACATGGTGTCCAGATAGCCCCGGCTTTCCGTGCAGGCTGTCCCACCATGCGGGTTGCGCATCTCCATTGAGCCAGGTGGGGATGGTCAGGAGGCTAAATACCAGTTTGCACCAGTAAGAGACTTATCTCCCAGTACATTGCGACTGACCAGTATCTGCAAGGTCTTTGGACCAAGGCTATGGATAAAGTTTCCTTATCTGTGCCCTTACTCCTCTCTGGCAGGTTGCAACCCGCCACAATGCCAAGGGCCGGATCCGGCGCGCTCCAGCCCAGCAAAGGAAACACTTACTCTGGGGCAAGTCTTCGGCTTTGAAGATTTTCAGGCAGAAGTGAGCCCCTCTCAAGGTGACCCCAGTGGGGCGCAGGAGGTTGCCCTCGATGTCTTCCTTGTCTTCCGAGACCTCCTTCTTCTCCAGCTGCGGGACAACAGGACAAGAGGAAAACATGACCACGCTTCCCAGAAGTCCTGAAATGAGCAGCAAAATCCCAAAATCCAGCACTTTGCCCCCAAAATGGAGGAAGATCAAAGCCGCAGCTTCCCTGGGAACAGCCATGGGGTTTGGTGGCCCAGGGCAGTGGAGTACCAGGGTTGGAAGGTCCCCCCATCGCAGCCAGGGCAATACTCACAGGAGCTTCATCTCCAGGCCCCAGCACGAACAGGCTGACTTTCAGATAGCCCTTGGCCCCCGCGGAGAAGTCCTCTGGGTCAGAGAGCAACAGCCATTTTCTGAGGAACGCGTGTTCTAGGGGAGAAAAGAGATTGAGACCCCTGCGCTGGTCCTCAGACATGCAGGGAGATGGCTTCAAGGATGCTGTTGGGTGGGGGTTTTATAATAAATACTATGTTCCTTTTATATAGAATAGAATAGGTTTACAGTTGGACTCAATGATCTTTTCCAATCTAAATGATTTATGATTCTATGATTCAGTTGGCAGGGAACTACAACAATCATCTAGTCCAACTGCCTGATCACTTCAGGACTGACCAAAAGTTAAAGCATGTTATGAAGAGATTTGCCTTGTAGGTCTTAATTTTTTACAGCTAAAATTACCGAGCTTTTCTCTGCAGTGATTAGGGTAGGAAATCTATCTTCATGATAAAACTGTCTTCGAGAGAAAATAAAAGATGAAATAATGAGCAGGGCTCAAGATAAAAAACTTGAGTCAGGCTGCGCTGGTGGGGGTTTCTGCCAGCGAGTTGGTGGTACAATGATTTGAAAGCCTCGAGGACGTACATCTTGGGAAAGGGAAGAGAAATGGGTGGTGATGATGGATATAGGGACACGTCTGGGTCCATATATGGGAAAGCTGTGGGGTGTGTGTGTATCCCCTATGTTTGGCCCAAAAAAAAGGGTTTTCCAGAGCAATCCCAACCCAGCCGCGGGAGGTAACCCTGGCCTGGACCCCAAACGCGCTCTGGGCTCACTTGGCTCGGAGTAAATGGTCTCGACGTCCATCTGTGCAATGAAACAAAAAAGAAATGCCAGCGTTCACCCCATGGGTCAGTGTGGCAGAAAACAGGGGGGGAAGAGGAGAGAGGGTGGCCTTACTCGAAACTCCCCGATCACAGAGTCTGTCCGGAAAGACCGAGAGTCCACAACCTGTGGGATGAAAATAAGGAAAAACAGTAAATACAGCCCAAATCCTCCCAGGGTGGAGGACCCTGCTACATGCCTGCCTGGGAAATGGGGGGACGCTTCCCGGGGCACTGTGGGGAGGGGGACAGGGCGATGACCCCGAGCATTGCGCCAGCCCTTCCGATGGGCAGGACCAACATTTCCTGAAGCTCACCGTGATAAAGATGGGTGCGTCGAACAGCTCGGCCGGTGACTCGAAGATGTTGAAGAAGAAGGTCTGTAGGAAAGAGGGGTGAGGGTGCAAGGTGGAGGTCTGCCCCAGCCTCCCCGCCAGGGCATGTTCGCACCTCCCAGCCTCTCCCATGCCCCCAACTCTGCAGGCTGGAGCCTCTTCCCCTCCTCTTAGGAGAGCCCCCACCCCATTAATAGCAATAGCCCCCCGAAGGGGCTGTGCTGGTGACTTTGGTGCACCCCAATGAGCAACATCCTCCAGTTTGCTTTTGCTGGGCTGGTTGACAAAAGCACATCCAGACCAGCTCTCCTGGGGGTCTCCAAATAAAGCACAGGGGCAGGTTGAAGCAGGCTTTGGGGACATCCCAAAAGGCAGGCTTGAAGCATCTGCTTTGGGGACAAGCCCGAGCGTACCCATCCTGCAAGCCCGGCTGCATTGCCCACCCCTGCCTGTGCACAGCCTTGCTCAGGACATGCCACCAGGATCCTACTGGTGGCTCTGGGACACATGAGTCACCTTGGGAAGGTGACCAAGATGAGCTCTGCACGAAGGCAGGGGATGCTGGATCTGCCAAAGGGCTCCCTGCTGCTGTCTGAGCTTCTCTCCCGTTGAAGTCCCCATCGCCACGTCCCAGCCTCTGGGCTGCACCGGGGTTTCCATCACTCGGGACCCCAACCCATCATGCTCCTGAGCCTTTCCTGCCACCCCCAGGCACACCCAGAGCAGAGACACCCCCCCCTCACCTCATCAAAGAAGGGGCTGTTGCCTTTGCGTATCCTCGTCCTCTTGGTCTGCCCGGCGGCCGTCACCTTCACCACGGGTCTGATGTTGACCCCAGGGAGCTGCCGGCCCTCGATGACCCTCACCCTGATCTGGGACGGGAGGGAGGACAGGGCAGGGAGTCACTGGGGTGAGTCCTACCCTTGGGATGGGCACCTCAGGGGGTGTCTCAGGTAACGAACCCCCCCCATAGGGACAGGCTGGGGGGCCCTGGGGAGGTGGGTTCAAGGAGAGCAGCTCATCCCCACCAGCCTCGTCTCACCTGGAAGTCCTGCGGCTTGTTGGAGAGAGGCTTTTTGGGAGAGCTCCTCCTCCTCTTCAACCCCTGGACGTGGTGCATGGGGGGCTTGTGGGGCAGCGAGGGGGGCTCGGATCCCGGTGGCCCCGAGGAGGAGGAGGGCTCCGTCTCATCCCCCGTTGCCGCCTGATCCTCCGTCTCCTCCTCTCCAGCCGTCTCTGCGTGGGGCGAGAAAGAAGATGGGAGGACGTGAGCAAAGTGGGGCCAGGCATCGCGGGACTGCAGGGTGAGGGGTCTGGCTGCAAAAAACGTGATGCTACGGGGGGACGCATCCACCCCTGGTGCTACACGCGAAGGTTTCTGGTTACCAGTGACCGTGTCAGGCTCAGCAGCAGCCGGTGCTGGCTCAGGGGGGGCCGGAGGGGGAAACAAGGGGGCAGCTCCCGGTGGGGGGATGTAGGACACTTGCAGGATGAGGAAAGCCTGGAAAAAAGGAAATAATCATTATACGGGTGTCCAGAAACGCTCTCCCGGGGTCTGAGCCTCGGTGCCAGATGCCACCCATGATGTTCTGCCTAGGCGTGGGGGATGCAGCCGAAACAGCGGCAGCAACTCCACAAACGCTGGGAAAAAAGGGACAGAGCAGGGAGAAGCGTCCCAGGGCCCACGGGAGCACCAAGGACATGCAGGGTCCCAGCGGGGTGACCACCCGGTCCCCATCCCGCTAGATGGCAGCCCCAGGCCGGGCTGAGCCGGGGCCGGACGCTGCATCCGCCGGGAAGGGAGAAGGAGGGAGGGAGATGCGGAGGCAGAGCCGGGGAAAGGCTCAAGGAGAAGGGAGCTGCAGAAAGGGAGACGCGAGATTTAACGGGCTGCGAGGGGTGCTCCCAGTGCTCCCCGCAGAGCCCACCGGCCGCCTGGCAAGGACACCCCTGTCTCAGGGGTGCACAGGCTGCAGCCCCCGCCAACATCCATCCTGCAAAGAGGTTTCACCCATCTGCTGCTGGGGTGTCCCCAGCAAAGCTCTCCCCAGGCTTCAGGGCGAGGAGGAGAGGGGGACACGTGGGATGCGGGGAGGTGAGTCCCCCAGCACGGCACAGGGGTCCCCGTGCGAGCACGGACTGAGCATGTTCCTGCTGCCCCAGCCACCGGGTGGTCTGCTTGTTGAAAATGAGCCCAGGATGGTCTCCAAGTGGTCTCCAACTGGGAGCCGCAACTGGTAAGGATATTGCTCAGACTGGTCCCCAGCTGGGAGCTGCAACTGGTAGCAACAGCATTCACAGTGGTCTCCAACTGGGAACTGCAACTGGTAGGGATATTGATCAGACTGGTCCCCAGCTGGGAGCTGCAACTGGTAGGGACATTGCTGAGACTGGTCCCCAGCTGAGAGCTGCATCTGGCAGGGATATTGCTTAAACCGGCCTCACTGGTCCCCGTGCAGGGACTCACCCCGGTGCTCTGCTTCTTGGTGTCCAGCAAGGGGAGGTTGTAGGAGGCCGCCAGGCTGGGGGAGGACAGGACATCTCGCAGGGGCACTCGGGCTTCTCCCAAAAACCTGGGGGTGAAGAGCAATCCGGGAGTCAACAGGGGAAGGGGCCGAGGAGCCACGGCTGGGGCAAACCCGGGCACCAGCAACCGACCTGGAGGGCAAGGAGAGGAGGACGCGCTTGCCAGCATCCCCGGCTGGCAGCTGCCCTGGGAGAATGGGAACGGGCATCGGGGGACTCTGACCAAGCCAGGGGCAAGCATCTCTGGGGACTTTGTCCCCTTTTTATCAAGGAAAAGCACCTAAAAGCCCACGCTGAGGAACCAGGAGCCATAAACCGAAGCGCTGATGGATTTTTCTTTGCCAGCGCAGAAGAGAGACACAAGGGGTTGGGGGTTTCACTGGAGATGGGTGAGATCATTGCTGGCAGCCGAGGCTGGTGTCTCTGTGCCACCATCATCCAGGAGGACTTTAAACCACCATAAAATTGATATATCCCCTATTGCGTTTCAGCTCCTCCCTGGTGTTCAGCTTCTGGTTAACCCTTCCTGCGCCATGCCACCTCCCACCCCAGCCAGCAGTGCCAGTTCACCGGGGGAAGAACCAGGGCTGGCCGGGGAGCGGGTCCAGTGCTGCTGCCCAGCTCCTCGCCCAGAGCCAGGAAAGCCCTCAGACCGCTTTGTGCTGTCCTAACAGTGCGATGAGATCACGGAGCAGATCCTCCTGGGGATGGACGAGGAGCCGACCGAGAGCCCATGGGTCAGGATGAAAGGGAGGGCAGGGATGGGTGACATCTTGGGGGGGTCTGCTACTGGCCACCCGACCAGGAAGACTGAGCGGATGAGGCCTCTACAGACAGAGGGGAGCAGCCTCTCATTCACAAGCCCTGGTCCTCGAGGGGTTTCAACCACCCCAGTACCTATCTGTTGGAGGGACAACACGGCACGGCACAAGCAATCCGGGAGGTTCCTGGAACACGTTGATGACAACTTCCTTCTCCAAGCGGTGGAGGAGCCAGCGAGGAGAGGTGCCACGCTGGGCCTTGTTCTCACCAACGAGGAGGGGCTGGTGGCGAATGGGAAGCTCAAGGGCAGCCTTGGCTGCAGTGACCATGAAATGGTGGAGTCCAAGATCCTTCGGGCAGCGAGGAGGGCGCACAGCAAGCTCACTGCCCTGGACTTGAGGAGAGCAGACTTTGGCCTCTTCAGGGATCTGCTTGGGAGAGTACCATGGGATAAAGCCCTGGGGGGAAGAGGGGCCCAAGAGAGCTGGCCGATATTCAAGGGTCACCTCCTCCAAGCTGAGGAGCGATGCACCCCAACAAAGAGGAAGTCTGGCAAAAACACCAGGAGGCCTGCATGGATGAACAAGGAGCTCCTGGACAAACTCAAACACAAAAAGGAAGCCTACAGAGGGTGGAAGCAAGGACAGGTAGCCTGGGAGGAATACAGAGAAATTGCCCGAGCAGCCAAGGATCAGGTTAGGAAAGCTAAAGCCCTCATGGAATTCAATCTGGCCAGGGACGTCAAGGGCAAGAAGAAAAGCTTCTATAGGTACGTCTGTCATAAAAGAAAGATGAGGGAAAATGGGGGCCCTCTCCAGAAGGAAAGGGGAGACCTGGTTACCCGGGACATGGAGAAGGCTGAGGTACTCAACGACTTTGTTGCCTCAGTCTTCCCCGGCAAGGGCTCCAGCCGCACCACCCAAGACGCACAAGGCAAAGGCAGGGAGTGGGAGAATGAAGAGCTGCCCGCTGTAGGAGATCACGTTCGAGACCATCTAAGGAACCTGAAGGTGCACAAGTCCATGGGACCTGATGAGATGCAGCCGCGGGTCCCAAGGGAACTGGCAGATGAAGTGGCTAAGCCACTATCCATCATGTTTGAGAAGTCGAGGCAGTGCGGGAAAGTTCCCACTGACTGGAAAAGGGGAAACATAGCCTCCATTTTTAAAAAGGGAAAAAAGGAAGACCCGAGGAACTACAGGCCAGTCAGCCTCCGGCAAGATCATGGAGCAGCTGGGAGCAAAAATCCACCATCACCTTCGTGACAGAGAGGGGACCATTCGCAAGAGCATCGTGGTCCCTATGGGCCATGGCAGGGCGGCTGCTCCCCACGCAGACAGACAAAATCTCCCTGCGCCAGGAGTCGGGACCCTTCTCCCATCCTCCTCTCTCTATTTATAGAGACGCACAACGCCACCGAGCTGGACCAGACCCAGTTTCCACCTCCCTTGGCCTCCAGCCCAAGAGCAAATCCAGCATCATCTCCAGCCCTGGAAATGGGATCCTTCGCACTGGGACCGTCCACCCCATCCCAGCCGGAGCAGGGCAGCAGGTTCCCACCCTCTGCTGCCCAAAAATAAACTACTTCCTACATTTTTTTCCCCTGTGCAAGCAGCGATCCCAGCTGAAGGAGCCCCGCGTACAGACGTGGATTGCCGGAGGGTGGCCGGGCTGTGTGTCCCGGGGCTGAAGGTGGCATCACCGCCGGCTCTCGCCCTCCTTCCTACCACAGCCGCTACGAGGAGGGAGACCCCGACACCGTGGGGAAAACTCCGCTGCCACCGGAGCGAGGGACACCAGGAGCTGCCGTGAGAAAGGAAGCCGCCCCGGGCTGTTTGTTTTGCAAACGCCGCCCTTCCCAGCTCCGGCGGCAAAGTGTGTTCGGGAAAGGAGCTTGGCTGCTGTCTCACACCTCTCGGGCCAAGTGCCCATCACCGGGGCCTCGAGGCGCCGGCATCGCTCCCGAGGCAGGCGGCCGTGCTGGTACAGCAAGCCCGGGGGAGGCAGCGGGCACAAGGGTCCCTTGTGCGCTCCCTGCCCTCAAACGCTGGTTTTTCTCCCTGGCCGTCGAGTGAAGCAGCCCAGAAATGCGGCTCTCGCCTCCCACCAGCCACAAAGGGCAGTCGGCACCGGGGAGCAAGGCGTGGAGCCCGAGGAGAGCCCGAATGCCCCTCGCCGCCCACGCCAGCCCCCTTGTGCAAAGCCTCGGGCGTGCACGCGCGTGTGCAGGGGCTGCGCCGGTGATGGGAGCGGGGCAGGGGGCTCGCGCCCAGCACCCGACGCTTCTCCCACCTGTTTCTCCCCACGGTTTCATGGTCTTTCACGACGACGGTGAGCTCAGCACCCGGGTCCAGGGGAGCTCCCTTCAGGTCCCACTCGAAGCCCTGGAGGGGAGGAGAGGAGAGCCAGGGTCAGCGCCCAGCTGGGACCGTGATGCTCACACAGGCATTGACCAGCTCCGGCACCACCATGGGCTCGAGGAGGAGAACCAAAACGCCAGACCGGCTTCACCATCGCCGTGCTGACAGCTCCAACCCGGCCCCTCGGCACAAACCTCGGCACCACATGTACCCTGAGCAAAATTTCCCAGCACAGCCACAGAAAAAATATTCCCCAGGCAAAGGCCTTCTCCTCATAATGGATTAAAAGTGAAGGAGAAAACGATGGGAGCTGGCACGCAGCATTTCTGCACCAAAAAGGTGTTAGTTTGCTCACCAAAACCCTTTTTCTTTTAGTTTTGACCCACAAAAGTACAGGTCAGGGTTAGAAGGAAGAAGGTGCTGGAAAAAATAGTCTCCCCTGGGCCAAGCTGATGAGTAAAACACACTTGTTTTCCCCTCGAGCTGCAATATTTTTAAACAGCTTCTTTTAATGTGCGTGCTTAGCCCTGATAAGATCTTGATGAAAGGGGAAAAGGCTGGAGCAAAGGGCCGCGCGGAGCTGGCTCGGTCCCGCTCCTCCACTGCCAGTGCCCAGAATTTCGGATACGAAGCTGCTCCTGATGAGGACTGACTCCAAACCCTCCATGGGGTGACAACCCCCGGGCATCACCGGACCCCTGCAAGCCCCTTGTGCTTGGGGCACCTTGCTGGGCTTGCACCCGGGCCCCACAGCACCCTCCATCCCCGACTGTTCCCCGCGGGGATGGGGACAGGGATAGGGACACGCTCACCTCGTTCCATACGGGGTTCACGTTGTTCTTGATGACTTTAGTTCTCTTCTTCACACCTGCAGGGAGAAAACATGCATGGGTCAGACCAGTTTCCCCACCAAACTGCGGGGAAAAAAAACAAAATTCCGGTCCCCCTCGTGCACAGGTGGGGTCAAGAGCCTCCAGCGACACCCGCAGCTCCCAGGAGCAGGATCAGGCCCTGCTCCTTGCACACATCCTTGCACAGATGGGCTCCGGGACCCCGCTTCGAGCCCCAGCCCTGCCACAAGCCTTGCTGGAAAACCCCAGGCAAGTCATGTCAGTGGGTTGTGCCTCAGTTTCCCCATGAGCAGGGCAGAGAGGAGGCTCCCAAAGGCTGCTGGGTGGGTTTTCGGGCTGGAAGGTGCCACGGAGGACCCAGACATCATCCTCCCTCCTCCCAAACCTCAGTACAGTCCCAGAGGGGACCCAGATTCCCTGTGACAAGGGTCGGATGCTTGAACGTTGAAGGGGGGGGGGTTGGCCCACTGACACCCCCAAACGATGCAATGGGATGCTGTCACCCAGTCTCAGGATCACAGCCATCCAGGGGACTGGAATTGGGCAGCAGCAGTTAAAAGCAACCCAAAGCCAACGTCCTGAGGAGCCCTGGTGCCAGGGGGGGGCTCCAGCCCTGCCCAAGGAGCCCCCCACAAAGCCCCAGCTGCACCCCAAAACCACGACCCTCACATCACACCAAAAACTGGCCAAATGCCCTCTGGGCCCCCAGGGGCCACATCATGGGAGGGACCGGGGGGAAGAGGAAAAGGAAGAGCCGAACAATAGCGGTGACTCAAACCCCGGGGGACACCGGCCAGGCGCCCTGTAGGTCCCTATAGAGATATATATATACATAGGTACCCCAGGCTGTGGATACGGCACACCACGGGGCTGGTCGGGAGCCCAAGCCACTCACTCAAAATATTCTCCTTTTTTTTTATTTTAGCATTGCTAAATTAACCTTTTTCTATTTCAGGTTTTAAAGAATCTCTGCTAAACCTCCCAGCCCCGAGCTGAAGCGGCCGCCGGAGCCAGGCTGGGGCCGGGAGGGAGGCAGAGCTGCCATCGCCCTGACACGGCACCTCTGGACAGCGTCACCGAGCCCAAGAGACATCAAACACCCTCAATTTAAGGCACGTCTCCTGCTTATGCCTCATCTTCATGGGACGCAGAGCTCTGGAATTCCCCCTGCATTCTCGGGACCATGATTTGGCTGACGAGAGCTGCCTTCTGCCTTGGCAGAGGATGGATGGAGCCCACCCTGGGACAGCACCCACAGTGGGATGAACACACGAGGGGTCCCGGGGCCAGTGGAGCCAGCCGGGCAGGGGCCGGCGGCAGGACCGTTCCCCCCACCCACCCCACGCAGCACAGGAAAGGCTGGGTCAGAAGCCACTCATCCCTTTCGTTTCCTTATTTTTTTTTTCTAAAAATGGACATTTTCCACCGCCAGGAAACGGCTGCCAAAAAAAAAAAAAGCAACATCCTCCGGTGAGTGCTTTCGAGGTGCAAAGGCAACACTCCCTTCCCGGGACCTCCATCCTCCAGTACAACAGCAATGGGATAACCCCCTAGATCAGGGGTTATTTTTATCAGTCTCGGATTAGTAATTAAAAGACCGTAACGAAAGCAAAGCACAAGAGCGACTGAGAACACCCAAGGCAGCAGTACCCTGCAGCAAAGCCGCATCCTCCTCTTTGCCGGGGCTCACCCCTGTCACCCCAACAATTTTAGATGCTGTGACACTGGGTGGCAGCGCTAAATGACTGTCCCCAAATCCCGTCATCCCCCCCCCAACGGGAAAAACCCTTGAGGCAACGGGATTTCTCGCTGTCACCCACGATCCTGCGCACCCCAAAATCATAGAGGAAGAGCGATAAAATTCACAGCCCAACCCCAAGGATCCTCGGACACGCCGGTGTCATGTGTGTGAGCACGGCACCGGGATGCATCAGAGGGTGGGGATGGCTACGGCGCATTCGGTGGTGGGGTGCAGGGGGGGGGAATTTTGCAAGGATTTAGGACAAGGATAGAGCTTTAGCAAAGCCCGGCTTCTGCGGGGCGCCCGGCCAGGACGTATGTCCCGGCCGGGCGCCCCGCAGAAGCCGGGCTTTGCTAGAAGGGGGCTGCAAAAGCAGGCAAGAGTCTGGCAAAGCAATAATCCTGCCCACCCCAACCCAGATTTGGGGATCCCCTCACCTCGGAAAGTCAGGCTGGCCACCGGGTCGCTTTGTTTGTCCCCCTTCTCCAAGTTGGGGAGATGGCTGGCTCGTTGGACTAAGCAACGCAGCATGGTTGGGAGATGGAGCAGGGCACCGTAAGGCCAAACCGGGCTCAGTCCGGGGCAGGATCCGGTCGTTTCCCCCCTCCATCGCCACCTCCCCCGTCCCGGCCCTCCCCGGTGGGTGGAGAAGGTGCCCGGGAGGCGACACGAAGCGCCTCGGCGCGGCAGCTCCGGAGGTTGCAAGACCCGGGATGCCGGGAGCCACCGGGGTACCAAAGACCCGGGAACCGGGGATGCTGCGAGCTCCGGGGATGGTAGATTAAATCACCGGGATCTGGGGATGCTGCAGGCTCTGAGGATGCCTGAGCACCGGGATCCAGGGTTGCTGCGAGCTCCAGGGATGGTAAATAGATCACCGGGATCCAGGGTTGCTGCGAGCTCCAGGGATGGTAAATAGATCACCGGGATCCAGGGATGCTGTGAGCTCCAGGGATGGCAAATAAGTCACCAGGATCTGGGCATGCTGCAAGCTCCAGGGATGATAAATTAAATCATTGGGAACCAGGGATACTGCTAAGCCCGAGGATGCCCCAGCACCAGGATCCAGGGGCGCTGCGAGCTCTGGGGATGGTAAATATATCACCAGGATCTGGGGATGCTGTGAGCTCCGGGGATGGTAAATAAATCACCAGGATGTGGGGATGCTGCAAGCCCTGGGGTTGGTAAACAAATCGCCAGGACCCGGGCATGCCCTGGGGATGGTAAATCACCAGGACCAGGGATGCTGCAAGCCCCAAGAGTGCAAAAGCACGAGCATCTGGGGGTGCTGCAAGTTCGGGGTGACCAAGCACCTGGACCTGGGGGTCCCGTGAGCTGCAGGGATGCCCGAATAGCAGACGCGGGGGTGAACCACCCCTGGGGATGCTGGAGCAGCAGGACATGGGAGATGCCACACGCACAAGAGCCTGGTGACGCTGGAGCACCAGGACCCCCCAGGGGTGTCACACCACAGGGCTGCAGACCATCAGCACCCCTGCGATGGGGCAAGCCGGGGGGCTCCCACACCCGGGGCTGCCACGCCACTGGGGACACGTCAGCCTGGGGGGGGTCCCACTGCTGGGTGGGGGCTCTGAGCACCCCACAGCACCGGCACCCCGGCAGAGCTCTCACCGCAAACCCCCCTTTGGGCTGAGGTGCAGCCAGCACCCACCCCCCTGGGTCCAGCTGACACCGGTGGCTGGGGTGGGGGGGTCCACGTTCCCCCCGTCACCCCTTTCCCTGTCCCCTGGAGCAGAGGCGGGGGCCGTCCCCTTGTCACAGCCCCCGTGCGCTGCCGGCTGGCAAGGACAAGGGTGTGTGGGAAGGAAGAAGCTGCTGCTCAGGCCCAGCGGGCGAGGGGCTTCCCATGGCCATCACGACACACGGGGACACCGTGACGGTGGGACGGGGACCTCCGTGGCACGAGGAAGGTTCCCCCCCCGGCCACAGAGCCAGGCACGACTGCCTGGGAGACGCGGGCGCAAGCACACGAGCGCTGACAACGCGGCCTCTCTTCTCCAGCTCGTCGCATCCCCTACAACAACAAACCCCAGCAAGATGCTTTTTCATCCCAAGGATGCCCGGAGCGTCGCAGACGAGCTGTGACCCGTCAGACGCTGCCTCCTTTCTCCTTGTCACCCCTCTGGGGGGAGGATTTGGGAGCGAAGCTGGCGCTGGATGGGTCCCGGGAGGTTGCAGGCTGGTTCCCCCGTGACCACCGTCACCATCGCAGGGGACCGGGGACATACACGTATGGGGGGCCCGGCACGGCCCCCTCGCGCCCTGCCCAGCCCCAAACACCGTCTTCTCATGGGGACACACGGTGAAGCCCCCAGGCCTGGCGCAGCAATGGCCCAACCGTGGGGTGCAGCCAGATGGGGCCCGCTGTGACCCTGGGGGGGG